AACAAGGCCTATGGATCACTGGCTGGTACGTCTCTCAAAGGAGTCAAGATCACCGGATGTCTGGGCGACCAGTCTGCAGCTCTTGTCGGACAGAAGGCCTTTACCCCCGGTCTCGCCAAGAACACGTACGGCACAGGTTGCTTCTTGCTCTACAATGTTGGCACCAAGCCCGTCATTTCGACGCACGGCCTGTTGACAACGGTAGCCTTTGATTTTGGTGAGGGCAACACCATGTACGCTCTGGAGGGCAGTATTGCAGTAGCAGGCTCCAGTGTTAAGTTCCTTGTGGACAACTTTGGCTTCATCGAGTCTTCAGCCAAGCTCAGCGCTCTGGCCGAGACGGTGGAGGACAATGGTGGGTGCACCTTTGTTACGGCCTTTAGTGGCCTGTTTGCGCCGTACTGGATTGACGATGCGCGAGGCACCATCTTTGGTATCACGGCGTACACGCAGCGTGGGCACATTGCGAGAGCGACTCTTGAGGCGACGTGTTTCCAAACAAAGGCCATTCTCGACTCGATGGAGAAGGACAGCGGACATGCTTTGACCGAGCTTGCTGTCGACGGTGGCATGTGTAACTCGGATCTGATCATGCAGGTACGTAAGACGTTACCAATGTCTTGTCCCCACACATTTGAGAAGGATTATTTTGCTAACCTATTTACAGACCCAGTCAGATCTTATTGGAATCCCGGTCAACCGACCCGGCATGCGTGAGACAACAGCACTGGGCGCGGCCATCGCAGCGGGGTTCGCCGTTGGTATCTGGAAGAGCTTTGATGACTTGAAGGAGGTCAACACCCAAGGTCGTACCATCTTCAAGCCGCAGATTGCCGAGGAGGAGGCGACCAAGCGGTTTGGTCGTTGGACCAAGGCCGTTGAGATGTCCAAGGGCTGGACCAACGAGTAGATACCCAGGAAAGTGGGCAGTTGATTGGTTTGTTTGCTTGTGTGTACTAGTACCTATTCCAATAGCTTAGCTTAATGTATGTTTGCATGGATTTTTATTCTGCTGCCTGATGAAACACCAGGATCTGTAGGGTTACTAAAGAAGAAATAAGCCGATGAATGGAAACTTGACTGCTTCTAGACATGCATTAGCCTTACTTTGATGATGGTGCCATCCGCGGCTCCGCAATGTTATTTCCGAGAGAGGGGTTCAAGACTGTAGAGTTCTGCAGGATGGAGTGAGGGGATTCGTTTGTGACCCTACCCATGCTGTTTTATTCAGTTGCGGTTGGTCCCGTCAGCTGATCCAAGCCACCCCAAGTCATCTTGGCTTCTGTCATGGATCTTGGTCATGGTCATGGATCAAGGATTGAAACGTTTCCTCTCTTTCTGCAAACTCCTGCAAGCTGCAAGCAAGCAAAGAGAGCACATAAACGCCGGGTGATCCGGAAAGGAGAATGCCTGTATGCCGAGAAGTCACATGTAGGTGTAACGGTAATGCAAGGTTGGCCATAGATAGAAGGTCTGTGATGGAGCTGTTGGGAGAAGTGGACATGGGGAAACAGTGTTTTAGCATTGGCATCTCGACTTGGCTTTTTTCTCCCATGACAGGGATTATTTGGTATGATCTCGGATGTTTAGTCTGATATAGTCAAATGAATGTTGTAAATGTAACAATAAGAATTTTGAGTTGACATGGTGTAGTCGTATTGTCAGTATTATTTTGCTGATTTTGCCCCTCATTTGTTCCCTTGTCATACCTTTCTAAGCAAATCATTTCCCCTTCTCCACCCACTCATTTTCTTTCCTACACTCCACATCAAAAAGGGTTCGGCTTTACTTTTATCACCCGCATCTGAACCACAACCACGCATCGTCTCCATTCAAGGTAATCGACTCCGCGCTTGGATGAAGGGAGATCAGCAAAAAAAGGACAGAGGGGGATTTGCAAGGGTCCAGTCTACTCATCCCAGAGCCCCAGTAGCTTATCTCCCCCAGACCCTCTTCTTTCCCACTGTCTGGGTTGATTGTGGAGAGTGAGAAGGACAAGATCGACCATGACGTCCATCAGCGGACCCTCCATGGCTGACGAAGAGGCCAATTCGACTTTGAGCAACGACGATGGTTCCAGTGGTGATGAGTCGAGGATGGCTGGTGCTGGACCTTCCAAGAAGCGAAGAAGGGAGAAACACCAAAAGATATCGTATGTTTCTTTTTTCCAATTCAATACATCATTAATGATCAATTTTCTAAATTTATTCGCCTTAGGTGTGAGATGTGCAAGACTCGCAAAGTGAAATGCGACCGCGCTGAACCCGCATGTTCATGGTGCGCTCGTCACAACAAAACCTGTGTATATCTCGAACGTCAAAGGCCTGGAGCTGGAAGAAATGGGTTTAGCATTGAACTGGAAGCCAAAGTCAACAGAATCGATGCCTTGCTTCAAGCTCTGGGGCGAAGAGTGGAAGACCATATCGTGCAAGACCACTCTCCGGTTGTGTCTCCAGGCGTATCTTCTGCCAACGCCAATGGTTACAATCCTTCACAGCTGGACAGCCGACTTACTCCAGCTACTCTCCCCAGACAATCATCCTTCTCTCAAGCCAAATCACCCGCCATATCAAGCCCGTGGCAGGTCACCAGCAACCAGAATACAACCCATCCATCTGTTCAGACGCCACAACAAGGGCCCAGTGCAGCAACACCAACTCAAACAAGCATACCGATACCAACACCTATAACACGAAATCCGTCAGTGCAATCATACACCATTGATCTGCCGCCGCACGACATCATCTATAGTCTGGTGGACCTATACTTTAAGCACTGCGGGACATGGTGTCCTATCCTCGAACGCAAAACCATCTTTGCCACCTTCTTCGGCTCAACATCAATGGAAGAGCCAGATCGGATCTTACTGTATGCCATCGTGGCCACGACGTTACGTTTCCTCAAAGATCCCAGGCTATCACCTGAGATGAGCGCATACTATCACTCTGTCGCCAAACATACAGTCCAGCTATACGCCATAGAGCACACCACAGTCCCTGCACTGAGAGCCCTCGTTATAATAACCTTGGATGAGCTGGGAACATCCAACGGGCCAAGAGGCTGGAATCTTCTGTCTCTGTTAGCTCAAAACGCCAGACAGCTTGGTTTGTGCGAGGAGAGCAGCGTCTTCTTGTCCGCAGAAGCCTCCGAGGTCACACATACAGCATCTTCTCATAGAGTCGCAGCTGGCAAACCTGAGTCTTGGATCGAAGATGAGGGACGAAGACGACTGTACTGGATGATCTATCTTCTCGACAGATATGCCACCATTGCCACACCCGCATTTGACTTTATTCTCAATGACACCAAAATCAATCGCTTTCTACCATGCTCTTACGACCTATTCTCAAAGAATGTGCCTGTAGAGACACGATCACTGAGTCCATGCAACAACAAACAATCACCCATAATGACCTATCTTGTCAACAAACCCGAGAATCTAGGCAGTTTTGCTTATCACTGCGAGATTCTCGTCATCCTCAGCAGAATACACGAGTTTCTCAAGACACCTGTCGATGTCACTTCACCGAGCGACATGGCAGAATGGCGCAACACATATCGCAACCTCGACCACACTCTAGACGGGTGGCTTCAAAGTTTGCCGAGTGAATACAGCAAGATCTCTGCGCTTTGTCACTCTGACCCCGCCAGTCGCGTGGCCAACTGGTTCATGCTTCACAGCGCCTATGTTACAGCCGCCGTACGTCTTCACTCCTCAGCAGCATATCCCACCGTCCGCTCTCACATATTTGTTCCCTCGCACTACGCCATGCAGAGATGTCTATCTGCCGTTCAGAGCTTGGGAGATATCACGCGTGATGTTCTTGAAGCAGACGGTTTGAACCTTCTTGGGCCTTCATTCGCGTTCTCGCTATGGGTCGCTGGAAGACTCCTGCTTGTCCATGCTGCTACAGTTGGATGTGCGGTGGATTCACAGATTGACTTCTTCATTGATACGCTGCGAGATGTCGGACAGCATTGGGAGGTTGCGAACAATTACTCCAAGATTCTTCAGCGTGTCGTACAGAGAGCCCGACAAGGTGACATGGGCTTCTCGGCGATGAGAAGGTAAGACTTGTGGTTCAATAACGATATTTCTCAACTAACAGTTACCAGGAGCGCCTACGACTTGGTCACTTTGACATCCACCGCACGACACTCAGGCTTGGAAGCAACGTCAACACAGACTACATCCCTGAGTGAGCTAGACAGCATCGACGTCTTTGAATTCTTCAATTATCCACGCACTTCATCATGTTCTAGCGCACAGTCGCAGCTGCAGCTGCAACCCATTCGTACTCCAGCTCTAGGGACGGAATCAAGCAGAGGTAACGGGGTGCCTGATCCTGAAGCTGACTGGTTGGCATTTGGATCGCCCTACACTTGATTGGAGGAGGGCAGTGTTATTGGTTGGTTGGTTCAGTTCAGTTAAGAGACTTGGAGAGCCTCACGGCAACGGTATTTGCATTCATACTTCCTGTAGTGGCGATTGGATTACATCATCTTTTGAATTTATTGGGAAGCTATGTGTATAGAAATCCTAAATGTAAAAGATACATGAGAGTACAAACCATCCATTGACATCCCTTGAGATCCGGAATTGAGAATCCCATCTAGATTACGATCTGCAGAACACGAGCCGATTTGCATACTTCGACTCTACAACGACCACCCTAACAAGATCTGTCATTGAGTTCAGCCCCCGCCGATCTCTCATGTGAACTTAATCGAAGTTCAACGGGCGCGTAGACCATTCCTTAAAGTTAAATGCGGCCCCAAACTCTGTCTCAGCTGTCAGGTGCTACTATGCTAGGGAGATTTACATTCCAACTTGTGATTGTTTATGGAGGCTGTTTCAGATCGACAAGACATGGTATTCATTCATCTATACATCATAACTATACTTTCATCGTAAGAGGTATCAAAAGCCATAACAAATTTTCAGTGTCGTTCCAGGCGTTAACATGAACATGAATCGTAAACAATAAACAAACATTCCTTTAGCTATCCCAGATAGCTCCGTAGGCTGGAACACCACGCGTTTCCAGTCCGTAAACAATTTTCTTGGTGATTTTCTCATTCGCAATAATGATGACAGCCTCAGCCTTGAATTGCTTGACCAAGTTGTAGCCCATCTTCACCAAGTCAGGTCTCCCAAGCTTCTTAGTATCGTGGATGACCGCGTTGGGGATGCTGTTGCTAATGGTCTCGCAAATTTCTTTACCGAATGTCTCTTCTGGGTTCTTGGTTGACCAGATGAGCTGCGTTGGGCAGGAAGGATTCTGGATGTGGCCCAAGACAGGACCGATTCCTGAGCCCGTCGCGATGAGAACGACGCGGTTAAACAGCGTTGCTATGCGCATGACACCACATGTAGGTACGCCACGTGTCCAAATGTACGATGGGCCATCCTGGATGGTGGCTTTTGTCCAGTCACCAGCGTTAGAAACGACGAGTGAATAGCCCTTTGATCTTCCGTTCACAGGCTCTGGGGCGGGAATGGTGGCGAAGGAGTGCCACTCCTTAAGAGGTTGGCGTGAGAGACGGGTAAAAGACCCGTTGACAGGGACAGTGTAGTCAAAATGAAGTCTGATAGCGTGGTCCGAGAGCTTCTCAGCTTCCACGGGGACTTTTCGAAGGAAGCACCACGAAGACGCAACGCTGGCTGTGGCTACCGCCAAGAGCCAAAAGGCAGGTGACTTAACACAGGACTCTCCCAAGGTTGTGCCAGCTGGTGTGCTGTCGTTGGCTGAGAGGACGACTTGGACCCAGAAGAGAGCGAGCATGGTCCAACCAGCGAATCGGTGGGTTCTCTCAAAGAGGTCATGGTATCGCTTGCGGACAGATGGCCAAGCCATACCAATCATGCCAACAAACATGACCGAGAGAATCCACGAAATGACTTGAGATGCGATGGAGAGGTTACCCCAGTTGGGGCAGTTTCCAAACGCACATGCAATATCTGCAATGTTGGTTGCCAAGAGCCATGCTCCTGCACTCGCAGCTGCACCAGAGTGAACACCGCCAAGATGATAGATCTTTGCACAGCGAGATCTAATAGCAAGAGGCCAGGACTTAGGTACGCTGCATGTGATGGTGTAGAGAGCGTTAATGACAAATTCTTGACGGACAAGAACGGCAGTGGCCAAGTTGATGGCGGTGATGATACCCATCCATTCTCGGTTGATGCTGGTCAGAAGAAGAGCGATAGCGGCGCCAATATTGAACAAGCCAACAAGTGAGAATAAGCGACGGTACACGATGAGAATTCTGTGGCGTACTCCTCGGGCGTGTTTGGGCAGGTCTTTCTCTGGAATAGCCTTCTCAAGATCATACTGGTGCTCGGGAATAAGAGTTGCATCAGAAGCATCTGAGAAAGAACTGAATTGCGTAGCACTTGAAGCGTTCGAATCCATGCGAGCGTGTGCCAATACAGCCGGTAGGGGAGTGCGGACTTGGCTGCTGACAGCCATTGACACAGACATCTTCAGAGCATGCTTGTCGACTTTACCGTTTGCGGTCATGGGTAAAGTCTCCAGTTGGTGGTAATGCGTCGGCATGGCGTAGTAAGGCTGGAGAGTCTTGAGGTGTGCCTCAACGACCGGAACGGGACAATGGCTGGGAGTGATAAAGGCATGGATCTCTTCGTTGATCAGAAGAGCGGTTGCTGATTGAACTGAAGGGCAGGACTTGATGCATGCAACAACGCCGTCGAGTTCAACACGGAAGCCCTTGACTTTGACTTGGTCGTCAATACGGCCAAGGATGTGAAGAGTGCCATCCGTGTTCCATTGACATAAATCTCCGGTGTTGTACATGTTTGATCTATAAATAGTCAGTATTGGCTGAGCTGTCAGAAAGTCGGGACTGAGCTGTACTTACCCGTCTTGGGCAAATGGGTCCAGGCGGAATCTCTCAGCTGTCTTATCGGGCAGATCGACATAGCCTCGCGCCACTCCCGCGCCACCAGCCCACACATTACCAACCTCGCCAACAGGAACAGGTTTTAAGAACTCATCCAAGATGTAGACGGTATTTCCTGGTGTAGGTTTACCAATGGATAGCGGTTGGCCTGTCTGGTGGAGGTGAGTCGTGTTGACGATGGTGGTTTCTGTAGGGCCATAGCAGTTGAAGTAGGACACATGAGAAGCCCAGAGGTCTGCAAGTCTTTTGGATGTCAGTTGGGTCTTTCCTTCTCGAATAGTCTCGACTTACTTTTGACAGCTTGGTTCACCTGCTGTGGCGACTGTTTTCAGTCTTGGAAAGTCCTCGGGGTTTTGTTTTGAGAGAATGCTTGGTGTGCAAATGAGAACATCCAACTTGAAGATTTATTAGTGTTGGACTTCAAGTAGAATTCAAAAGTCTTACCTCTTTTAGGGCTTTTGACCAATTTGATCCGCGAAGGATCAGAGTACCTCCATTAGATAGACAACCGAGTGTTTCCCAGGCAGCTTCACATGTTAGCTATGGCACTTGAGTCTGACTAAATAACAGTTCATGGCTTACCCATATCAAAGCTGACGTTCAACACTTGGCCAACACATGATCCTGGTCCAATGCCCAAGTTTCCTGGTGCCTGACATAGCAAGTTTGTGACGTTGCGGTGGCTGACATCTACTCCCTTCGGTGTGCCAGTTGTTCCTAACTAATTAGTATGGCATAAGTCAAAATATAAGTATGATTCGTCTTACCTGAGGTGTATATCACATAACAACCAGCTTCAGGCTGACCGAAGGGGATAAAGTCCGACTTGTCGTCGATCTCATGTGAGTCCTCAATCGTGACAATGTTGGAAACTCCTGTGTTTGATAGACGATGAGCTGTTGATTTTGAAGTCAAAACAACCTTTCCACCTGTCTGCTTCAACACGAAACGTAAAGTCTCATCTGCAACGACACCTCCGTCAAGAGGAACATATTGAGCACCACATGACAGGATAGAGATGATTCCGACAAGCATGCCAACACCACGCTTGACAACAAGAGGGACACGATCCCCTGGCAAAACACCAAGGCTTTGCAATCGTCGAGCCAAGCTGATGCTTTGTTGGGCAAGCTCGCCATAGCTTATCTCAACAGGCGGCTCGGCAGACAGATCTCGTGCCGCCTTTGCCGAAGGTTGTGTGGCGGCATGATGGAAGAAAGCTTCTGTGATAGTCGAGAAACTAGGCCTACTGCATGTACCTTGTGTAAAAGACACGGGCACAGCAGTCCCTTGAGGTACTGCAAGCACGGGAGAGGGCATACCAGGCAAGCTGGGCGTGTGAAAGAGGATGGAAATGACGATCGTCGTACAAGAGGTTTCAAACAGAAACTCAAAATACTTAGATAATAAGAGGGAAGTGTGCTTGGGTAGTGGTGCTTTGATGATTTGAAATTAAAGGAGTGCATAAGAACTCTCTCCACCAAACAAGCAAGTGTGTTCTTAAATAAACAAATGCTTTTCCCTTCTCCGCTTTCTGCAACCTCTTTCTTTTTCTTGTCTGTTCCCTGTCGTCAACCTATCCATAGCCTAACCCAGCCTTCCTCGTCATTGCTTGGCAGGATTATTCCAAGCTACTGTACCCAACAAGTTGCAAATAGTGAAATGTCCAGGCAACCCGGCCAGTCAGGTGCGTAGTAAGAGCTGCACTTTTGGGGGGGGCGGTCTTCACTCAGGCCGCGCCCTCCTCCGAGGTGCGTCTTTTTTTCCTCTTCCTGTGTCAAACGTGTCCAGATATGGCTCCGCATAGTCCTGTTTGCTGGTTTCCTTGAAACTGGCTTATCAATTGGGGTAAAGGAAGACCTCCGGCTAAAGCCATAACCAGTTTGGGAACGGGAAACCGCTTTGAATCTTGCAAGGATTAGGCACGAGCACATGACAATACGGGACGGGACGACTTGAATGGGTGAGGGCATGTTTGCTTGCGAAAATGCAGTTGGTAGATTTATTGAATGCTTCCTCTCACCGTCGGATCTAGGAAACGAAGTTTTGGTATAGTCTGTGGATCTAATCCCTGTCAGTTCGATTGTTAGTGTTAATTAGACCCGCATCTAGTGAGGGATCTGCGGGAGATAGTCTGATTTAACTCGGTTCCGCGGATGCGGTTACTGCCAGGGTTGCCACGACATCTCCAGCATGCGGGAGCTGCAGGATCTGACTCCGGCATCTGTCGACATGTTACATGTATGATGACGAGTTCGGTGACATTCTGCTGAAGATGGGATGAGACAATGTGTTCATAACTCTTGGATTATTGTCGCTTGGCTCGTCCGCCATATGTCTAGAGTTACCTTTCAGAGAGAATACCTCGGCTTCTCTTAGGTTATTTCGGAACTCCACAAGTGGCAGACCGAAATCTATGAATCTATCTAGCCTCAACAAAGATCATCGGTTTTCATCAAACTACAGTAGACTAGCCACGCGAACGGCTCGACACTTGGACCAAGCCAGCGGAATTGACGGACTCAAAGATCGACAACAGATTCAGCAGCGATGTACAACCAAGTCTTCCAAACATAGAAAAAGATCCCCAACCACCACCTTTCGAAATGCCGCACTGGAGAAAAAAATTTATTAGTTTGTTTGCAATACACAGTAATCAGAAATGTCGAGAGAAAGTCTTCACCTGAGTGCATGTTGGGAGGGAACCTGCATGTACGTACTCTAGGGTCAGACAAACACAAGCCGTGTCTCAGTTGAATCAAAGACACTATCCACTTTCGATTGACTGATCGACGCGACTAAGTTCACGCGTTCTTTGACGTGCTTACCCGAGGTGAAGTACCTGGTTGTCCTGTATTTTACCCAACGCGTTCCGTAGACAAGAGAACAGCAAGTCAACCAAAGACATCACATCATCCACTGAGTCAATCTTGCCGAGTGCAGCCTTCTTTCAGCCCGTGATTCTTTGTATACACACTCCAAGTCAACAGACAATGGACCATCAGCTTATCCTCCCTTCCGCTCCCGCAGACGGTGTACGCGTCCTGGCGTTAAACAGACCCTCCAAGCGCAACGCCCTCTCGCAGGAACTCATAACCGTCTTTCTGGAACAGCTGAAGGCAGCATCCAGGGACGATGGCGTGCGAGTCATTGTCATCACTGGCAGCTCGACTTTCTTTTGCGGTATGAACTCACTCCACTTTATTACCCATTCCCAATTCCCACAAGGGCAGGGGTACATCGAACAACCCCGGCACTTGACCAGGACAGCTGACAAGACCTAACCAACAGCCGGAGCTGATATCGGGGAGATCTCACGCCTCGATGCGGAAGGCGCGCGGGACTGCCGCTACTTGTCGGAGCTTTGTACGGGGATGCAAGCCGTGCGCAAGCCTTTGATAGCGGCTGTTGAGGGAATGGCGGTGAGTTGACAGTTCCACTAACTATAGTCAAATTCACAGAAGTCAGGAACTCTGGAGTATACAGTAGTACAGTACAAAGCTAATGTTTGTGGGATTGACAGCTCGGTGGGGGTTTTGAGCTTGCTCTCATGGTAAAGATTTTCCCTGCCTCGCTCCGGAACCCGAAGCTGATAAACAAACGCTTTTAGTGCGACCTGATTTTTGCAGCGCATGACAGTCGATTCGGTCTCCCAGAGGTCACAATTGGTCTTATCCCTGGTGCTGGCGGTACACAGCGGCTGACCAGTGCCGTGGGAAAGTTCAAGGTGTGTGCTAATGATATCCAATCTTTCTCCATCTCCCCTCCTCCCTTGTACAACTGAGTTTTGATGAGTTGGCATTTGACGCGTGTGAGTGATAGGCTATGCAGATGATCCTTCTCGGTCGTCCCATCCAAGCAGAAGAGGCTCAGTCTGCAGGTCTAGTTGCGCAGCTCTACGAAAGCGGCAGCGTCTTGAACAACGTGGTGAAGGACACGGCATCGACGCTTGCGGCGCTTAGCCCCATGGCTTTGGGCTTGGCTAAAGAAGCAATTTGTAAATGTAAGTGGCTTAACACTTGTTTCTATAAGTAGGTGTGAATATCGTGTTGACATACTATTTATCGTAGCGGATGATTTGGGTGCTGATCACGAGTTTGAGAGAAGTTTGTATTACTTTGCTTTTGGGACCAAGGATAAAGAAGAGGGTGTCAAAGCCTTCTTGGAAAAGAGGAAACCTGAGTGGAGGTCCAAATAAGTTGATCTACTGTTAATCTAAACTCTCACGTAAGGTCGGTTGAGAGGATGATCATTGTATGCATGATGCGTGCATGCTGGTTTGACACCAGAAGTCTATATCTTACGCTGGTGGGTGCTATTGGTTTTTTCAATATGCCAATGTTACTTCGTTCCTTCGGTTAGCTCGTCCCGTGTTGCCAAGGTATAACATTGGTTGACTTCCGCCGATCATGAGCAGCCTTATTTTCTTCACCGTGGACCGTGCGATGATCCTTTTTCTTGGCTATCGTTTTCGATCATTTGCGTTGCATCTAATGATTCACTTTGTGTTCATACAAGCCGTGACAATCGTCAATGTCACCAGCTGTCGCAAATGTTAGGTTACACTTGTCGATCATTCGCCAAGGCATTCCTTTTCGCCAGTAAACAAACTCCAAACCTCCTACAGTGGGTGTTTAGATCCTTTCCGGGATGTAACGGCATACCACGATGCTATAGGGTTGGTGTCGATCTAGTTGCGAAGGGTTCTCCCATCTGACGATGCCAATTGCGTTTGGCACTGGATAGCGTAACGTCTGCGACGAGGCATATCCGATCAATCAGATCACCGGCGGCACGGCTTTCCATGATCGACCTACGATTCAACCTCGCCCTATACCTTAGCTTCAGGGCAGGAACTTGTGACTCGAACTCACCTACTATTTTCGTCTCTTATCTTTCTGCAGCCAGCTTCTCTGTTAGATTGATGCCATTCGTGTGAACATCTCATGAAAGCCCATAGACCACCGACATCTGTTCCCAGGGTCAAAGCGATCTCTGGACTTACTTGATGGATTTTACCGTCAGGCATGGATGTCGATGTACTTGTTGCAAAGCCCATCGTATGATTTATCCTCGGCACTAGAGCCGTCACCCTGTGCGTCTGTCAAAGCGTAAACGCCATCCCGAGTCACTAGCAGCCGCGGGCCGTCTTAGCCGCCATTATCTAACGAACCTCTGGCTAGAGCTTGGCAGGGACTGTGCTGTTTTCACCTGAATCGTAGCTTGGTGATGAGTCGGCTTTGAGAGTTAAAGTTTGTTGCTCAAGTCAGGCCACATCTCGCAATGTTGCATTTGTTTGGTGCGGGTGACACTGAGGCGCCTGTGAAATTAAATTCTTTCATATACTTCATGAGCCCAGTATGCTAATAATTCAAGTATGTACACATAAAATTGGTCATGGGCTAGATTGGATTTGAGCATCTCATCCAACATAGCAAACATAAGTCGTTTTTCAAATAGCTTTTTACCTTCCAAACTGCTCCGCAAGAGAGTTCATGAAAGTAGTACCAGCCAATCGGAAGGTATCAGGCTCAACGCTGGAACCGTTGGGGTTGAAGTAGAAGTTCTGTCCGTAGCCACCGCCGCTCTTGAACACAGGCCACTCGGGAATTCCAGCAACTATTAAAACATCAGTACAATATCACACAATCACGTCCATTCGACCAACTTACGGCCGTGCTCGTTAGGGTTTCCTTCAGTGATGAAGCTGATCCACATTCGAGTAACAAGCTGGGCAAGGTCGAGAACCTCCTTGGAAGCATTGTGGAATGGACCAAGGTTCTTGCCATAACCCATACCGAGCTTGTTGAAGAAGACGTAGGCGACCTCGACAAAGTGAGGAGTTCCGATTTGAGGAGCTTCAAACGAGTTAGTACATCTCGTCAACAGAATTGGATACAGTAGACTTACGCATGTTTGTGTTAGGAGACTCGAACAAGTAAGTGTAAGCAGGCACACCATACTTAGACCAAGCATCGGACCTTCTGCGTCTCCAGCTAACAAAGAGATTGTCACCCTGGAAAGCTGCCATGCGCTTGAACTGAGCCTTGACAGAGTCATTAGCCTTTCGGCGGTAACCAGAAGGGACACCAAGCGCGTCGATGTTGGGATACAGAGCCATCAATGTCTCGGTAGTGTTGGCATCGACGCCATTCGACATGATAGCAGCAGCAAACTGCTCATCGTTGTCGACACCGGGGCCGGCGAAGAAGCTGCCCTCGTCGGCATTGGTGCCGGTTATGAGGGGAACCTTGACGAACTTGCCGTTCTCGAGGAGTGTAGAGGGATAATCAGGGATAAAGTCATTGTCGACAACAGGGTAGAAGTTTCCGGGAACCTTGGTGCTGGTAGCGTTGAGCTTCTCGAAAGACACCTCACGGAGACAAGCAAGCTTGTCAGAAGCGTCGCCACAGCCAGCAGCTTCAGCAATGATGTTGTAGCGTCGCTCAGGTTGAGTGAGGTTTTTCATGTCAGTTCCATCAGCACCGGACTGAGCAATGATACCTCGGAAGAGTTTGTCGTCTCTGCCTCCGTAAGCAGTAGCGTGATAACCGACGTTACCACCACCAGCACTCTCACCAAAGATGGTGACCTTTGAGGTATCACCACCGAAAGCGCCAATGTTCTCCTGGACCCATTCAAGAGCGAGACGCTGATCCTTCAAACCGAGGTTGGCGATGCCGGCGTCCATGACGTCCTTGCTGGCCAAGAAACCCCAGAAAGCAAGTCGGTCTATCTTATGTCAGTGGTGAATTGAGGGTTGCGCTGATTTGACTTACAAGCGACGGAGACAGCAACGAAAGGCTTGCCAGCTTTGACAGCTTCCTCGACCATGAAGGTCATGTTGTAGGCACCGTTGGCAGCAAAGTCCATGGTCCAACCTCCACCGTGGATGAAAACACCAACAGGAAGCTTCTCATCGCTGCTACTGCCCGCAGGTCGGACAACGTTCAGGGTGAGACAGTCCTCGCTGAAGGTAGCAGGACCCTGGTCGGCGGTGTTCTGGCCAAAGTCAGTATTCACTATTCTTTTACAAAAACTCAAAGGTAGTTACTCACTCCGTATCCAACACAAGAGTCGCCATACTTCTTCACCTCAAGGGTGTCAAATGTCTCGTTCAGACTCTGAGGGTTCTGGAAACGAAGTTGGCCGACAGGAGGCTGAGCAAAAGGGATACCCAAGAACAGATCCTGATTGTATCCAGGTTCATATCTTCCTTCGAGAGTACCATTCTTGATCGTGACGGTAGGTGCTTGTTGCGAAACAACACCGTCGGCCAGAAGGGCAGCCGCAGTGACAAGGCTTAGAAGAGAAGGCATCGTGAGGAGATGTTACAACACGCGACTTGTTTCTCAACTACTCTCAGTCCATCATATAGGTGCGGATCATGATCATTTAAGCTGTTTATGCTCTATAGCCCCGTACATAGAGTCCGCAATGGTCTGGGGGGTTCCAAAGCTAGTGCCCGACTTGAGTGACATTGAGCGGAGAAACGCTCAACGTCATGCAAAGTGTTTCTTTACTTATTCAGTAACATGTTGTTTCTGGTACAGACAGCATAATTTCGCCCCAGAGTCAGTGCTTTCATGACACAACATCGGTCCTCAAATTGCCTAATTGGTCTCTGTTTCCGAATCGTGCTTCAGTTGCCGAGATTAACTGCCGCCCTCTAGACCCAAGTCACAGCCAAAATGGGAGAGAAAAGCCCATGGGGAAATAAATACACCACTAAGATGCGGGGGATATCTACGCTTAATCGGAATAACATCGGTTCACTGGTCTCGTTATTGGCATTTAGACCACCTGATGCTGGGACGATGAAACCCGATGGCCCGGGTTTTCAGAATATGGAGTGCATTAGCTTCATTAAACGGGCCGTTTAAAAGGGAATTGGGATCATCACAACTTGGCAATGCAATCGAGAAAAAACATCTTAACCACATTCCACTTTGAGTTGCTGTGATGTGGTTTGCCGATGCGACCTCGTCATGGTTCAGGGATAAGAGTTGGCCGAGTCTGAAGCATGACGCCATGAATTTTTATCGATAAAAGCCAAATTTCACATCCATAATGATGCCTACAAATCAAATAAATTACAAATAGTCATGATTCAGGTGGCTACTTATTCTTCTCAATGTTCTGACAAAGAGAAACTCTATTCGCGTGATGAGAATACAGCACTTTTCTTGAGCTGGCCATTAGCCCTCTCCTCTACCAAGGTAACCCCAACTCCCCACTTGGACACCTCAAATGACTTGTTTCTTTTCATCGACCGTAACATCACAAAAAGGTCCCATCTCCTCATTATCCCCGCAAATGTTCGATTCTGGGGTAGCTCTGGTGGGCTGGGGTTGTAATCGGACAGACTCATGGCATGGTCCGTCTCGTGATTGAGCGCCTTGCAGCTCCACGTAGTGGATGGATCACCTCCGAGGTCATTAATTGTTCTCTTTTATACGGATTTCCCATCTCAAAACTGCGCCGATTCGCCGTGTCACATGTTATTGTTGCGAGTCGTCACGACGTGAATGGAAAACATCGTATTCAGCAGATTTACCCCATTCTTGATATACGCATCAAGGGATCTTGAACGTAGGACAGTTACTGCCCGCCAGCGCAATCTTGCTCCCATTCACATTTATCAGTCGAATCAAACATGCTGTAAGATTGTGAGATGTCAGCACTGACGTTAAGTTCTAGCAGGCTTTCCTGTGAACTGTATCAGGGACCAGCAGATCATGGAGTTGCTTGGCAGACTTTGATGCAGGAGACGCGGCATTGGACAAATCAACGAAGATCATGTAACCCTGGATCCTACCGGTACCAGTAATAGTCTTGCTCAAATCCACGACCGACAGTCACGTACACATCGGCTCTCGGCAACCAGTCGGTGGAGACTGACTGCCTTGTGTTGGCGGATCATAGCTTGTGACAGAACTATAAAGGCCTTTTGTCAATCTTTACTACTGCCATAGACAAAAGAAGTGGAAGGGTTGATGTTTCCGGAAATATAGACATGCGTCCTAATACTTCTAGAGCCAAAGTCCCGTAGTCCTATGCCATTTGATTTGACTGACGTTAGTCTTTTGTCAGCCGGTCCTCTTCAGTTGAGATGTAGTCCAACTCTAACGTTGATAAGAGGCACATAGAAACTATAAGTAACTTGTATAGACCTAAGCAGAGACGTCACCTGATAGTTGGGGTTTCTGATAGCTGTCTTATCAACAACTATCATAAACTTTGGATAGACATCCTTATCTCAACAAACCTTGCGAGTCTTTTTATCACCATTTCAGCCCCCATGGCGCTCACTCGTTCTCTATACGATCCTACACACGATACAATTGGAGACTAGGAAACAAGTCATAATATTACAAGATGGGCGGCTCTGAACAAACCCATCCCTTTTTTACCGAGCACTAGGGGGGTACATGAGTACTGTATCTTCCGGTCCTTGACGAGGAAACGCTGGTCAAACGGTTGTGACAGCTCTCCCAATGATGTTAGCTCAGCAGTGATGTAGGCTTCAAGTCGGTATGTGACGCCTCCTCATTATCAACCTTACGTATACATGGTACAAGTTGAAAGGCATTTGCGGTGCTTACGCCGCAGGTAAGGCCAGCATTACCTGAGCAGAATGAACTGCAATCATCATTCTGTTGAGGAACTAGTTGGGTGAAAGCTTCTCCCGGATAAACGTTTGTTTAAAGAATTGTGTTGCACGCGCTGGCTGCTCGAGCTTCGCGTCCTGCGCGTCCTTCGCGATGTAGCGTGAACTCAAGCACATTTTGTTGTGTTTGGAACATGGTATGCTAGATATGCGTCGGAGTAAAACACACAATGCCATCAAAGACAGAGGCTGGTTTGGAATGATGTAGAGCCAAGTGCAGACGACAACCCAGCAATCTGGAATGCCAATCTCAAAAGTGGCGACGACTTCACATTTTGGCGCCATGACACGTAACCATCCCTTCCTGGCCCAACCCTGTGAAACGCGTTCGCAAAAGCTCCTTCATCGAAGGTGTAGAGGTGAGCGACATTCAAAGTACAATGCCGATTTCGCGGAACCTATTTCTACTGGTAGAGTTTCTTTCTTGGTGGCCAGTCAAAGGTCTCCTCGAGATAGAATGGCCAGTCGGTAAATCACCAGGAGATTGCTTCGTTCAACGCCGGCTTCGCAATGAGTTACCCTGTAGTTAGGACGAAAACTGGTTCGATGTGGCAAGTGGCGTAGTAACGTCAAGTTAACAGGTTGTTTTCCTACATATGTCTTTCAAGTACTGGGACGAGGACCTATAGAACTCATGTGGTTTCTACCAAAGTCGTGTGTGGATGTCTGTATCGGCATTCCTTGTCAAGTTATAGAATTTCCACGAGAGAAACGCCACAGTAGAAGATCCTCAACCATGAATCACGACTTTTTCCATTGACGGGCGCTAGTACCTGGAGCTAACAAGCCACAGTTCGGGCATTTGCCAGAATTGACTTGCCCCTGAGCCAAGATAAAAACTGTTGGCGATAGCTTCAATAGTCGCGTTGAAACAAACCGATAGTGCGTGAGTACTCTGGCCTAGAATATCGTTAGTTTGCTACTCGACAGAAAACATCTGCCGTGATTGGTGTCTATAACACGCTATGGATGGTTTGGGACTCGCGCATTCTTGCACTGTTAGGCAGGGATAAAGGCTTGCAGGGGTCAATTTAGGGGTTGAACTTGGGTGGGTTTTGGTCTGTCTTGTGCAACTTGGAGAGGTCTTGATGGTTGATGTTCTTGGAGATTCATGTCATGTTCATTTTGACTGATTGAAAATGGCATCAGGCAAATACACGTCGATTCTGACTGGAATACAGCAAGATACCTCAAGTCTAATCGTGGGAGCTCACCAGTTCAAGGGGGAAGCACCAAAGCCACCCAATTAAAACGTTTCAAGTGGCGTCTTTAGCTTCAGCTGAAGCTCGCGAGTGCCCCTCTTTTTCTTAGAGTTGCCTCCAAGAGTCTGAGAGTTAACAATATCCAGTGTAGTCCTCCTATTCCGATGAGTAAGAAAGGCGAGTGGCGGCGTCTGGCTGTTGACCGTTGCGTTTCACCTACCAAAGTTTATCCAGCGCAAGGGGGAAGTTTCAGGGCGAACAGAGAACAAAACAGAACAATTGAGCTGTGATGGGGGACTCTTGGCTTCTGCTGAGATGACGTGACACTTATTGGTGATAGATCAGATGCCAAACAAGATATCCAAAAGATACAGAAATCTTTTTTAGCGATATGATCTAGAACGATGATGGAAAGCAAAGATCTGGAAAGAAATTGCTTGGCGGAGGATCCATTAAAGGGATCGACTACGGGAGTGAGGCACAAGCTTCCCGGCCTGTCAATCAGTGATGATTAAATTCAGGGCAGCTTCCCTACTATAGGTCCCTAACTTTCAGGGCATCAACCCCCGCACTCGTACAACTTGCAGCGCTCTCTACAGCAGTCACTGTTCCTTGACTTGACTGGACCAGACCAAAGCATCAACAATTAACCTTCTCCTAATACAACAGAGACAAAAGTTAAACTCAACTACCGTGGCCTTGTCAATATCCCCTTTTTCTAGCGAGAGCGAAAAGGGTCGTCACAGGTTGATTGGAAAGTGGATTATGAGGCGTCAGAGTGTACCCACCATCAGCCAACCGTTGCAATCCTCACAGGGTGAAGCGCTACTGAGACAACATGTCCCCATTCAAAATAGCTCTGAGGGACCTTATTTTAGGGAGAGAAAAAGATAGCGTAGTAGCGATGCATGCGATGCGATACTAAAAAAAAAAGAACAAAAAATAAACCCCTGCTTAAAAAGAGAGTCAGGGGTCATCGTGTTCTGTTCTCCATTGCTCTTACTCCTGGGTCCCCTCAGCTGAACTGCTTCGTCATCCTTCCTTTTCTTGGCTTCTTGCATTCTTTTTTCCCTTCTTTCTTGTATCTGTACACTTTCTCTCATTTTATTCTGGCAATAACACTTTCTTTCTTGCCAAAATGACCGTCCCAAGGTCAAACAGAGCGGTCGTTCTGGCCGCTGTGGTCTTCATCACCATATTTCTTGGTCTGGCGCATTTCCACCTAAAGACGCCCAGCGAAACAGCTGCCGCAGTCGGCAACGGCAACAGCAACAGCAACAGCGGAGTGTAAGTTTCCCCCTCTCTTCTTTCGCACGTTCAGAAACTCAATCTAACTTTTCTTCTCCCACAGCGACGAGCCTGCGCCTTTCATCCCCGAGAAAGAAGCCGCCGCTGCGGCACCGACTTTTGTTCCCGCTGTAGACGAAGGAATTGGCGGTGCACCCGCTGTCGAGACCGTCACCGAAGTCGTCGAGGTTGAGCCAACACCAACACCAACGCCTCCCTCCGCGGCTGAAGCTGAGGCTGAGGCCGAGGCTGAGCACGATCACGACCACGAGCATGAACATGAACATGAACATGAGCACAAAGTTACCCCTCAGAAGCCCGACTTCGATCCCGAAGAGGCTCCCAGCGACCCCGAAGAGCTCGCTGCCGCCGATGCAGCCAGTACTCCTACTCCTTCTCCCATCGCCGAGGAAGAGGCTCTCCCTACGCCTGATGAGCTCTCCGAAGCTCCCGCCCTGCCTGATACCCCTTCTTCCGAACTCAACCTCGATGCCTTCACCCCCGAGAAATGGATCCGTCCCGCCGTAAAGGTCAACGATCCTGAATACTTCCCCTACGGCCACTGGCCCTCCAAGCTCCCCTCTGACAAGCCCATCTGGAACGAGCCGCTCGGCAAGAAGCTCTGCATTGTTGATCTTGAGAGTCGTCGTTTCGATAAGCCTGGCTATCTCTGGTCGGACGAAATGACTTGGAACAAGAGCCGAGAGGTCCACGGCCCGTCTGGTGGCACATTGAACCACTGGGTCTACTGTATGTCTCTCGCTAATTGGCAGCTCTCGCTTACTTTTGTGTACATCTGCTGACTTTTAAATAGCCAAGATCCACGGATACCAGTACTACCACATCAAGATCAACAGCTACTCCGACCGTCGCGATTCTTGGAAGAAGCCGTCTGTCCTCGCCCAAGTCCTCAAGAAGCATGATGTCTGCGTCTTCATCGACTCGGATGCCCTCTTCAACCGCCTCGACCTCCCTCTCGAGTGGCTCATGAACTACTGGAGCATCACCCCCCAGAACAACTCCATGGCCCTGCCTTTCGACCCCGATACCCAGCACAACCGCGACCGAAGGGGCAACCTGTTCCTCAACACTGGCTTCATGATCATGCAGAACAAGCCCAAGACCTACGAAATTTTCAAGGAGTGGGATGACTGCGCCAATGATGGTGGTCGCTTCCCCGACTGTACCGAGTTCCGTAACCGTAAGGGTTGGCAGCCTACTGATCAGGGCGGTTTCGGCACCTTCATTCGCTACGCTTATGACTCCGAGATTCGCTCGCTGCCCTGCACAGAGGCCAACGGTTTCCCCGAGAGTAACTCGGGCTGCGATGGCAAGTTTATCAAGCACGTCTGGATTGGCAAGGAGGATCGCCTTGTCCAGGCCGTCGGCGCTGTTTTCCCGGGCGTCCTCCTTGAGACCTTCCACAAGCAGTTCCTCAAGGAGTCAGAGAGCTTTAAGACTTCCGAGGACGAGCTTATTGCTGCCAATGGACGTCCTTGGTAAGCGTCATAAACACTTGCTTTAGTTGTTGGAGTTTTGTCTTTACGTGTGGCTGGGCGTTTTTATCTTTAACTCCTTACTCTCTCCGATCATCGGAGGGGAGGTATGGAAAGAAATGAATGGTGTATAAATAGACAATGCAAATGGATATAGACCTAGGGGGAGGGCTTGGTAAAGCCTGAATACAAAATACAATTAATGTACCGTCCATACCTGACTTGTTTCCGTAACCGGAGATATCTTCCGTAGTGATACATGGCGTTTTCTCCCTTCACTCCAATTGAAAAGTATCACTACAATTGATCGAACTGGACGGCAAAACCATGAACACCAGCATTCTTGCAGATGTCGCTTGTGTCTTAATATTGTTGGTGTATCTGCCAACACACTTGTGTACCCACACAGCCTGACACCCTGAACAGGTTCTGAAGATCGAGATGTAATATCTAGCGAGACATTTTGATCTTGGTGAAAGAGAAGTGACCTTAAAAATAGTACCCCAGAAAAGATCGAGATGTAATGCATGAACTGTCACGAGACTCCAGGAACCAATACGCGACTTGCATGTCGGCACCCCAGTGCCGCATCTAGACCTTTGCTTTCCCGCGGGAATCATATTCGTGCGCATTCACAGGTTCACCGGTTGTATGCTGTGCTAGGATGGATTCATCTGTCGTCCTATCCATTTCTGGCTTGTTCCGATAAGAACAGTTCAGTTATCGTTCATTATGTGGCTAACCGATGAAGATAATCCCCAACCCCCGGTTGATCGAAGATTCAGAATCTCCAAACCGGCGCAATTCGTTTCGATGTTTTCGTCCATAGGTATTGTTAGGATGCGGAACACTGGTGAATTCATGATATCAGCAAACTGAATTGATCGCCAACGGATTTGTAAGTCTAGTCACCCGATAGGAAGAGGCGGTGTTAAGGAAATGGAGTTTCGTTGTAAAATATCAAAGTATAGTGAGTTCAGCCCAATTGATAAGAGATTGATGTCTAGTGCCATCGATGCAAACTGAACAAAAGCGTCCTTTCATCCCAGCGCCCTGAGCGTTTCTATTCATCCTCGTATCGTTTTCTTCTCGACTCGACAGTAAGGGCATCTAGGGGTGCCACACCCAGGACAATCGACTGTCGAGACTTTCATTCCTGAAGTAGGGCAACAACAACAAGCCCATATGTATACGGTTCTTTTCTTCTTCGGTGCCTACGGTTCTTGTTAAACGAGTGGCCCAAGCTGGAACGTTTTCAGCTGATCGCCTACTGGTAGTTCATAGATTGGGATCCCTTGTTGGACGTCGTTGTCGGTTGATTCGATTTCTGAGGTGTCTTCCAACTGATTATATATATCGAGGGGGGCTGTCCGAGAGAGACTCAGGAAACACATGACGATAACATGATATGAACATCTGGGGAGGTTCTAGAAGGGGATCCTGGACAATTAAATACCATTTTTAGTTGCTTCATAAGCTTGGTAAATTGAAGGGAACCTGACACCTCATTCCACCGCAGAAGAGCTAGTCTCGTATATTTTTACCAACTGGTGACTGTTGGATACCGCTGAGTACATACATTGTGCCATAGCAAGTCTCAGGTAGATATGAGAGATAATGCCAGTTGTCGTTGGGGAACTAGGATTAGATACCTAGGCTAAACCCCCTGGTCATTGAAGATTTTCACCTCCAGTCTCAACAAAGCAATAAAGAACCTTGATGGCCAATAAATTGGAATAGAAAATAGTATAGAAACTTCGAAGCCAATCGGTTATTGCCTCACGAGGGGTTCATTATAAGGCGTTTAGATAATTGGAGTACGTATGTAGTAGTAATAGGTATTGGTGCTTAGACATGCTGGCGGAAAGCCTTGTCTCAAAGTGACGTGTTACATCGGCTTGGACTCAGATTTGAGAACCTGTTAGATGCATATTGCTGGAAAGAGGTGTCCTGCTGACTTGACAAACCAATATTGGTTTGACGAAGGGATGATTGCATGGACACATCTCTTAGGTAAGCCCATTGCTGTCTGTTTCTCCCACTTGTGCTTACTTGACCAACCGTAATTTATCATCTATGATGGATTATTGCGTTGGCGTCATTTCTATCATCTCTCATTCAAGCTCGCTTTGAGAGCACCAAACAAGCCTGCTCTGTTAGTGTTTGCTTGACCTCAGATATGAGAAATAAGACAGCGCTAGATCATTTTCTTGCTACAAATATCTACGATAATCCCAAATTCGTCCATCCGAAGTCTCGGGAGATTGAAGTTACACAAAACTGGCAAGGCAACTGAGTTGGTCTCCCGCTCAGTCAAGGGACGACGGGTATGGTGGTTGAAACAACAGAAACTCGAGAATTCCAATTCTTCAAAGAACGTTCTAATTCTATTCGACAACTATGACCAATGAGGAAAAGGCCTACTGACAAAGATAACCATCTTACTCCGTTGCTCTTGCGATCACGACAATAGCACTGCGGCTTATTGGCCCCCTACACGCGAGGGTGTCATGTTGGCCAGTAAGTGGCCAGTAAGGTTTAGAAGATGTTTTTATGTACTACGTCAAAGACAAAATGATAGGCGCTGGTTGACCGGCCTCAGTCCAAAAGGCAATAGACGCCTTCCCGAGACGATGAGTTTCTATAGGTGATGAATCTCACCGAGATCTTCTGAAAGTGCAAAGACGTCACGAGCCCCGAGGGCCTCAATACGGTCAAAGATCGTGAGTGAAACTTGTATTTAATGTCACAAAGCCTCTACTCCATCTCATAAGTTTTCCAAGTCTCTCATAACTCGAGCTACTTGGAGTATCGACAAAATGAGACTTTTAAAGCACTTATATCTCCACTAAAATCTCCGTCGGGTACTCTAACATCAATTCAAATATATTGGTCTTTGATTGTCTCTTATCAATCGAGGTAAGTCTGATCACAACGGTTCGGTATCGATACACACTGAACCGTACAAGCTCGCAGATATGCCCAGGCTTCTAATTGACAGCGAACAAGGTTCGACTATACAAAGGCAGAAGAATCGAACGAAGAACAAGAGAAGAAGAAGGCGACAAAATAGACAGCCTAATACTGAACATGCTGCTGGAATTTTTCGTTTTACACTAAACGTCCAAGAGGTCGAGCCGCATCAGCTCTTGACCGAGAACGACGTATTTGTTGACTTAGAGAACCTCGATGGAGACAGCATAGCTCATTACTTCATGACGAAGGACGATACCGATCCTAAGCTCGAGGGTCAAGCTAAGACGGTTGTCTTGTTCTGTCACCCAGATGCTCTCTCAGAGCTACAATCAGGCAGTTCGAAGCTCTTACCGGAGAAGGTCTGTCTGATAGACGACAGGACGTGCCAAGGTTTAACTTCAAATGCGCTTGGTGTTTGCAAGCCTCTCAGTGTTTACGACATGTTCAAAAAGCTCCAAGAGAAGGTTAGTGATATCTGATGAGATTCATCCATGTTTTTGTGTTTGGGTAAACTCTGCTTGAGTACTAGACACGATGCCTCAGAGTGCATCTGACAATGTCTTTTCTTCTCACAAACCTGAGTAGATCTTCCATGGCTTCATCTGAACTGTGTGATACGACTACAACTAACCTTCGCGATAGAGATTCTCAAAGACAGAGCCCAGCGCTCACCGGAGATTGATGTAAGAATGCAAGCAGACTGAACCCATTATCGCGTGACTGATTTAAACTTAGCTTTATCACCGACTTGAATAGTCACTCGCTAGCGGCATTGATGGCTACAGCACCTCCAAGTCATGTTGATGCACTTATCACGTTTTTCTACTCACACATCGTACTTCATTCCCATCTAGGGATCTGTTCTCGGGTAAGAAGCCTTGTTACTTAGTCGCAGTACACTCGACTTACTAGTAATGATAGTCGCGTGGACTACCAACTTCTACGCATTCATTCCACTTACCCTTTTACTCTTGGAAACGATATACTCGACCACCACTGGATCAGCGACGCAAACAGGATAACAGTCGATTGCGAAAAGTGTATGATATGAGCTTCCTTCGAGGCGATGCCATGTCGCGAGGCCGAGCGACCGACTATCTCTGCGAAGCCCAAGTGTCAGTTATGATCACTGCTATCAACCAGACAGTTTGGACAGGATATTGCTTTGTCGACACGTATCACGAGCTTGGAGAAAGAAAAAAACTGTCGATAAGTACTGCAAGAGTGAGCTAGATCCTGATCAAGTACAACAAGATCCTTTTGTTGAGGATGAATCCGAAAACCCAATACTAGATCCAGGGGAATATTTCTTGACCTCATTAGACTGTCAACTAAAGGTCTTCAAATCTGAATGGATGCAAACAAATCGTTTTTTCACAGAGAGAGTAGAAGAATACGTACGGACATACGACACCCTACTGTGGCCATCTATAGTTGACATATCGTATTCTTAGATCGACCACTTCGAACACGAAGCCCGAGTCTTATCTGAAAGATCTCCTCAAGCCAGGCAAGAGCCTCTCGTATGGCTCCGCCGGACGAGACGTATCCTCACAGATCTGATATCATGCCTGGACTTGACTATCAGCTGTTGGGATAACTACCCTTTTCAAGGTCAATTCGAAACAGAATATTCACAACGGTGTCTCAGATCTATCCAGCAGAGCTTTGTAGAGTCGAAGAAGTGTTTGAAAGAACTCGAGAGCATTCGCACGCGATGTGACGATCACAAAGAGACGGTAAGACATCACCCATCTTTTGTCACGAATCGTGCTGACACGTTTGCTTAGCTGAGCTTGTACAGTATCGACACGCAGAACCAAATTGCGGAGCTTCAAACTAAAGCAGCCCAGAACGCCCAAACGATAAGCTACTTTGTCATCTACGTAAAACATCATACAAGATGCGTGCCTGGGTAGAACTAACCTGCTACTCATTAGATTCTCTCGCCAGCCACAATCGCAGCTGCCATGCTATCCATGCAGGAGAAAGCAATTCCTACCATTCTGGGGCCTACGAAATTGTCGTTCTTCATCCTGACACCCTTCCTGACTCTGGCTTTGTATACAATGTCATGGATGATTCGCTCCTGGGAGAAGATTCAGCGACTTTTCGTTCACCTAATGAAATCGCAGGATGCCCTTCAACCAGACACTATTGAACTGGAAGAGGTTGTATAGAACTAAGAGGAAATTGTAAGGGATGAAACACAGAACAACAATCTAAATATACGTGAGAGACCACTACCAGTTTGCACACATTTCATGTACACTATTGGCATTACAAATCCAATATTGCCACGATGCCAGAGGATGTGAAATATGACAACAGAGCTTATGCCGGACTGGGTCTTTGTTCCTGCTGCTATACATCATTCTGTCTAACATGAATACCGTTTACAGTCCTGCTCAATAAATCTGGACGTGTCCATTGGAGTTGTAATTCATTCGTCTTCCACCCCCACAGATCCTTCTCCACGTCCTCGACAATTTCAAAACCAGCTTTGTTGTAAAGGAACAGCGAAGTCTCCTGCGTTCTCGATGTGTAAAGTGAAACCCGGTCAAAACCCTGCTGTTGAACAAACTCCATGGCTGTATTCAGTAACCTTTTGCCCACGCCGAGACCTCGGACTCTCTCGTCGACTATGAACCCACGTATCTGTGCCGTGCCGATTTGTTTCATGTTCTCGGCGTCAACCAGGATGGTGCCCACAATCTTCTGCGTGAGTGCGGCGGGATCGTCTGTCTCTTGGACTGCCGCAAAGACTTGATTCCGAGGGTCGGATTCGAGTCTTTTGATAAGGTCGGCCCAAGCAGCGGCGACCGAGGTTTCGAAGGCGAGACCCCATGAGTTTACAGGATGATAGTGGGCTATATGCATCTCGAGACATCGGGCCAGTAAACCGGGGCGGTATCCTGGTTCGATGCTGATGCTCTTCTCTGAGTTTGTCATGGTGGCAACAAGATATGCATAAAGATAACAAGAACGTTACAATCTAGGTTTGGAATCAGAAATCGTTAGGGAAGGTGAGTATGGAGTTGGTTGAGTCACGGAAAATGCCGTAAGATGTCTTGGCTTTGCAGTCATGAAGCTGACATTCACATACAACTGCGGGGTATAATTTCCATGCGTAAGATTACCAATCATGTCTTTGTCTACTGTCCATTCAACCAACAATAGGAACAGCTATAGTTGGAACTTTAATATTGAAATTTTGACCTATATCTTGAGACTGTGGTTGGATGATTAGCGCAAATTATGAGTGGTGTTATGCGAGCAAGACTAATGTTGCCTGCCGTGTTGGACCGAAAGAGAACCCTTGTAATGATACAATCAATTGATTTTAGTCAATTAAGTCTGGTCATAGGAACCGCGTTCCTAAAGTCAGTCTTCACAATTCTCATGTTGTTGATTTGCTGCTTGCTTCCTTTTTGCGCAGCTTGCCGAGCCTCTCATTTGATTAGTCTCCTTAAAATCAAGGTGATATTGGATATTAGCCTTACGGAAAGTTAAGATCGTCTTCAACAGTTACATTCGGAACATAATGAACCGCCACATACTGATGCATCTTAACAGCACAGATAATTTTCCGTCTAGGGCGCCATTTCGGCGCATTGTCGGATTGCGGTGTAGTCTCTTGAAGGTTTCCCCACGAGATTGAAACCATCCCAAACGATTGGTACTGGGAACGACATCCTTGACCAGATCGATAAAGTGTAAATGAGTGGTGCCGCCTGCCTACATGATGTGTTATGTGCGTCAGGCTGGTCATCCAGGGGGGAGAACCAGGCTCGGCTACTGAAGAAAGGGTTGAATCCTTCTGAAAGCCGGGGGAACGTTGGTAGAAACCCGGACCCCTGCATAAGCCCAGGTTGAAACTGGACGACCTTGTCGGGCTTATCCATTTTCATGCTTTAGACCGAGAAATTCCCCATTGATGACAGGCTGTTGGTTTGTTACATCTGTTTGTCGGAAAGGTGATGTTGGTTCGTGTTTCGACCTGCCAGATGAATGTGCCATCCACTGTCATGTGGAGACGTAATCCTAAGGGACTGACTGCATCTACTCTTTACGAAAGCGAATATTCTCGGCCGTACTCCTCGGCTTTGAGGCTTATTATTCGAAACTCAAAAGGGAAATGACTGTAACGTTTACGGTCGGTAAGATGTATGTTTGTAATGCCAGTCTATTTTCAGTTGGCAACGTATGTATGCAAATGCTTGCTGTAAAGTCATCGACTCTTATAATATATATCATCCACTAACTAACTATCCCCCATTTGACTGTATTTAGATGATGAGCTTGGTAAGAAGCTTACCCTGGTTGACGCCAGAGAAGAGCTTCATCCAAGTCTCAGGCTGCTCCTCAATGCGAGCCTCGATAACAGTCTCGGCAGCCTCCAGCTTGATGCGGCCATCGGCAGTAGCGCCGATGAGCTCACCGAGAATGGCGGGGACCTTGTCCATGTAGTCGAGCATGATAAAGCCGCGGATGTTGATACGCGAAGAGATAAGCTCGAACCAGTTCTTAAGAGCCATAGGCTCATCAGAGTTATAGCTGCTAACGGCGCCGCAGACGGCGATGTGGCCGTGGCGCTTAACGCGGGTGAGCATAGCGTCGAGGACGAAGCCACCGACGTTGTCAAAGTAGACATCGACCTCATCGGGGGTAACAGCCTTGAGATCCTCAAGGAAGGTAGGGCTCTTGTAGTTGATGCACTCGTGAGCACCAATGCTCTTCACCCACTCGCACTTCTCATCGGAACCGGCAATACCAATGACACGCTTGGCCTTGAGGATCTTGGAAGCGATCTGAACAGCCATTGAGCCAGTGGCACCAGCAGCGGCAGAGATAACGATGGTGTGCTCAGGCTTGGCCTCACCAGCGTAGTAAAGACCAGTGTAGGCGGCAAGACCAGAAGCGCCAAAGGCGCCGAGGAAGTGGGTGGTGGGGAGACCATTGGGGAGGGGAGCAAGAGGCTGGGAGTTCTCAGCCTCTAGGATGGCATACTCGCTCCAGATACCGAGATGGAAATCCATGCAGAGATCGCCGACCTTGAACTTGTCGGATCGAGACTCGACGACCTCAGCGATGATGCCGGATCGCATAGGCGAGCCGACGGGGACAGTAGGAACATAGAAGCGCTCAGGGGCGACAGTGCTCTGCATAAAGTTCCTCAGGCCAGTATCGTTGGAAAAGTACTGGATCTTGACGAGGATCTGGCCATCCTGAAGCTCGGGAAGGGTGACAGTCTGCAGCTTCCAGGTGGCGTCAGGGCCAGAGAGAACAGGCTCCCCTGTAGGCTTGTTGGCCAGGACCCATTGCTTGGTAGAGTAAGAGGATGACATGATTGATATCGTATGTGTGTAGGATGTTTTAGTTTGAAGTAAAAAAAGATAATGTTTCGCAAAAAGTTGGAAGCGAGACTGGCGAGGCGATGATGGTTGGTTGTGGACAGGGAAGGAACTAAACTAGTAAGAACTTTTTTACTTTTTTCCCAGTTAGGATGAACCTCGTTAGCGATGAATCCTTTATACATAAGAGACGAGCTTGCCGTGGTTAAATTATAAATTAATTCTGGCGACGTTGCCCACTTGAAGACTAGCCTTTACCGTGGCCTCTTCCCGTTGGCCTGTGCAGGGCATAATAAACGGTCCCCCCCCATCTCCGACGAGTGTTTGAAGTCAGGGTTCAGGGATTTCCCTGGTATGAATGGATATGGTTCCCCTTTCACCACGACGTAAAACCAACAAAACATTGGGGGGCACTCCTTGACAAACCAACAAATGGCGGAGGGAATTTGTAAAGAGACCGCGAACCTGGTCAGCCAAGCCTGGCGGGTGTCAGTGTCGTAGCAATGGAAGGTTTATTGGAAGTGAAAGAAGCACGTCAGACGTTAGTTAGTCAGATCCGATACTTTCGATAGCATGTTCACGATATTTCCGAAACTCAATTCCATTTCCATTACACACCGATGCCACTACTAGCCCTACTGGCCCTACCATCTCGCTGTTGAAGATTGAACCGTTTCACTACTCGAAGCCGTTGAGTACTAACTTGAAGAAAACGAGCTTATTTTCCAGTCCGGCTTGTCCGTCATTTATTTAGCGTGAGCGTCATGAGTCGTTGAACGAGTCGGTCGGCCAACTTTGCTTTTTTGTATGTGATCGACAAAAGTTTCTGGGGGCTTAACGCCCTGAAGCCCAGTGAAACATGACCTGTTTTTAGTGAACAGCCCTTCGATGGAGGGCTTTGATTCGGCGGGCTACTGTTGTCCGACGCTAGGCTTGTAGTCCAATCCTTGGTTGCTTTTGAAAGAGCTAGGTCCTCGTTAGTTATTAACGGACTCGGGCAGAACACACTAACTCATCTGCGATAACCTACAAAGTACGAGCCCGCGACTGAAATGTTTTTCTCTTATCAAACCATGTGGGTTCTTATGGATACTCGTCAGCACGATGCTGCTCGCCAAGTGGTCATAGTACTTCATGCCGTGTCTAATAACGGCACAATGAACGCCAAAAAGGTCTCGGATTGTTTCCAACTCGTCTTGAAAAGGCAGGCTATTAATCTTAGTCGGCCAAAATTTGAGTCTTTCGGGAAGACCGTCATCTTTAGACGCCTTTTCTCTTCTCTCCGCAATGTCTGTTCTCAAGATGGCGCTCCATCCATCTCTAGCATTGTTCTAGCTTGATAATCTAACTTGTCAAATGTGCATTTGCACCTGAGCTGATTCAAGAGTGTTGATTGTCAGTGCCGTATGATTTCATGCCTACTAGTCAGGTCCAGCACCTTGACATTGGTAAACGTCCCCATTTACAATGTCATGCTGCAGTTGCCGCCGCGTCTTACCGAGTGAACAAAGTTCCAGTTCATATCCAGGCACAAAACGCACAGCGTCTCTTTGGCAGTGGAGTTGCTCATCAGACCTTTTTCATCAGACCTTTTGCTTTTTTCGGTACCAAGCACCAGGCTCAGGTTCCTGATTCACAAAAGCGAAATAACCCTTGACCTTGGTTGACTCACGTGAATCGCGCGTGGCAACTCTTCAACTCCTTCGTACCTGGTGCCACTCAAACGTCTCACCATGGCCAAGATCTATCCACTGCGGACCCGGCCTGTATCCCCTGCCCGGGAAACCCCTGCTAGGTGTTCCACCCGCGCCAGCGGATGCTTCAAGCCCGACAGGTTCAAGGGCATTGAGAACCTCTACTAACGACCAACGAGGAAGTGGCAACGAAATTACAGCCAAGATGCGTAGTCGTACGTATTACAACTTCCGATCCAAGCTTAGTTGGGACTAATTGACCGTTTGCACAGCACCAATACCCATGCTAATGCAGGTTCCTGCTTCCCTTTCCTCCCCTTCCCCATTCTATTCTGTAATACAGGGCTCTGCCGTCCGTTCGCTCCGGGGGGGTTAAAGAAAAGCCAAGAGGCTAGAAGGGGGGATGATAAGCCCGTATGATCGACAGGACATTTTTCTGCCTTGTCCCGGACGCTATCTTTCTTCACTTACCAACCTATGAATAATATAAGGGAAGAATGGGGAACCTCTAAATTTTCCAATTTCTTGATATTCGTTGGATGTGAATTTCCCCCCATACCTGGTGTCTCTTTGTTTTCGCTTTGAGTTTGTTTCTTTCTGCGTTTGCCTATCTGACAACAGCATTTACTGCCCATCATGTCGGCTCAGATGGGCCCTGTGGACTCTTCAGTCCAGGTTGTCAAGCCAATACTGGGGTTTGTCCTGGCTGAACTGATCATCAATTGCTTCATCGTGTTATTAGTCCTCCTTGTTGTTGGACTACGAGTTGTTGGACGACTAGCAGGGCCTGGTCTTGGGTGGGACGATGGTTTTGTCATCTTCGCAACGGTACGTGAACAGCATCATCAGAGTCTGATACAACAATGACTGACAATCATATAGCCGCTTGGTGTAGCAATGCTTTGTTGTCAAGGACTCTTTGCGCCTGCTGGAAACGGATACCCCCTTCCAACGAACCTAGAACTCGCCGCAAACATTCCGTTCATCCTCAAGTTGACATTCTGTATGCAAATCATCTATGTCACTCTCCTCGCCGCAGTCAAAGCAAGCATGCTTTCCTTCTTCATTCGCGTCTTTCCTACTCCCTTCATGCAAAAGGCTTCCAAGGCTGCTCTCGGCTTTGTTGGCCTGTGGACCATCGCCTTCCTCGGAGCTTGTATTTTCCTGTGTTCGCCAGTTCAGAATCAGTGGGAGAACCCATTGCAATGCAAAGGACAATATATGCCCATGATCCAGTCCTTAATTGCCACCAACGCTGTTGGTGATTTGATCATTATGGCCCTTCCCATGCACAGTGTTTGGGGCCTCAAGACAAGACGTGCTGAGAAGATCGGTATCACCTCTTGTTTCGCTCTCGGTCTAGCGTAAGACACTCCCACCGTATCTTCTAACGTACCATATGCTAACTGAACTAGATGTGTCGTATGCGCCGTCTTCCGACTTATCTACATCTCGACCGTCGATCTCAACGCCAACATCACAGGCACCATGGCTACCACCGTCTTCCTCTTTATCCTCGAACCCAACCTGGCCATCCTTTGTGTCAGTATTCCCATGCTGCGACCTTTCTACGCCAAGTACAAGAAGCGAATGGGCGGATCCCGACTCGACGAATATTCCAACTCGAGGAGCACCGGATTCCGAGACATGAGCCGAACAGGTGCCAGCAGCGCTGCCCCCGAGGCCGTTCGCGACCCCAATCTATCGACCTGGGAGATGGACGACTACCGCCCGCAAGACAAGATCCGGCATGGATATAGCGTCTCGGGATTCCCCGATGAGTCAGGATCCGAGAAGAACCTGACTGTTGGTTCGTCAGAGGCTCCCAAGGGCGAGATCAGCGTCGAGACTAAGTGGACGGTTACACACTCTACTCGCAAATAAAGAGAGATTCGTTTCGGAGTATAACGATACCATATACCATATAGCATTTTAGTCTACTTAGCCGAGGCACTACCTCACATCATAAAATAATATCTTCTTCTAGTCAATACTACAAAAATTATCTACTAGACACAGAATTAGGCCTTGACAACAGCGCATAGGAGACTGCAGGTTGTGACAGTGAAGTAACACCCAACACATCGTCTACATATGGCACATCGAGTCCACTAAAGCTTCAGTGCCATTGCCATTGCCGCACTTAGCGATGAACATAGATCTAACGACGTCCAAGCACCGTAGGCTCAGCTTCCATGTCCGTAAAACGCCATTTCCTCATCCCTGAAGCTTTGTCGTGTAAGTCGTTGGAGTCAAAGCCCCTCCCGTCATCATCTGCATCCACTGATCTCCTGCAGTGATGAGAGTCATGCAGATCCGGAATCCCACGCGCCTCATTTTTTGTAGATATGATAGATCACAACAAAAAGCAAAATTAATCTTCCCAATCCCCGTTCTCTATATTACCCATCAGTCAGCGCTGGGCATCAAGTGATGATCAGCCGGTGCGAAGTGGGCGCTATTATTTAGGTACCTCAGCCGCACCCACGCGGTATTTGCTTCTTGCTCCCCGTCGGCTTCTAGTACGACGCTCCCGCGTGGCGTGTTGTATCCGCTCGGCTGCTCAAGCGAGCAGATAGTACGACACAGAAGTCTCGGTTGAGTCAAGGCTCAAATGATGAGTTTGATGACCAGAAAGGTGGCACCGAAAGTGGGCAAAACAAAAATAACGGGTAATAGCACATCAGCCTGTTTTGTCTTGAAGCACGCATGAATGGAATAGTGTCATTCTCAATTTTATAACCTCCATCGCATAATATTAAAAAAAAAATCGAAAAAAAATCCATCTCGTTATTCATGTAATTTGGCTTCACCTAACTAGATCCAGCCTTTTAGCTCGATCTTGGTTTCATTTCTTGCCCTGTGGTCCGGAAAGCATCTCCCCCTAAACAATATCTATCCCCCGCCAAGGAATAGTATCTCGGTAAAATGTCTGTAGTTTTTAGCTTGTCCTGATCCTGGTATTGGTAGTGCGCGGCCAAAGCGTTGCCCTGAATTACAACGGCTGGGTAATAAGTTAGTCATCATATAGTGCAGTCATATGCAGTTGTTCATCAGGGGTTACTTACGACGTCGAAGCTTCCTAGGCAGCTGAAGCACAATCATATCCTCATCGCCTTGGTCCTCTGGCCACTTCTCGGGGTTTGTATCGAGGATGTCATCGCTATAGATGCACATAAAATTGATGCGGATACGATCATCAAACATGATCCAGGGCTTGTCGAACTTGTACAGGTCCAGTTGGTTCTCCTCGATGTTTTCCAACAGGGACATATGTATCTGAGAAGCAATGGCCCAGCTCTTGTAGCTATCACCCCAAACTTCGTACTTGAGTTCAGCAGCAGGTGTTTGATATAAGGAACGATCGTTAGGCACTCTAAGCCATCTGTGGTTTTCCCACGGAGGGGGTTCCTTGCTGAGATCCCACTTGAATTTATTCGGCCCCTCCCAGAAAGGATGTAGCGATGGCTTCCAATAATCTTCCTCGTTCGTTATGTTGATACTCAATGGTTCGAAGCGTTCGGGAAAGTATGGATGTATGGCACCCATCCGCATGTGGAAGAAGCCTAAAGGGGGGTTGTTGATGATGTTGCCCGAAACGACAAAGTCCTTTGGATTTTGGATCTTGCGTGTGACTAGGTTGGGGATAGCGTCGTCGTCGATCCAGACCTGAGACGAAATGATTAGTATTTAGCGAAGCAAGACAATTAATTGATTTTGCGACATACAACATCGTCATCGATTTTGACGTAGTATTTTCCACGGTCCAGCAGTTTCCAGATATGCTTATACGTATATGTCCCTGCCATCTCTTGAGGGTGAATCTTTTTGTATCGCGGGTTGGTAGCGATGATTTGTTCAAGGTATCGCAAGTCGTCGCCCTTATCAGTGTTGACGACCCAAAGCACTTCGTCTAACCATCCCCCGTTATCAACCATGTTACGTTCAATATAGCACTTCATAATCTTAACTCGGCTCTGTCGGCCGTAGAACACTAAGCCACTGACTGTGACATTGTCCGGCTTGGTAGTTGATGTTTGTTTTAATGATGGATTCGTGGGTTCTTGGGTGTAAGAAAATACTGGTAGGCGGTAGGTATAGAAAAGGAAGCCAATTATGTAGAGCAAGAAGCAGATGGCTATAGCGATGCGAATTTGTTTCCTGCTCTCTTTAAGCCGTCCGAGTAGTTTCATCGTGACTATGAAGGAGACGGATGAGATGAGATCCGGAGACAGCTTCGGTATTCGCTCGCTCTCAATATCTGATGAACAAAAGGTCAGTATACTGAAATTACCATGTTTCATAGTGAGCTTGTCTTAAGCTGTGCGACACACTCGACTGAGGTTTGCTCAACCGTGCATACTCACTTCTGTCCCGGTCCAAAGGAGCAATCGATTAAACTTGACAAAACAAAATGCCTCCTGGTGTGACGGCGCCTAGCTTGCACCACCGCGAAGGGACAGTTCAGCTTCTTATATCTCAACTTGGGAAGCTGGAGTCTGCATTGGTACTTGGCTCAGCTCTGGAAGGCCAGACTCATCAACTAGGAATGATGGAGACTTTTGCATTCCCATTCGCCATGGCTAGAACTCAACGCCTCTGATTTAAGCTTCTCATTACATCCTCCTTAACGACAAGCTATCACATGTTCGGCATAAGAAGCACTAAGCAGCTGAAGCTCGGTTGCCCATTTTGCGACATCCGACTCCTCTTGGTCCTATCACGGAGAAACAGGGTCAAACTTAGTGCTATTTACAAAGACAATGGTACGTCCCAATTTATCCCAGGACTCAAAGCGTCGTGTGAAGTAACCCATCATCGCATTTTCTTATCTAATTTCCAAAGCCAACCTAAAAGCCCGGGAATGCAACTGAAGGCTATTGCGCCTCTTGGATACCTAGCAGCAGACACTGTCAAAAAAGACTGGTTTCACAAACCGACGCCACTCGCCTAAATGCAGCGAAAGGCACGCCACATTTTCTCCGTTCCTGGAAATCATCAGTTGTTATGGACGCGTTTGTCTTTTGAGTGCCAAGCCACGTTACGAAACGGGTTGAGAAAGCTTGGTCATCAAAATGAGGTGTTTTATTAAGCTTTGACAGGTGAATGGTGATACCGGAAGAGGCATGCAACTTATTTGTGCCTTGCATCGGGACAAGTAGACTAGCGACTTAGGGGGAAAATACCCGCAAAGGGTTGGGCCGCTTGAATCTAGTTACAATGACAGATACACCGTACTGTAATTTGTCGATAGATCACAGGAATAATTGTGTTTGTAAAACAGAATTATTACTGACCCCCATTTTCCCTTTCGTAGACGAGTCTTCTACGGAGTATAGTCCTCTTGATTGCACACCCAACCTACCCTGTGTTGCTCATCAAGCCCTTATGCTTGCAATCACAGGCCTTTTAATTGAACAAACAGGGGGGATACAGAAGCTCATGGAAACTCATTGATGAATTTGTACCTTTTGAAGACAAAAGATAAATCGTTCACATTTGCAAAAAGAATAACTTGGTCATAGTTATAATGTGTCAGACGACGCAGGCCTGATTCGAACAGACGCCTCCGAAGAGAATAGATTTCTAGTCTATCGCATTAGACCACTCTGCCACTGCGCCTTGATGCTGATGAATTTATAAAGGACTGTCCAGTTCCAAACACTATATCACTACCAACAACAACAAAATGTTTAGGTGACCCGCTGATTTTTCCACTTTGGCTGCCTAACGTGAGGACTCCAATTGCTGACATTCACAGATAAACACCATAAAGCCCCGAATCGTAGTACAGACTTTTTTTCATCGCCCACATACTCTCTCCCTCTCACCATAATACGTCTGAAAAGTCAACTTCAGACTACCATGTCGACTCGAGACGTGACAGAAGGGCTGTCCAGCCTGCAATTGTCCTCATCAGACTCCGCCGTAGCCTGGCATCGGTTGGAAACTCAAGTTCAGGACGTAGAGCTCGCAGGCAGACTTATCATTGTTGGCGATGTACACGGGCATCTTCCCGAGTTGAAGAACCTGTTACAAAAAGTCTCCTACGACAAAAAGAATGGCGACCAGCTCATCTTTGTCGGTGATTTGATCAACAAAGGCCCCGACAGCCCCGGCGTCGTACAGCTAGCGATGGATTATGACGCCCTCGCAATACGAGGGAACAATGAAGACCGTGTGCTTGCTGCCTACGGCGCAATCAAGCGAGGCCAAGACTCGAAGCTCATTGGGAAATGGAAGCAACTGGCTCTAGAGGCTGAAGAGAGCCAGAGAGTTGAAAAGAGTGATGGTGATCAACCAGTTGCTACCGCGCCCAAAGACGACCTCAGATCGGTGTCACGAGAAGACTTGAAGCCTTATATGGCTGAAAGTGACTTTGCAACCGCTACCAACCTTTCTGCAAAGCAGATCACATGGCTGGCTTCTCGGCCGTTGATCCTGCGCATAAAGTTACCAAGGGAAGCTACAGAGTCGCCGTGGAATGCTGGTACTCTCATCGTTGCGCACGGCGGCTTGGTCCCTCAAGTCCCTCTCGAAGAACAAGATCCATGGGCAGTCATGAACATGCGCAGCCTTGTTTACCCTGATGCCGAAGGCAGTACATCCGAAGCCGTCAAGGCTGATATGATCAAGGGGGCCAAGAGCCGCGTGCGACGATTCGCAGCTTTCCAAGAGGCTTCAGACGAAGAGGTTCAGGTCGAGCTGGCCAAGTTCGCTGATATCGTCAAGAACGGGAAAGGCTTCAGCGAAGAACAAAAAAACGGCATAATCGGGTTTCCTTTAGAATGTCGCGACGCTGATTGGTGGATTGATGCTTGGAACCGATGGCAAAATTCCATTGAGGATCATGAACAGCGGAGTATTGTTGTATATGGACACGATGCCAGAGTCGGACTACAAGTCGGCGCTGAAGACCCCAAAGCTGCGAGGTATACCTTTGGTCTCGATTCTGGCTGTGTATATGGAAGGAATTTGACAGCCATGGTTGTTGACAAGAGTGCGGATGGCGGCTTGTCTCATGAGATAATCCAAGTTGATGCTGTTAAGAAAGCCGAGCACAAGCCAGAAGGGTCAGCTTGAGGGTCTATGCAAAACGGGATCGGGAAGGAAGCCAAGTTTGTTGCTGGCGGCCGTGTCGTTTGCTGCTTGGTATTGATATCTACTCTCAATGGCCATTTAGTTCGTGGTGTCCTTCATCATCGCTCGACCACTCGAGACTCAGATGTTTCCAATCTAGACATATAATTCAGGCCATAGAATGGTCGTGCTATTTTAGGATCTATCCAGTGCCGAGTTCAACTTTGTTCTGAAGGGATATGGAATGCTCCGATTTTGTTCCGATTTCACGCCCTACAGACAGCGGTGACTGTCTTGTTTTACCAGCACTAACTACATTCATCGCTAAGCTTTACTGGAACTTAAACCTGCTGACATAGCAAACACAGCAGTACCACTATCGCGAAAATAAAAAACTGGTAAAAGAGCATGGAATTTCCATGGAAGCGGTAATATCCTATCTCCCTAGTGATTGAAATGTTAAAAGTAATGATGAGAAGTGAAATCGACTGGTAATGGGCGTGCGCCATCGGAAAACAACCTAGTCTTGATACCCATAGTCGAATCGCGCCCTACAACAAACATAGGAGACGATTGAGTAAAGCTGAAAAGTATATCTAAAAAGAATGGCTTACTATCATATCAGTGACTTTTGGCTATAAAATCACGGTGTCCGAGACCACACCTGTGTTGATTTGTCCCGTTCAACCTGCCTGCATGTTCACAGATGGCACTGTTGTCTCTGTCGGCGCCGATACAACCCCGAACCATGCATTGATGAGCAGTATGACTGTCGCTGGAAGGAGAATCTCCATCTCGAATTAACAAGGGTTTTCACTGGATGTGCTACCATGCGAGTTTCGCAGGTTTCCCATTCAGCAAGATTCATGCTTCCAAATTGAACGAATACTGTCTACGTGAGGACGGGCAATATGTATTGCCAAAATACTGAAGATAATGATTTCATCAGATCGACACTTGACAAAATCTGGATAATGGACTTTCCATATAAAGTTTCCATCGGCAAATTGATCAGTTCGCCTACCTAGTGCCTCTTGTCGGTGGAATTCCAGACCGTCATGAGTGGGGGTTTTGTTAGTCTTACTCCGATTCCGGAAAGTCCGTCACATTCGGACTTGTGAGTCTTGAAAGGCGTTTGGCGTCTGACCCTAATCTTTTATCAACAAAACAACGTCATGAATCCCTCTCATTGCCTGAATCAACCATTTCCATCAGCCCCAACTGTTACTCTTGGAACCGATGGCGCACAATGTTCCGAAACGGGATCCTTCGGATGACCTCGACGGAGATAGTAAGTCCGTCATCGTCTCTGAGCTGGACGCTTACTCATGTGTAACCAACAGTCTTGACCTTCTCAGAACTCGATTTCGCAAGACTAGGACTTGCAAACAATGAGTCGAATCAACAATTCGCACCCGAATTGAGCCTTGCAGCTCAGGAATACCCATTCCCGGTACAGAATGATGTCTTGGCTCTAGAACAGAACTTCTTCACAGACGACTTCCCTATAGATCCAGCGGCGAATACACAAAATGAATTCTGGTTCGATCAATCGTTAAATCTCCAATCATGGCAAACAACGCCGCCAATGCAAATAGATACCGGTCGGGATATTTCACCACTTGTTACAACTCATGGGCGAGTTGGGACGCCCTCGCTGGCCAGCCCCTCATTTGATCAAGCCTTTGCAACCTTTTCGCCACAAGAAAATCAGCACCACAGCCTCCCACGAAGAAGGAGTCAATATCTCAGAAGTCAGTTAAATAGAACTACAAGTGAACCTGTTTCGATCCCCCGATCAAGCCTCCGGCGCGACAGTACTCGCAATCCGATGCAGAGATGGCAAGATTCGCCACCTGAAGCCGAGCCAGCCTCGTTATCCGCTATAGCCGACGCTCTCGAGAAAACACCACTGCGAAAACGCTCATCAGCTGGAAGTCTGGGCAGTCGTAGAGTTGCAAGCCGTGCAGGATCTATCGCAAGTGTAACAAGCTGTTCAACTGCTTCCGTCGGGTCGCCACATTCTACCGCACGACGAGGGGGAGTCGCCAAGTCGAAGCGCGTGTCTACTAACAAGGGCAAGAAAGCCGACAAGAGGCGTTTTCCCTGCACATTTTGCTGCGACAGCTTTAAGAGCAAGTACGACTGGGCACGCCATGAGAGGTCGCTGCACTTAGATCTACAAGGTTGGCGATGCACGCCTTTCGGAGGGACGGTTGTATCTCCAGACACAGGGCGAAGTCATTGCGCTTATTGTAACCAAATCGATCCGGGTGCAGAACATCTCGAAACTCACAACCACGCTGGATGTCAGAACGACGAAAAACCGCATGTTTTCCGACGCAAAGATCACCTTGTTCAACATCTCCGACTGGTCCATCATGTGAAGACGCTACCCACCATCGATTCATGGAAAGTTGAGGGGCCGCCTATAAAATCGAGATGCGGAATCTGTGATATTAGAATGGAGACTTGGCAAGAACGGGTGGAACATCTAGCCAAGCATTTCCGCAAGGGTGATACGATGGAAGATTGGAAGGGCGAGCACCATTTCGAACCGCATGTCAAGGCAAGGGTGACGAATGCTCTGGCACCGTATATAATTGCAGCGGAAGAACGAGCCCCGGTGCCCTTTTCTGCTACTGATCCGAGCTCAAAGGATCATTTTCGCCAAATTAAGAAGAATGCTGGAAGCGAAGTTGAAGCTGGCAATCAAGTTGATGGGGAACTACCAGTCTCCCAAGAGACATTGCCTCTACCCGAACAACCTATTACCACAGACATCAACTCCCTATCTTTTCCGGAGTTTCTAGTGCATCACTTAGGAAGGTATGCACAACAGCAGATGAGACTCGGCGTTGTGCCGACAGATGAGATGTTTCAGGCGGAGGCGAGGAGGCTTGTTTACAATACTATGGATCCGTGGGATCAAACGTTGGCAGACAACAAGGATTGGCTTTCTTGTTTTCGAAATTGTTATCTTGGCAAATATTCTAGTGGGCAATGATGTTTGAGATGACAGTCGGAGTTTAGTCGATAGTATAAAAAATATTATGAGAATTATGGTTCCAGGTTTAATATGAATATTCAAGGTCGTTATACACAACAGAGGGAAAAAATAAAAATACCTGATTGATACAACATATCCAAAAGAAGAAATTCGTTCGTTTAACTACACTGTACACGTGGCTTGCACACTCGGACTTGTAGACAGTGGCAGAATCATTATCCGGTATAATATCATGACATAGCGAGCACGTAGGAATTAGTAAAGTAAGACGACGGATAATTGCAAAGTTTCTCATCTACTGTTTTGGGTGGCTTTTGATAACTCTATGGTCCTCCATCTGCGAATGGAAGCCAATCCGAGAAGTCTCAGTGCTAGAGCATCGGATCCGAAAGGTCTTGACTCCGAAGGTATTCAAGCCGAGAAGCCAACTCAAAATTTGCTAAGAATAGCCCCAATTAAACACACCTTATTTCCAAAGTGGCAACTCCGCTAGACCCATCGTCTCCATCGCGGACGTTAAAGAGGTAATCCGAAGCGAACGTTTCCACAATAAAATTGTGATCACACCGACTGAAGAAGAGATTGCGCAGCTAGAAAGATAAGCTTAAATATATAATATGAGTAGAAGCACTTCTTAGACAAACAAGTAACAAAATATTCACTGTAAAACTTGGTGACGATGAAGGTGCCTTTGTACGCAACCGCTGGTGTTGCGACATCTTGTGTTGCGTTCCTCTTTGGGTATGTGCGCCATCCTTATCATCAAGATATTTGATGTGTTCTAACCGTTTATCGTTGATCAGAATGGACACTGGAAGTATTGGTCCCATCACTACCATGTCCTCTTTCAAAGACACTTTTGGTGATTTCTCTGCCACGATTCATGGCGTTATTGTCTCGACTATTCTTATTCCTGGAGCTTTGACTGCCCTTGTCGCTGGTGCTTTGGCGCATCGCTTCGGACATGTGAGACTCATCGCTATAGGCTCTGTCATCTTCGGCATCGGTGCCGCCATTGAATGCGGTGCGCCCTACCTCGGCGTCTTCATCTTTGGCAGACTCATAAAAGGTATGGGAGAAGGACTCTTTTTGAGCAACGTCTATGTTCAAGTTTCGGAAATGTCACCGTCTCGCGTGAGAGGTATCATGACTGCGTTACCGCAATTTCTTATCACTACTGGAATCGTGACTGGTTACTTCACTTGCTATGGGACATCGCGACTGGGCGAATCTTCTATCACTTGGCGCCTACCGTTGGCCATCGTTGCATTTCTCGGAGTCCTTTTGTCTATGGTTGCACTCATTGTTCCACCTTCTCCAAGATGGCTTCTATCTAAAGGCCGGGTGGATGAAGCGAGAGTCGTGTGCAGACAACTCGGAATTGACGAAGTCGAAGAAAAGGAACTCCTCGCTCAAGATTACGACGCACCTGCCGGCCTGGATGGCGAAACGACGCTCTGGCAAGATATCCAACACACCTTCAAGGACTTTAGATGCGCATTCTCAGCACCTTACCGAGGTCGAACAGCATTTGCGTGCTTTCTCATGGGGATGCAGCAATTCAGCGGCATTGACGGAGTTTTGTACTACGCCCCGATCCTATTCACACAAGCTGGCCTCAGCGGTGAAAAGGCTTCCTTTTTAGCATCCGGCGTGTCGGCTGTTGTTATTCTTGCTGCCACACTTCCCGCAACCATCTTTGCGGATAGATGGGGCAGACGCATGCAGAGCATCCTTGGGGGTGTGTTGATCGTTGGCCTGATGGTAATTATGGGTTCGCTTTATGCGGCTGGGAAAGTTCACCCAGATCACGGCCCTGGAAGATGGGTTGTCATTGTCTGTATCTACCTGTTTGCTATTGCGTTTAGCTTCACATGGGCTATTGGCTTTCGAACATGGGTTGTGGAAAGTATGCCGAGGCGGACGAGGAGTAGTGCTTCGAGTCTTGCTCAAAGTTCAAACTGGGTAAGTGAAAGCTGCAGTCATACTAGTGTACGATTTTTGTCACTAACATTGTTCTGATCAGACTGCCAACTACATCGTGGCGTTGGTAACCCCGGTACTGCTCGACAAGTCTTCATTTGGTGCATACTATTTGTTTGCAGGTTGCAGTTTAGCGACAACTGTCATGGTGATTCTATTTATGGGCGAGACAAAGGGTCATAGCTTGGAAGAGATTGAGAAGAGACACGGAGATAGGAAAGAGAAGAGCTTTCCGTTCAACTTGTAAAGGCAGACATAATAGTTATTAGTTAGGAATAGAGGTATCAGGATAACAAGTCTACGGACTTCTCTTAAGCACACCCGTGATATTTTGATGGTGTTACCGATATGCCACTTACTTGCGGAACTATCCCAGCAGGTAATATGCTTCAGTACGCTGGTAGTTGACGGGTTACGTAGACAAGATGATACACGGTTGAGAGATGAGACAACATCAGACGTGCTGCTCCAACATCTGGATACATAGCCCAAATTAACTACACATTCATTAACAAGCGGGTTTAGCTCAGTTGGGAGAGCGTCAGACTGAAGCTCAACTTCAATCATCACGATATCTGAAGGTCATGTGTTCGATCCACATAAACCGCATATTCTCTTTTTGCGACACTTGATCATAAGTCTCACTTATTTAGTTAGCCATTATTTTTTGTCAGATAAAAGGCATTATGATTGAAACATCTTCATTGCTATCATTCAGTGATTCTGTGTGGCTCTAGTGGGCAGGTAGAAGAAGCAAGGATTTGCTGCGCCGCAAAGTCAGCTTGTGTTGTTGTGATGATTGGAGGAACAACCCAAAGCTACAAGGATGATTGATTGCACAGCACGTGAGAGAACCATCCCTTCATTCAATGAACAGACGAAACGGATGACTAAAATAACTCATCATCCACTAAACTATTGCTACGACAGCAATTGACTCACTTCATGAGGACCATATCTTCTTGTCTTTCGCACATCTAATTGTTCGATTTTCGGCATGCGACAACAATCTAAACCATGACAACCCATTATCAGATGGTCAGGACCATTACTGACAGCGAATGGGGGATCAAAGTTCTTCGTCAGTTTAACGCACAGCCTGATACCGGTGCAATCTTGGGAGAGACACTCTTTGAGTCCTGGTATCTTTTCTCTCATCTTGATAAACACGAAATTCCCGCAGATATCAAGCCAGTAACATTGATCAATGGAGCGTGTCCTGGTCACGATGACTATTCTGGCGAAACAAACTGCACCCAAATTTGCACCAACCCAGAAACTCTGTTCGCCTCTTGGAAGACATTATGGCAGTGTCTATCTCTTGCCGCGTTGACAATTGGGAATGCGACATTCTCTGACATTCTTCAGCAACCGCGCAGCGAGTTTGGAGAGCTGTCTCCGAGTGTCCAAGTCAACAATGCGCTTTGGGAGTATTCCATCATGTATGAGAGTGATTTCGATGGGAGAACAGTGCTCGATCTTACATACCAATGCGCTGCTGCGAGTTGTCGTGAGATGAGCATGGGCGAGTGCGAAATTGGCCAACTTGATCAAGAATTCTTCCAGAGCGAGAAGTTGGAGTGGATCAAAATGTCCAAGGCCCTTCAGTTTTTATGTGACGGACTAGAAAGTGATATTAACATTGATATTGCTGGCCCAGGTGTAAGTCAGATTCTCTGTCGTAACTCGGACAGTGCTTACAATATTTAGGTCATTATCACATACATTACTCAAACCGCAATGGTTGTGTTTGCATGGCTGTTCTTTATGGTCCTTTCGGCAGGCGACCTCATCCAGAAATTAATTTCGATATTCAGCCGCACTTTTCGCAAAACGAACCTGGGTTCTGATATGTTAGCCCGTCGCGAGTCAGTCCTGGAGTTTCTTGGGCAAACGAACCTGGCACATGCTACCAGCACGTTTCTTGCAGAGCTCCATGAAGCACAGTGTTTCTTTATTACCGCAATAGAAATAGGTCTGATCAACGCAAACTCACGGCCGGCCCTCTTCACAGGCGCTGATAACTGGCAGAGCCTTTTGTGGAATCGCGATAGTATCCAGTTCCTTGCTGGAATGGGAGTTTGGCCCATCATCCTTGGTCAGATATCACTCCGCCGAGCACAGCTTGATTCAATGTACTATCTTCTTCTCTCCACACTCGCGGTGGTACTTGCCGGTGTGGCAGCAGATACAGCGTCAAAGCCTGATCCCGATAACGTCTACAAAATGTTTTCGAGCCTCAATAACCTGGACGAGTGTGGCGGTCACCCATCGCTTCGCACATTTTGCGTTGAACAACGGAATAGTATCTATTGGTTCGTCTTTCCTGCATCAAGTATATACCCTTTCCTTGGCCCGCTCGCTATCTTATGGTGGATCAAACTCTGGGACGTCATCGTCGGTTCATCACGGTTTATCCAAAAGCACAAGCCACTCTCAGATGAACAGAATGGGAAATGGGAGTGCGTGAAACGGATCGCCCTGAAATCATCCCTTATCCTAGTTCATACGGCGGAAGCTGGTGCGTTTGCTTGCATATGCTTCGGGCTCGGCGTAGTTCGGGCGCCGTTACTGAATTTACTTCTCAGAGGAGACACGGGGACTTGGAGTGTCGGACAACTTGTTGCTGTTCTTATCTGGGCGCCGGTCATATCGAAGTATGCCCATCTTGTTCTTCGTAAGTTCAGCGTCATATTCCAAAGTCGATCGTCTTGTCGTGTTGAATCAACCGCTAATTTCTTGACAGTTGGCGTCGAAAAGGGTTTCAGGCTGCGATTATCGAAGGCTTTCGAGATTATGAAGAGACCGGAATAGGGGTGATGGGAAATAATAATTCATAAGCTTATTATGATGTTCGATAGAATGAAAGGACCTCGATTGATATATCCAACCAAGTAATGTATTGTTGCAGCAAAAAACCTAAATTTTGGTCAATATAAGGATGAGAAGCCTCGAGCCTTGCAGCAGACGAGAAAGCTGGTAATTCTGGGCGAAGATATTCCATTTTTAGTCATTCAAACTGTGGAAATATTGAGAAACAAAACACAGCTTTGGTGTTAATTAAAATATGAAGACAGGACTGCCCATGGTGGATTGGGTATGTTGGACAGCTTAATATTAGGTATCAATCAGTGTCGCAGGGTAGCTGGTGAGACACGTGACTGTGGCATCAGTGTGATATTGATCTCATCTTGACGCGTCTCAAAGTCGCTTCTCCAAAAGATCATTCCAGATCAGAGAGCAACATTCACATTTCATCGTATCCACGCGCGAATTACCCACCAAACGCTCAAGATGAGAACAAGAAGCGGGACTGAAACTCATGAGGAAGATGCAACCTCACCACAGCCTCGAGGTCACAAAAGATAGTCTAGCAAGAAAGACTCATCCGCGCCAGAGCCAGAAGCCAAGCAGGCAAAGAAGACGCAGGACTCCAATGCCCAGGCAAAACCGCCAACTGCCGATGAACAGTCAGAGGAACAGAAACCAACTCTCATAGAGAAAGACGTCTAGTTTGACTTTGACCATTTTCAAATCCGCGACCCTTGACGCACTCCAGGACGCGTCCAAAGGCCACATTATGAAGAGAGAGATCTGAGCGAAGAATAGCTGTCAAAATTCCACATTCCCAATCACAAAAGCCCACATACAGATCCTCTAGACATTTTCTATGAACTACACAAATGTCACAAGAAGGGTCCTGACGGTTCTCTCACCTACGACAGGGCAGGCTTCCAACTCGACTACAAGAAAGTTGAACAATGGATGAAACTCAAAGGATACAACAAGAAAAGCATAATGAACGGCATGGACCGAAGTCTGAAGAGAGCTGACGACGAGGAACAAATGGCGTATGAGATGTTCTTTGTAGACGGCAAAGTTCCAGAACGTGATAAGATGGGAGTCATGGATCTGATCAAGAACCAAATGTCCAAGGATCTGAACGTCCCATAGCATCATATTGACATCAAACAGATGAAGAAATGGGGTGAGATGAGTTTCAAGAAGGTCAAGGTAGATGAGTGGTGGTCCGAGCCGAATCAGGTTGAGAAAGATCGTTTTATGAAGATGCCTGGGGGTGGATCTCTGAGGAAAGCATTTGTAAGCTACTCGATCTTCATTCATTTTAAGCTATCGATTCGAATAGTTATCTTCAATTATGGAATTGGCTGGACCGTTATCTGTCTGACCTTTGTCATTCCAGACTTGGGATGTCCCCAAAACCAAGTCAAGTTAGCGCTGACTGATTTTTCCCTAGGCCCTGAACCTCTGGTCTCTGTCAAAAGAACCCTGCAGAACAAAACGCCCCCTACATGACATTCTCCACTCAAAGGGCGTCGTAAGCATTTATTTAACCTTGATCCTTCTTTAGATCTCCAGTCCCAGTGACATAAATAGACCACGGTAGACAATTCCGTGGAGAAAGAACATTGGCAGTAGAAAAAAGCAAGTTTCTTTCAGCTATCTTGAACAGCCATTGTCTTAGAATGGCCACGCAAACAGAAATGATCCTTGCCGAGAGCATACCGGCAACGCCACTGGCAGTGACTGCCGAAGCCACCACTCATGCACCTGGTTCGTCAGCGAGCGACAGGGTTTCTACGGCCTCGCGTCTACAGAAGATAGCAGTAACGTTCCAGCTCTCGGGTGTCAACTTTGCCTGTAGCGCTACCAATGGTTTGATCGTCGTTGGCCTCCCGCAGATGACAGCTGATCTCCACCTCCCCGCCTCCCTCGCGTTCTGGCCCTCTTCAGTACAGGGTCTAGCTACAGCCTCAGCACTGCTCCTCGCAGGCGCTTTGGCGGATGTGCTAGGTGCCAGGTCGGTAGAGCTAGTGGGGTGCATTCTTAGTGGTGTCTTCATGCTTGCATGTGGCTTCATACAGCGTGGTGAAGAACTTGTTGCGCTACGAGCCCTGCAGGGCGTTGCCTTGGCGCTGCACTTGTCAAGCTCGGTTGCGTTGGTGACTAAAACCCTTGCTCGTGGAAGAGGACGCAATTTCGCTTTTGCATGCCTTGGCTTGAGTCAACCTCTTGGATTCTCCTTCGGTCTTGTGCTTGGCGGCGTGCTTGTTGAGACGATTGGTTGGCGATCAGGATGGTATCTCTACGGGGGTATTGTTCTGTTCTTGTCCGCTGTTGGGTTCTGGTCTCTGCCAAAAGCTGAACCTCTTGGGACACTGTCAGATGTCATGGCTAGCGTAGCCATCAAGGTTGACTGGCTGGGAACTCTGCTTGCTTCAGCTTTCATGGCTCTCTTGTGCTATTTCCTGGCGTAAGCCTATATCGCCTTTCATCGTGGACCAAGCTAATACGAATTACAGTGTTATTAGTACAGACGTCTATCGTATTAGAGAGGCTGGCAGTATTATCATGTTGTGCATCAGCTTAGTGACCTTGCCTCTGTTTGCAGTGTGGATGCATTTCCAGGTTCAAAAGGGGAAGCCGGCCTTGATACCCAATTCGTTCTGGCGCAACCACGCTTTTACTAGCATCTGTGTCACCATTGCCTTGTCAAACGCCGTCATCAACTCGCTAGAACTGTTCTCCAGTCTATTGTAAGTCATGTTAGAAATGACAAGGAGTGTCACTACTGACACTTGACCAGCTTCCAAGAAATTCAGCACTTGTCTGCCCTTAATGCGGCAATCAGGATCCTACCGAGCGTTATAGTCGGCGTGGCGCTAAACTTCACTACTGGTCTTGTCGTTCACAAGATCCCGGCCATCTGGCTCATAGTCATCACCTCTGTTTTGACTGCTGTCTCACCTCTCCTCATGGCCCTTACCGACCCGACATGGACATACTGGACAACTGCTTTCCTTGCCCAAGTGCTCATGCCAGTATCGATCGATGTTCTATTCACGGTTGGTTTGATCATTGTCACCGAGACATTCCCTGAGGATAAACAAGCCATAGCAGGCTCTGTCTTCAACGCTGCATCACAGTTTGGGAATGCTATGGGCCTAGCGATTATGCAAGTTGTGTCTACCCTGGTAACGAAGCAGAACTCAGGAATGAAGGACACTGAAGCATTACTAGAAGGATACAAAGCGAGCTTTTGGACCATGTTTGCATTCATGATTCTGTGTGCTTCGATTGGGGGCGTGGGTCTTCGCAGGGCAGGCAGAGTTGGGCTAAAGCAAGAGTAAACGTTAAGCGCTGGTGGTATTGGAGCCGCAGTTAGAGCTATATGCATAACATGGCCCTTGCATAGGCATAGTCCAGACTATCCCAGACCATCAAAAGTCTATGCACTGACACACAAGGCGATGTCATTTCTGGAAATCAGATCAAGTACGATTCATGCAATTATACCAAGCCATATCACGAATTAATCTTTTACTCCCTGTTGTGATAAACTCTTGTTTACTCTATATAACCATTGTTACATAGCATATCGGTAGTCATGAGATGACTGCCGGAATTTCCGATCGGAAAGGATCAACCACGGAATTGCTCCATCGAAAACCGGCCTTGACTACGCTTTTGGCGGTGGCTTGAGGCTACTGGTAGTGCCGCACTCTAGGGGTCCTAGACAGAGCTTGGGGATTCTCACAGTGACAATCTCACGTGGAATAATCGGCGCTACATGGCATGTCATTCTATGATGGGAGGACGTGCGTTTGAAGAGTGTTACCGAGGTAAGGAGAAGATTTGACGGGTAAAACAAGTTCTTATCCCTGATGATATGAAGGCTTGTCCGAGACATTGGCCATTAGCCAAAAGTCAAAGCTGACATAGTGATGGTGTAAGCAAGAGATTGTCGTCAAAATGCGTGACTAGATGCCGTTCAGGGCAGCTCGCTTAACCATGTCTCAGTCAAATACCGGTATTAGTTCACAGTACCGAATCCACATTCTTTGCCCTTTTTAATGATGATGCATTTCGACGTGACTAAATGCCTTGTCAAGTAACTCAGTGATTGAGTTTAGCAAAGTCGATATGATCCCTGGATGGTGGTCAGTGGGGACGTCTCCCGTAATGTGCATCCTTGTTCAATGATCGCCAATCTGTTGTGCATCTCAACAAAGCTCAGCTCCTGACCAAAGCGCACAAGCTGCTTAGACCGATACGAAGAAAAGCCATCTCAACGTCCCCATGATCCAACCCCTGTCAAATGTTGATCAATTGCCCTTGAGACAGTACTACAACGAGTCATTCCAACACAACCACGTTGTGTGTTTCATCTAGTCATGTCAAGCCATGCGTACGAATGAAGCGGCGAGACATTTTTCATCCACAGCCAGTTGAGAGTTAGTCGCCACTAGTCAACAGTTGGTCCAGACCAGCTGAAAGAACGGGCGTTAAACCAGAATCCACTACCGAACAGGGCGGAATATGCCGCCGACCAGCTCTCGGGGACCAAATTACATCACCCACGGTGTGCTTTACCGTTCTCAAACATAAACCTAGTGATTTACCTATTCAGTTACTTGCTTGCTTGTCTCGGTCTATGCCCCCTTTCGTCCTTTTTTCCCTTGCTTTGGTGGGCGTTGGTTAGCGTTAAAGTTTGTTTTACCCTGCCACAAACATTAGTTATTACCACGTACCCGTTCACAAACGGACGTGGTTCGACTTCCCCAGACTTCTTTTTACCTTTCCTACCAGAACGAATCCTTGTTGCTTCTTAACATCGTCCATCTTGGGGTTACCCCAAGTCGACAATCCTTCTGACGCAACATCTCTTGTTAATCCCTGGAGCAGATCACCATGTACAATGAAACCTCGCCATCCACCGCCGAAGCCCGGCGGATCAAGAAGCGAGAGCTCGATCGTAAAGCCCAGAGATTAGCCCGTGAGAGGACAAAAAGTAGAATTGCGCAGCTGGAGAGCATGGTGGACAACCTACGGCATAGCGACTCGAATGCACAGGTGTCTTCGTTAATTGACGAGTTGGAGAAAGTAACAAAGGAGAGGGACAATTTGTTACAAGTGCTCGACTCTCTAGGTTCAACCATCCGTCGTCATCTTGGTGACTCGAACACCAGCGAGGCATCAACCGACGTCAAATCTGAAGCTTCGTCACACACCACACCGAGAGCTGATGGGCCAGCAGAACCGAGTAGCTCGACGGCCCCAATTGATGCTGCTTCAGAGACGAGTGGCTCTTCAATAATGGAACTCCCCTTGGACGCCCCCCCAACAAATCCCTTCGCCTACAACAGCTGGACATATCCCGTCAGCAACGGTCCATATCCGACCTCTATGGCCTTTGACAACTCCATCCTCCCATCATCTGGTCACGGCTTTATGAATATTCAACCTCTCCTACCAAGCCTTCCAACTCCCGCCCCCGAAGATGACGATGTTATAGTTCCCAAAGCCGCAGTATTATGTCACTGCTCAAGTCCCACGAACTGCGCGTCCGGTTACCACGGCGTGAAGCCCAACATTTGGCGTGCAATCAACGAAACACTACAAAAACCGACCAAACTGTCCGCAGAAGAGATGGTTGTAGAGGAATACAATGCTGAGGATATACCAATACGAGCTATCATCGAAGGATGGGACAGTCTGGAGAGGGCGGGGAAGATGACGCCAACGTGGCGAAAGTTACGGGTAGCGGATGAGATATGTTTTACAAATTGTGGCAATACCGAGCGTCTTGCTTCCTTGAGAATATGCCATCTTCTCATCACATACCATGGTGACCCAACTTTGGCTCGCCGGTCTACATTACCGAGGTGGTATCTGAATAGGTAATTCCGAGCTGGACAAGAGTGTTTGAACAGTAACTGACAAATGACAGACCGTCACAAGCTTTGCCTCACACCTACGGTATTGACTTCTTCGTCTGGTAAGTACGTTCTCAGAGTTTCCCAATAGGATCATATACTTACCCTCTACTAGGCCCGGATTGCGAGAACGTCTCATCTTCTCCCAGCATCAATACTGCACCAACACATTCTGGGACTTGCTCCAGACAAACCTCAAGATTCTGTGGCCAGACGCCTTCCAAGACACATTTTTCCAGAACACGCAAACTGGAAAATATCACATATCACCAATATTCGAAGATCGTATCAGGGACATCAACGCTTGGACGATGTCGACAGACTTCTTTACACATTTCCCTGAACTTGTCGAGGACATCCCAGCCTTCATGGGAATCCCGGCGTCGATGTCGGGAGTAGAAACTGCTGTCGTGCCTTCACGTCGACGACATAGGCGGGATGATGACGAGGACAAGCGCTATAAAGGCCAAAGAGCAGCTATTTGTTGACAGCACTCACTGTATCAAGATAGTAAAAAGGATAAATACTCCCCTGGAAGCTTATGGGCCAGCTGTAGAACTATACTGTTGAAAACTCTTTTGGAATCATCGACAACGAAGACTCGTTACATTCGAGGATATACATTCATGCTAAACAAGTATCAGAATGAAGAGCTGCCAAACTTGTCTGTGATGCTTGCCGTTTACTTTAGGTGCGATGCAGTAAAAACAAAACAAACGTCTGCTGTAATTGTATTGGTACTGGAATGCATGGCTTGTAGGTGATAAAGTCAAGACACTCGGAATAAATATTGCAGTCAGGAGCAGTGTTAAATGGTTTTCAGGTTAAAGCATGAATACCTCCTGACACTCAGCCGGACACTATCAGAGATATATGCTCGCTTTTTCCAGCGTTGGGATTAATTCATGTGTAGCAGAATAATCTTTTGTTACTTTACTGTGAGCAATGGATATGGCAGTTTTATTACGTGTTCTATATGTTGTAGTCTTGATATTATCATAAATATGTTTTGGTTGCCTCAACCATTCTTGTCCTATTTCGTTGTATGAGGCTCAAAGTACGCGCCCAGTCTAAAGTTTGTTAATAAGATTTCTTCTAGTACTTTGATATCATGAGACTCACCCAATAATGATGTAGCATGCCAACATCAGGGCTCCTTTCAGCCCAATGGCTCTAATGGCAGTTCCAGCACGACTGAGAATCAACAGATTGATCAGCAGTCCGGATCCTACCAGCGTCGTCGTCTCGAAGACGTTGAACGCCATCTCGAGATCACGGCCCAACATCCATGCTATCAACACTGTCAAGGGTGCTACGCAGAGCGCGATTTGAATAGCTGACCCGACGGCAACAGAAATGGCCAATTCGAGCTTGTTTCGCATCGCCACAGTGACAACCGTCACGTATTCTGCGATGTTTCCAACAATAGGCAGAATGATAAGACCAATCAGTGCTTCTGATAGACCACCTTCGTGGGTAACGTCGTCAATTGTCTTGACGAGAAACTCGGCGTTCATCGACATGAGGGCTGACGAGACCACCAATACCGTGACAGCAGCTACCATCCCCCCTGTGCTAGAGTTATGAGGGGTATGGTTTGGAATCTCGGTAAGCTCAGGGAGAACTCGTGAGTGCATGCTGCTAACTGAGAGGTCTCTGACCTCAGATCCATGGAATTCCGTCCTTGAACCTGAGCGTGAATGGGATCGAGAGTTCCCTCTTGCTCGATGAGACAGGTTCGCTTGCGATGTCGCCTCTCTCTTTCCGTGCTCCTCCTCTGTTGTCTCACGAGCTACTCTGCTGTCAAGAGTTGTGCTTCTCGCACGCGTGGGAACATCCCGGTCGGCGAAGCGGATAAGCCGAGAGTTTTGAGATGCTGAGTGTTGGTTTCGTCGGTGATGGTGAAGATCTGCGTGGCCCGTGTGAAGGGTTTGCAATGGAATTGATGGTACTTCGACATGCTTCGGCCTCATCTCGTATGCGAAATAAACGATGTAAATGACGAGAACCACCAAAGATGAAGCGCGGCTCATACTTAACGCCGCTTCACTTGTCTTTCCCTTCATGTGGAAAGTGTAGTCGAAAGCGGTCTATCAAGGTCAGCACGTCTTCAAAAATGAGATGAGATAAGATGTAAACCCACGGGAATGAGAATGACAAACACGGAGACAAAAAGAAGAGCAGCCAAGAGTTCAGACTCTTCCATGCTGCTGTGGGGGTCAATGCCAGACATGCTGCTCGCAAAGAGAGCAGACCCCAGGATCAAAAGCAGGTTTACAAGCACACTACCTAGAATTGAGGCTTGAACGATGCGAATGTGGTTGTTCACCAAAGCAACCCTGTCAAGGTCAGTTTTCATCTCACTCAACTCTCAATCTGACTTCCACTTACACCCTATATAATGTTAGCTTAATCCATGGCGATTTGATCATAAAAACTCACAGAATAATAAGCTCGACAAGATTGCCGAGTGTGATATTCAGAAGCGCACCGATGGTGTCTCCAGCATCAGCAGCGATACGCTCTGTTGCCTCAGTCAACATGACTGACAAGGGCACAATTGCAACCGCATTGGTCATGAAAATCAACAATGGGTTAATCTCGAAGGTATGCGCTGCGAGGCCAATTGGAACAAAAATGAGTAACCAATTGAGTCTTGACGCGACAATCGTAGATCGGATCTGGCCGAAAAAAGAGAGGCCCTCGTGATTGGTGCCAAAATCGAACCCAGACCGCTCATTTGGTGGTGATTGTGTCTCCAAATCATTCGAGCTCGAAATTCCCAGCTGCTGATAACGAACTCCATCTCCTAAACGTGATGATGCACGAAGCGCTCGCTTCATTGTGTCTTTTTACGAGCTTGCTTGATCAGTTTTCTAATCTTTTGTCCAATACAATTAGGGGCTGGTTCTTCCAGTTGCGCACCTCTTATGCTGAAATCAAGGCCATGGTGACCTGCTGGACCGCTACCATTCAGCGGGTCAGAAGGGTCATCTTCGTCTTCGCTCGCACTTGACAGTGAGCAGTCATTGTATCTGGGCGTCTCAGAGGCGAGGGAGGGACTCATTGAGAAGCGGAATTAACCAAGGTCGTTGAAATGTGAAAAGAAAGGTCTGGAAGAGATGCAAAAGGGGGCTGAGTTTATCGAAACAGACAGGGTGGGCAAATTTAAAAGGAGGCCTCAGCGTCTGTCTGTCAGGTCAGTAGTAAAAGAAACGATAGGGAGGGAGGTAAGAGAGTTAGGAGGGTACAGGCGGTCGCTAAAAAAGTGAAGCTAATTAATCAAGGCAAGGTAGGCATTGTTGTCAATTTACCCCTGATTTTCCTAGCCTAGGTACTTAGGGCGACATGTAATAATCTCCATTTGCTTGAGGCTCCCTTGTCTATTGAAAACATTGGGTCCTCGGTGGATTGCGCGAGGCATTTAGCGTCGTTTGTTATGATTGTCCTTTTTACGATTGAGACTTGATGCTTCAACCAAACACTGCCTCTCTGCGCCATTTATGCCATTCGTCTGAGCTTGAGCCGTGAGAAACCAGCAGGACATGTGATGAAATAAGACATGTCTCGTGCCAGCTCCTTCCAAGCTTCCAAAAAAGCTTCCAAAATGTTTCTAGCTGGGTCGAGATTGATGTCAACCCCTGTCTTTATCGGGAGATGACTAGGCCCCGCAGAGACACCAAGGAATGTGGACTGGGAGGGTCCAGGATTGACGAGTCAAGGTAAATCGTAATCAAAGGAGAGGAAGAGAAAAGAGAGAAAAAGACAGAGAGCCTGCTAAGATTTGAGTTTGATTGGAACATGAGACTGTGTTGGTCTCAACGTGAAGCGACAACTGTAACAGCTGCCCTTTTGCATAGACTCGAGTAATAGTCCCTGGAAACAAGCATTCTTGCCAAGAGAATTGATGACGCATCATCTTCACCGCTTGCTCCTTGTGTTGCTGCTTGTTTCAAAACATCCCAGCAACAGCTTATCGTTATCTCATTCGATGGCATTGAGTTGATGGCGTTCAATGCGTGTAAATAACACATCCCATTCCAATTGAAGTTGAGTGTTTACCCGTTTCGCCCTCAATCGAGACTTGAGCAACCTCACAAAAATAAAGTCATCATTTCCAGCTCCTCTGCTCACTGACAGTCGAAAGCAAGCGCTTTTGATATGAGAAATGATAAATGTCAATGAACGATAAATTTAAGACGTTGGCAATCCATAAATAAACTTTAAGCTTGAAATCGCATGCACACCCTTCTTGACATCCCGAAGATGCGATATTCCCGATATAATGCCTATTCCCATCCAGCATCAAGAACGGTCAAGATTTGATACCCCTTCTTCAGAACCTCTGTCTCAATAATAATAACCGCAACAAAGGTACAGTCTTCTGTGTCACTAGCATTGTCGCTGACAGTGTGGTGACATCCAGGGAATTCCCGAAAGCTCTCCCCGATGCCATACACCTTGGGTGGATTTCCATTCATCCCGCTCAGAAGTCGACCTCTTGTGACTGTTGCAACAACAGTAGCTCCAGAGTGAGTGTGAGGGGGTGTCCAGCCGTTGGGCCCGTAGTGAACTTCCAGGCCAACGATGGACATGCCAGGGGCGTTGGTGATTTCATGGTCGTAGAGTAACTTGACTGACTCACGAGGTCGATTGCTTGACAATGTCAGTTTGCGTCGCTGGGTCATGGGGGGTTCATACCGTTGCTCTTCGGTGATGGAGGTCATCGTGTTGCTGGGGATTGTCTGTTGAGTATAGCGTGTGATGGTTGAAGAGTGGTGGATGATAATATTTGAACAGAGGCTGACATCGACTCTTTATACTTGAAATTATTAAACAGGATAATTTCTATCAAAGAATACAACCATCATACACTACTCTCATCTTGCGGGTGAACGGTATGACGTTCGGGTTGGCTGACCCGAAGCGGGAATCCGGGTATTCGGGTATCCGTAGAACTCGACGAGTGACTCCCGAAGTGGCAACAATTATCATCATAAAGCCAGGGAGATAGAAGATATATCTAGATGTGAACCAAAGGACTTCACAAGCAGTCAATCAAAATAATTTGGACTTTTCCCTATTTGCCCAACAATATCGTTGTTTTCCTAAAGCAATACCACGATGAAGGCCATTCAAATTCTCGGGAACGTATCGTCACCAAAAATCTCCATCAATCATTCTATGCCTCAGCCTAAACCAGTCAACTCTGACATCCTTATTCATGTTCACTCAGCTGGCATAACCGGCGACGAAACTACGTGGCCGGAAGTCTATCAGACTCCAACACGCATCCCGGGTCATGACATTGCTGGAACCATAGTCTCATTTGGTCCAGCCTACAAAGGCAATCTTGAAATAGGGCAAGACATTTTTGCCTTGATAGCAGCAGACCGTGGTGAGGGACAAGCCGAATATGTTGTCTGCACACCTGAAGAGGTTGCACCGAAGCCATCATCACTTTCGCATGCGGAAGCAGCTGTGCTCCCGATTCCTACACTCACAGCATGGGAGGCAGTTGAACACTTCTTGGCAATCAAATCCAATATGAGAATTCTGGTCACAGGTGCGTCTGGAGCGGTGGGAAGACAGTTTGTGCAGCTAGTCAAACACTTGACCCATGCACATGTCATCGCACTGGCTTCACCTCGGAACCACGACACCTTGAGAAATCTCGGTGCAGATGAAGTCATAGACTATGCGTCTCCTCACTGGGAGGTTTCTCTCCTTCCAGTCAGTCTTGTCTTTGACACGGTTGGTGGGGAAATCCTATCAAAAACTTGGGAAACGGTAGAAGAGGATGGGACAATCATCACAGTTGGAGATCCCGCCCCAGCCTGGGCATTTGGAGATGATGAGGCTCCTGAGTCTTTGAAGTACCCAAGTGTCAAATACAAGCACTTTATCGTCTCACCCAATGCGAAGCGGCTTGCTGATGTGGCGAGTATGCTTGACAAGGGTTTGCTCAAGCCATTGGATGTGAGAAGATTCCCATTCGATCAGGGCGTCGCCGCGTGGGACTGTGCAAAGCAGCGAGGACGGGACTACAAGATCGCAATCGAGTTTTAAGCCAATGATAAAAATCTCTATCTCTCATGACTCTTTATTACTATGAGAGAAGTAAATATGCGATTCTTCAACTCATATCTTCACCCATCCAGTCGTAATTAAATTCTGAACCCATATTGATCCACCCACAGATATCTGTCAGAGACTCCAAAGAAGCAAGGGCGTCATCTTCCTGTGCCATTGCATCTGTAGACCGGCTACTCGCTCCCCCGTCACTCCCCGTCAAACTCGGAAGTTCGCTAGACCCAGGTACTGTGCTTCCCTTCTCCAACATAAGTACATGACGAGCGATGGTCTGAATCTCTTTGACATTCTTTGCTGTTCGACTCCATATTTCACCAAGACTTTTTAGACATCCGATTGTAAGTCTGATCTGATCTCGCGCTATCGCCAGCTCCTTGTCTCTCAAAAGATACTTACACGCTGATAGAAGTGAAAGTGTGCCTTCACTGACCATGCATGTCGCGAAAGGGGTATGGTGGAACGGACGAACTGGGAGAGCCAAGAGCTGTATCTGTGCATCGATCGACTTTAGAATCCGCGTCGTGTGAACGTTGATAAGATCTGGTCGGGGCGTGTCTGTGGGTGCCTCTCTAGCGCAACTTGACACATTCTCAATAGGATTGAATCTAAGGTCTGACAATGGGCGATGTAACCCGATAGTTGCGCTGTGGTTGTTAGCTAAGATCTCGTATCGACTCAAAGCAAGTCCTTACACATGGATAAGCAGATTGGCTTGAAACATCAACTCGTCAATATTGCCATCGTTCCTCATGACCTTCCGTTCCTTGGGTAAAAGCAAGAGCCAGGCATCGATGACGGAGTCTGCGGCCTGTATAACTCGCTCCGAGTCTTGTCTCTTTACCTTTTTCGGCGTGACGGAAATTGCCAATGCTGCAGCACGTACAGCACCAATGAGATATGCGAACGATGAGAAGGGTATGTCATACTCTGTAAACTCGCGAGACTCAAATTCTTCGATCGTACGAGGCTCTGGGATACACTTGAACATTATTAGCTAGGACATCCGGTTCATGGAGGACACACTTACACCTGACTCATATTCGCCTTCCTCACACGGTAGAGACACTGATGCTTCAACGTGGAATGCCTTGAAGTTCATCGTACCTAACGTCCCAGCATAATATGCATCCACGATGTATAACATCCACCACGTTCGCCTCCAAGACTCCATGAGGACGATGTCCCCGGCTCCACAAGTGAAGGCGAACTCTCTCTTGTGCATACCCAGTTCTAGAGCCACATTAATTGCAATCTCTAGCTCTTCTCTGGCTCTGGTAGTGTGGCTACTCCAAAATAGAGCGATCGAGTATAATAGTCGACATTGGACCTGAACTGGGTCTGAGGAGGGGAGCTGGGAGATGCGAGACTTGATCTCGTTTTGAAGAGAGCCGGACCATTCTTGGGCATCATAGAGGTTTCCAATGAGACGCATGACAGTTGTTAGAGCAGCAAAGTCGAATGTCAATGTCGAAGAGCCTTTGCAGAGCTTAACTAATTGAGGTAGGGGTAGAGCGAAGGGATGGAAGGCATGGAAGTTCTTGTAGTAAGAAAGTATCAACGGATCATTTGCCAAACCACCTTCCTCTGTAGAGTTGCATGGTCCATTCCAAGCTTTTGTTCCTGAGTTTGTGTCTTCCTCTGGTGACACAATATTCGTACAATGCATAAGCTCAACATCTAGTTCAGGGATAGTCGCATCCGTTGAGGCCGTTCCACTGCCCTGTCGGCTATCGTTCTTCTTAGAAAGACGTCTTCTTCTTTCAGAGATAGCGGCACGGTGAAGTCCTCCTCTACGCGATGTAGGATATTGGCATTGCTTCTGAAAGTTCGTGCACCTTGTGCAGCGCGGCTGCTGAGCATCGCATTTGACGTGCTTTGATCGGCATTCAAGACACGCTAGAGAGGAGCGCGTCTGTATTCGGGTAGGCGCCAATATCTGCTCGTCGTCATTCATGGCGGAGGATTGATACGGTATGGTGTAAAAGGTTTTGGGTCATGGGTGGATTGGTTTAGGTAGTGAGAAACGGGGTATCCGGGTATCCGTGTAACCGGACTTTCGGGCACTTGAGTTTAGTGAGTGTCAGCTCTCGGGATTCGGATATAGTACGGATATTGCTATATGGGAGGAGCCTACAATGGAAGCTTTCGTCATGGACATCACATCACAATGCGAGACAGTTCTAGGAGGCTTCAGAATGTTGTTCGATTATTCCAATCGCAAGTTCTACTATGTCGTTGACAGGAATTGTATTAACTTATAGTAAAATGCGGCTGATCGGAACTCAGGTAATTTCTCTCCTCAAATTCTTCGCACTTAAACATCCAGCGAGTCGACTTGCATGCTCTGATATCCTTCTTCTCTTCTCTCAGCCTGAAACACATACTATCTTGTTTCCACATGGTGTGGCCGCAACATCGGCCTTTCCCACACGTTCGATCTGCGTAATAATATGATATGGACTCAACCATCAAAGGAGGTATTTTCCCCCACTCGTTCAACATGTCTCGGATTGTCTCGTCAAGAAACCCATTGAGTCCGAGTTCCACATGTAGACAACCAATGATATCATTGGGTTTACTCCATATTGCCTGGAACACCATGTCATATAACTCGCCCATACGGAGACCTTCAGGGAATGAAAGTAATCTCCATTCCCTGGCCCAATTCACCCGGTGCATGTAGCCAACTGACGTTATTGGGGGTTGCGCAACCAACATCATCCGCCAAGATGCACCGCGGCGCACAAAGGCTTTGTGAACCTTGCGGCCACCCTTCATGTTGGTGATGCTCATCCCAGGCACCATTAATGTGCGCTTTGTCAATACCCCACTGTAATACGGATAGGGTTCTCTGCGTTTAAAGATTGGCTCGAAGTGTTTAAGTAGGAGCGGATTGGCAACACGAGATTGTTTTGAATTAATGAATGGGCGGGGCTTGAGATAAAGGTTCTGCTGCAACAGTGGTGATGTTGAAATCATATCATGCCAATGTTTCGACACGAGTTGGGCGTGCAACAGTGTTGGCATGTCCATGAATGTGCATATATGATAAAATAACTCATAACATCCCAGTACCTGGCGGTTGGCAGCTCCGAGTAACGGTGTTTGAGAAGGTGGTTGATGTTTGACGCGTCTTGGTCCCATGTTGACTTGTTGGCCTGGTATTTGATTCATGAGTATTGTTTAGATAGGTGCTTCAAGATAGCCGATCTACAGATCTAAGAGAGCTTCTTATCCGAACCAGTGAACAGAAAAATTCACCTGAATTTTACTCAACACATGACTCACGCCGTATCGTTGCTATGCTCACTGCCAAGCTCAATATGGAGATGATGCTTAAAAAGTGTGTTTTAGCCGAGCTGTGCCTCTCTTAGAACCAACATCTGATTGCATTCGTCCAATCAACTACTTTTATACCATACGACAACTACGTACGGGATCATAAACAATGAGTCAACCCGAAATCATGTCTAACCAACAGCCCTACATATCGACCCCATTCAGCGACAGTCTGAAAAGCATGGAATTCTTAATCTCATCCTCTCGAGCCATGAGTTCTTGCACATCCCAATTTGCCCAAACAAACTTCCCCTTTAGAAATTCCGCTTCCTTCGAAGCAAGCCAGACCATGAAGTGAGCAGGTAATTCCACTAATATGTAGTCAGCAACTGATAGATTGACGTTGTGAGAAACTTACCCGTATCAAAACCCACTGTGATGTCGGGATTGATGCCCGTTGCTATGATACCCGGCTGGAAGCTAACAACATGAAGCCACGGGTTCTCAAAAGCCACGTAGTCGAACATCTTGATCGCTGCTGCTTTTGCAGCTGCGTACGCGAAGTCGCCCGTAACCGCCTCGTTCGGCTGCCAATGGCCTATCCCGGAGCTTGTGTTGAAAAGTTTGGCTCCTGGTGCTGCCAGTGGAAGAAATGCTTGTATCGAATTGAACGCACCCATGGTATTGATCATGAGGCTTCGAAAGAGTTCTTCTTCTGGATATCCCATGACTGGGCCGTACACTGGGAGTATACCAGCATTGGCAGCGAAAATATCAATCTTGCCAGTCTTATCAACGATGTTCTTCAAAGCTTGGTTGATCGACTCTCGCTGTGTAGTATCTGCAACTTCAAACAAGACAGTAGTTGACGGGTTGGCAGCGCGGATCACTGTTGCTGCTGTTTCCAAACGTTCACGACTTCTTCCAACAATTGCAACAGACTTTGCATTGGCTTGAGCGAAGGCAATACCAATGGCTCGACCAATTCCGTGGCCGCCGCCTGTGATGACAATGTTCTTCTTGGAGACTGATAGCTCGGGTCTTGTAGGGGAGATGAAAGGGTATGGTTCGTTATGCCATGTCTTGGTGAAGGAGACCAGATTGGGTAGAGGAAGAGATGTCATTACGAAGTTAAAAAATACTAGTTGGGCAAGGAGAACTTCGATGCAGTGAATAGTTAATTGAGCATATAATATTTAACAATACTTAGATTATATAGACGGAGTTCATATCTGCTTGGCTTTGTAAGCCTCAACCCTCATGTTTCTTCCGCGGAGGCTTGGCTGGAATGAACCTGTTCGACAGTCGGTTTACTATCTAGCCTTGGCGTTATTCAGCAGTCTTCCGCGGAAGATAAAACGGTTCTTTTGAGATAGGCATAAATATAATCATAACTTCCAGTCACCGGTGGACGCTCTTCCGTGGACGGTTTCTTACGGCATTGAACAGGACTTCTTGTAGTAATCCAAATGATGCATATTCCCCCGACAAATAATATTCCCAACAGCATTCGCTTCCCATCAATTCGTTCCTGTACATCATGTATCACTCGGTGCCTGGGAGCCAGATTGTTATGCTGCCCTAAAGATCCGGGGTGAGTGGCACTGAGTATCATGGAACTCGGTTGCAGAAGATTGTACAGGATGAGAATGAGATCTGGCAGATATCCACAGCAGCACAGCAGTAATTGGGCCAGTGTGTGTGTGCTTTTTTTTAATTACTTTTTTAATTATTTATTTGCTTTGTTATTAATGAATAGCCTCTCGTTCCACTAAGGCTATGCGGGTCGTTTGCGGAACACCATGTTCGCGCCCTCATTTTCTGCAATCTTTGATTGGGAACAGAGTCTAGACCGCTATCATTTGTGTCACATATAAGCTTATTTAGTAGCTTGGATATATGTTGGATCCTAATGGTAGGGTCTTTTAGTTCCCCGCTTCCTCGTTGTTGTCATGCTCAAAGTGAGGGTTGCTTGCTGGCTTGTCAACAACTCGACCTCAATTAGGTAGTCAAGATTAAACACATCACAATTCTCACCTGGCTTTGTGTGGCTAGTCATCATGAGGTCATTATGCGTTCGTCAATCTGGGGCTATTGATCCAGGGTAGTGGACAAGTTAGCCACGATAAGCCACTTAACTTTTGTGACAAATTCTCCCAAGTAACTTCAGATAATTTAGATTGAATAATTCTTTGAACATATTGAGCAATTGTGATCTGAAAGGGACATCTTGGCCGAACCTTGATGTAGGTTACTGCTTATGCCCTGGCATTGACGATTCGTCATCACAACCTCCAAAACCTTGCATACATAGCACAAGCTAACCCTTTGAGATTGAATGGGCAGTGCATGCAAGTAAGCCCTACGGGCTAAGAAATAAACTCCATGTATAGGCTGAGGAAAATCTGCATCAACATCTCGATACAGAAACACCCTTCTCAGAGCGACATGACAACAACTGATCACGATTCAGTCTTGCATCAAACCCTAGACTACCCGGTACTTCAATAATGGAAGCATTAAAAAACAGTGGGCTGGAGAAATTGGACCTTGACCGTGCACGACAAAATGAAAAGCTTGAAAAGTGCCAATGTCGATCACGAGACCTGGCAACCACATTATGGAGTACGATACTCTGTACGTCCTCGGCCAAGCCCGACCCCCATTGTTTTTTTTTGTTGGTCCTTGGGTTCTTTGGCACAAAAGTGTCGCGTGCCCATTCAAGGAATAATGGCCTTGGCTTTGCTGTTGCGACTCTACAAGGCTGGGCGGTGTTGTTTTGGAGAGGTTGGCAATTCCATATTAGGCAAAGATAAATGAAGGATCGTCAACGACGACAAGGAAGAGTGACCATGGTCGCGTATCTCAATTAATCACGGCACTGGTTGTCCGTTTACCTCGTACCGCGCAGACCAGAAAACAATGTTAGTGATGAGGCTATCGAAAGACACGAGAGTCAATATGATTGCACTTTCTCGTATTCTCGGAAATGACACTGGAATATGTAGTAATCGATACTCCTCTCCGGTTACTTTTTGCCGGTTGACAGTCCCCTCATGATCCCCTCTCAAGCTTCTCTGGAATGGGAATGGGAATTGACCAAAAAAGGAGTAGACCCACAAGTCAATGCAGTGTGTGCAGATGAACTGCCGCCGTTGGAAAGGCGCTTACTTTCTCCCTGGACAGACCGACTCGCTACTCGTTCTTTTTTTATGACAGAAATACGCTAGAAGGCGTCTCCGCTGTTAACGTGACATGGAGCTATACCGAGTCAGCCCTGGGGGCAGGCAAATACGGTATGGCCAGTTATATTGTAGGGGGCAAGATGGTCTTTTGAAGAGAAAAAAGGCTTTGATGGTTGGCTACAGCGGATAACGAACGACGAAGAGAAAAGGTGAAACTGGACATCTCGATGAATTACTCTTTATTGGTTGTTAGTTCGGTCGATCCCGCAGGTCGCATAATGATGAGGCGGAGTACGAATTGAAGGATGAAGGATTTTGTGACTCTTGTTCATGATGGATGACAGATTCAATCATGATCCCATCGCGACATATCTTCACTCAGCCTCCGCCGCAGATGTACATATTCTGCATTGTAGTGGCTGTGCATCCAGTCACCGTGTGAATAACTTGAGCTGAGTTGTATACCCTGTCACTTGGTAGGTGATTACCCAAAATGGGTTATTTCCCCTCCCGGTAGGATTGTTTTTGCGCTACCGAAGTTTCATCGTTAATCCCATGGATCTGGATGCCTGCTTGGGAGTGTACAGTGGGCAGTGGCGCATATAGTTCGGAGAGCGCAATGTACGTATTCAAGAGAGGCAGAAATAACTCTGTATCTTTGCCGACCAGCCGAGAGGCGCTTAACAAAATAATATCATGGAATGGCTGGGGAAGAAAAGAAAAAAGACGCCATATTGCGAATTGAATCGGTTATAAACTTTCCTCCAACAGCACAACACTGCCCTGCACCCTCTTTCTCGGGGGGTCCAAATCTGACAGATTTCCATAGTACCTACACGTACAGTGTTACTAGCCACGTTGCGCTGTTGTTGGCGAGTCCCCACTGTCTTGTACCCTGCCAAAAGCCCCTAATAATCTTGCATTACGGGCGAAACTAATGAATGAAAGCTACACGGGCCTTTGACCCCCTGGACACGCGACCCCTTTCTTATTTGGCCCTCGGAATTACCCCACATTCTTCCATTCATTGGAAAGGAAGGAGCGTAAACCAAGAGTCCAGCCCAGTCGAGACCTCCTGCAACACGGGAATCAATCAGATTTGTGTCCATCTTGAGACCGACAGAACAGACCACCAGCGCCCCCAGTACCCGTTAGCAAGCCACTGTAGTAGCACTCAAGGCCGTTCAGTTAGCGGGCAGCCAGCCATAGCTTGCAACTTGCCTCAATCGGACCCTCGTTTTTCTATTTTGATCTTTTAATTTTCCCTCTTCGCCCCCCTCCTCCTCTTCCTTTTTCCTTCTTTTCAGTTTATACTGTTAATTCTTGTCGCGTCTTCCCTCCTTTTGCTTCTTCAACACTCCAGCGAGAGCGAGCGAGCGAGCGGCCTGTTCCCTCCCAAAGGTTTTGCTTTGCTTCGCACACCGTCTGCCAATTTCTTCAACATCTTGGCTCGGAGGGCGCCTCTCGTTCTCCATCCACCGACCTCCAAGTCGACAACAACCCGGCAAAATGTGTTTCCTCTTCTCGGTATCCTACGTTTTCGGCGTCTTCTTCGTCTCCATCCTCGGCAGCAAGCTACTACATCTCTGGACACATTTCTTCACCGTCCCGGCATCAGCTTTCTTCCTCTACCTGCCGACATTCTTCCTTTTCGATCTCCTGACAATATGCATTGGACGTATGCTCTTGGCCCAATCCAAGACACCATGGGCTTGGATCACCAGCCTCATTGGTAGCATCGCCACGTACGTTTTTCTCCCGCCCCTTAGCTTGCGCAAATTGCGACACGCCCAGACCAAACTTTGGCGGCCAAGTAAAACACCAAACTAACGTTCTTGACTCTTCAGAATTATTTCACTCGGCGGCTCAGCTTCCCAGCTTGGTTTCTTCGTCAAGACCGGAGGAGAGTTGGATTGGCGCGATGCGACAGCCTACGCCACCAGCAAGGAGGGTCTTAAAGTGCTGTTCAGCGGCAGCGAGGCCGTCATTGCCTGCGGAATTGGCCTGATCATCATCGCTATGCCTATCCATGGCTTTGTTTACCGTGCATTCGGTGCCTTCTTGGGCGCAATTGGGGACAACATTCTCTCAGGTTCGTAGCCGCCCTTTCCTGGTGACCAAAACCAAACACGCTAATCTTTGCTTCTCCCTTTAGTCTACAGTTATTTCCGAAGCTTTCGCATGCGCATCCCCGGCATCCAGCGCGGCAAGTACTCTGCCCTCAAGAATGCCGACACCGATCTCGAATCGACCGATACATACTCGATGGACGAGGATTTCCGATCCAGCGCCGATAACTCTTTCCGCCGTGGCGGCAAGACAGAAGCAATGGCCACCGCCAAGGGAAAGATTGCTCGTTTCTTCTCGCGCATCCCATTCTTCTCGTGGCTGTGGAAGATCGCTCTCGTTCTTTTCCTAAGCCTCACGCTCATTCTTCGACCTGCCAAGCCGTATGACTTTTTGTCTATTACTCTGCCTGTCTCGATGCTTGATGTTTTCGCTCCCGAACCCGATTTCTGTGGCGCCCAACGCGATCTCATCGAGAACGACTTCCCCTTCCCCGAGCTTATCAACAAGACGACTTGGAAGCAACCCGAGGGCGATTACTACAGAGGATGGGCGCCTCTGGCCGACAAGAAAATGAGCCCTCTCGGCGAGGCGTACAGAAACCACACTGTCGACTGGTTGCCCGAGGAGTCGACTACGTTGCCCCGTGGCTTCTTTCGATACGATCCCAAGCGATTCAAGGGCGGTTACCACGGTTCGCTTGCGGACCCCGGTGCTATCATTAGCGACCACAAGTGCCCCCAGGTTACTCTTCATGAGAACGATCCTTACTACAACCCCGTCGCCGACCCTCTGAAGATCACCAACCTCGATAACGATATCCTCCCCACCTTGAAGCAGGCGCTCGGCAATGGCGATGTCAAGATCAAGCACGTTGTCTTCATTCTCATGGAGAGTCTGCGACAGGACTTCTGGCCTCTTCAGCAAGGTTCCCACTTACACAGCCTTATCATGGACCTCAACAAGAGCGACCAGGAGAAGGAGGAGGCCAACGAGAGACTGTCTTGGATGATGCCTCACATTGAGAAGATTACCGGTCTGAAGCAGGGTTTCACCGACAAGAATGGCAAGCCCTACGCAACTCCCAACTACACATGGCACGACCAAGCCGAGGAGGGTTTCGGAGGTATCAACGTTGCTACTGCTTACACTGCCGCCACCATGTCCACCAAGAGCTACTGCGCCAACCACTGTGGTGCCTACCCCATGCCCGTCGAGAAGTTCGCCGAAGCCGATACCGACAGCTACCAGCCTTGCATCCCGCAGATTCTGAGCATGCTGAACAAGGTCAAAAAGAACGTCTCTGACTCGGACGCCGATTTTCGTGATTTGCAGTGGAAGACTGCTCTTTTCGAGGCCGAAATTGAGGAGTACGATCGCCAGGAGAAGTTCGATGCCAAGCTGGGCTTTGAGCATATCATTACCAAGAAGCAGCTCGAGAATGACTGGCGCTACAACAAGTCCGACGTTCTTTACCAGAAGATCAATTACTTCGCCTACCCCGAGCCTATCCTTATGCCCTACCTCCAGGAGTTCATCTCCAACACGACTGCCAACAACCAGCGCATGTGGTTGACGCACTTCACTAGCACCACCCACCACGCCTGGGGCCTGCCTGAAGGCTATCCCACTTACGATTACGTGTCCCACACTGGTATGAACAAGAATCACGACAACTTCAACAGGTACATGAACACTGTCCGCTACCACGATGGCTGGATGGCTAGTTTGATGAACCTTCTCGACGAACAAGGCATCTCAAACGAGACTCTCGTCGTCTTCGCCGGTGACCACGGCCACTCCTTCAAGGATGATGCTGGCAAAGAGGGAACATACGAGAACCAGTTCATCTCCAACTACCGAGTTGGCCTGACCTTCCGACACCCCCACCTCCCCCGAGTCCAATACGACGCCAACACCACCACCATCTCTATCCTGCCGACCATCCTCGACCTCCTTATCAACAGCGGCTCCCTCAACGAGAACGATTCCCATATCGCTTCCGATTTGGTCCAAGATTACGAGGGCCAGTCTCTCATCCGACCCTACAAGAAGTCCGACGGCGACCGACGAGCCTGGACCTTCTCCGTTGTCAACTCTGGTGCTGGTATGCTCGGTATCACCTCTGCTGATGTCAACTGGCGCCTGGTCATTCCGCTTAACAAGGTTATTGAGTACCGAATCACCGATGCCGTCAATGATCCTATGGAGTTGAAGCCCGTGGCAGCATGGTCTCCAGAGGAACTTGTCACAGCCGCGCAATCTGCTCTTGGCGACGAGGCAGCTCAGTGGGTTTCCGAAGCCATACCCATAGCGCAGTGGTGGGTCAAGGAACGCCAACGTCTCTGGCGGTACCACAGCTTGTCATCATAGACGTTGACATTTTTTATTATTTTTATCTCTTGCATCACAAGGCGTTTTTGGGGACTTTATTCGCTCAAACTTCATCTCTCGTGTCGGTATTTCCACACAAATGCATCTACTATATATCATCACTACAAGCGTGAACGACGAACACCCGCTCTAACACCAGATTTGTCCCCGGATGGATGAGACTCGGAAGGGCTCGCGGTGGTTTACGATCATCTCTTGAAAACACAGCGATAATAATATCTTGACATTTTCTCTCTACAATTCTTGTAAAAAAGAGTGTGACGAACTTGGGTTGGGTGGCGGCAGTCGATCGCAATGCGGAATAGAACGGAAGAATTCCAATCTTGTCTTTTTTTGATAACTCTTTATCATCGTTCCAACCGGACTTTTTATACCTTGGAGTTTTTAGGGAATGGCTTGTCTCACGGTCGCTACGTCATGGTCTTGGGTATTCTCTTTTGCTTACATTACTTCTTGTGCTTAGCGTATAGAAGGGTGTTTTTCTCACTTAGAAATAAATGAATACAATGCTCAATCATAAACAAGATCGTACTTATGTGACTGTTGGAAGTCTTTTTTGTTGAAGTAGTGTCTTGAGTTGGGTGACGAGCCTTTTCGCAAGCTGATCTCTACTTGGGTAGGGGTTGTACGTTGGACAGGTTTCGCCTGTAACACTGTGAAGCAGTTATCTGGACTTTGCTCGGCCTTTACGACTTTTAAGCGCGATATCACTTTGACTGTCGGCTACAGGAACTTAGTCAAGACAGAGAGTTCAACTAATCCTGACCTTGTATTTTGATGTCTTATGGTTTTGAGTACTGATTGACCGTGGATCTGAGACAGTAACCTGAGACCGCCCAGACTTCTCGTCTTACTATCTTCAGCCGATCGTTTACCTGCAATGCATGATACGAGAAACACTCACTGAGACAGTTACGTTTCAAGCTTTCTACTGTTCGCACTGTCTCGACGGTACTAGTGATCCGAGTGCAATATTGAAACAAGCTGATGGAAGGGTAGGTTGAATCAAGCTTTGCACCGCCACAAGTTGCTGATCTCAATAATCTTGGCACAAGGGCGTGTTGGATGATTGGATACCAGATTCGTTTTTCTTATCTAGATGTAAGATGCATAATCATCTTATCCGTAGTGGTGTTGGGACGGTAGATTGTTGATGTGACGCTGTATGTGAGATGTGGTCATGTGATCTTGGCAGGAAGGGCATTCTGAATTTGATGAGACATGATTCTACAACTCTGGCTATATATTGGTCATGTTGCGGTTGCGTTGCTATTAACAATTGGTGTTGTCCTGTCATAGGCTAAATTATGCGTAAGTTGGCAAGATGGCCAGTTGCATGTCCATGATATGAACGGAGTTAGTTGACCAACGCATTCCACAAGAACCCTATCAAGTTCTTCCTTTTACACATATATTGTATGTGAGAAACGTGACGGCATTTTACGTCTCTGAAGCGCTTTACTAGAACTGGGGACGGAATCCAGGAACCCTCCAATCTTCTGTATATCTTTCTGTTCCTTGCTGCCAGTCCTTTTGGCGGCAATTCCTTTGCCTATACCTTCAACCGCGATGCTCTACATCTATCGTCGATGTATCAAGTCTGATGCGCATTGAGGAATAACCAGCTACCTTAGTATATGTGTTGGTGATCTGACGATCCGAGTACCTGTCAGGGAACCAAACTACTGAGGAGCAAGGTAATTCAATGATGTTTTGGGGTGTCTCCAATTGAACGTCGACGGCCATTCTCATACCCATAAATCTATATATTGCTGGGAAGTATGCGAGGCAAAGACAATACCAGACGTAGCCCTTTTTGAAAGTGTCAGGTAGTGAACCAAGTCGCGGTTTGTTACTTTGTCTATACTATCACAAACATCGTGCGGTCTGCTTTTGCAAAAAAAAAAAAAAAAAAAAAAAAAAAAAAAAAAAAAAAAAAAAAAAAAAAAAGATCATATGCTCACTATTAATTCAAGTTGATATCTAGTTATAACATCCATCGCTATTGGGCACTTTTCAGATTATGGCATCCACACTCTGCTTTTCTCTAACACGGTAAAACTGTTATAGCTGTCACCCTGTCTATCCGCTCGATAGAGACCTGGCTGTATCACAAATTTCACCAAATTCTTTGATACTGGCGGGCTTCCCATAGCCAACATCATAGAAAATTGATCAAACTTGACATTTAAATGTCCACTGATTGGCCACTTGATGAAATAAGCGGCCGTTTGACCAGACAAAAAGAGATCCATCTCGATAGCTTTGTTGACCAAAGTTTGGAGGTCACGATGATAGTGGCTAGGCCTTGGCATCCGTGGGCGACATGGCGCAAGAAGATCATCAATGTCCATGACCACATGCTCAACTTCTTGACCACGTTGTTCGGATGTTTGTAAGATAGAGATCATATTCGTTGTCAGGGTTTTCCACTGGTAGTTTAGAGGGACAAAGTCTTCGACAACGTTGTCGGCCTGTAGTTTTATTGCTGTTATTCGGTAAGAAATGAGTCCACTGCCAAGGGCAAATGACTTTGAGAAGTTGCTTACCGAGTCTACGCAAATCTCCCTTATAGTGACTAGCCCAACACATAGCTCCTTCAGAAGCGACGCCCCCAAATGTGAACTTTCTGAGCGCATGCCACATGGTAGCCTTTATCAGTGCAAGACCTGATTCGTGGTTTGTCACGATATCTTGAGGTACTTCAGTGACTTCGCGAAGATTGTCCTGTTGGATCTTTGCCCAGGACGCGATTTTCCTGTGGTTGACATCACGAAAATGATTGTCGACAAAGTTGTTAACGCTATAGGCCAGAGTGTGCCAGTCCTTGATGAGCTCACTCTCGGGCCTATTCAGGGGAAGTTGAACTTTTGGATGGTACGTCTTTGTAGCAGCTTCGCTGCATTGACGCTTTAATATCTCGTTATCTTCTTGCAATTGACGGACTTCATTGCATTTATCTATGAGCTGTTGTTTCAGGTCGTCGTACTGTTTCTTGAAGTTTGTTATGGTGCCATCCGGATCAGTGAGTCGCCTTTGTAATAAAGTCTGTTCTTCGGAAATGCTAGTAACGCCAGTAAAGGGCACAACCTGAAAGTCCCGAAGAGTGTGGTTGCGAGACTCTCCATCATGTTTCCCCGATTGATGGAGAGCTGGGGTAGACTGTCTTGTCTTGATTATGTGCTGCTGCATCGTACGTGATGGAGTTTCTGGCTCATCGCTGACTGAACGGTAGTCGAGCTGTTCTTCTTGATTGCCATCGGACTTTGAATATCGGGTAATGCTAAAGCTACGCCTAGGTAGATGTGTGGACGAGTTGTTACTACTGGGCACTTCCTTCTTGTCGACCAATTTGCTCGAATGCAACATCTTTTTAAACTTTGACATGCGCTCACGAAAGGACGCTCCTGAGTTCGGCTTCATTGGTGTTTCTGCCATCACGTCGTGCCATCTTTGTCTGCTTGTTGAGCGACCGCGACTTCTTGTTTGCATAGAATTGCTGCGTTGAGGTCCGTCAACGTATAAAGCTGAATGGCGGCTAACGGACCTGCGAGAAGCCGCCATGCTCGCTTGGGACACTTCCTTGTTTCTGTGCTTTATCTCACTGAGATCACTGCCTAGCGCATTCCTGAGCTTGGAATGGAATAGTAGTTGGAGCCTTGAAGAAGGCTGTCCTGTGAGAAGGCCCAAGAACGCAAGTCCGGCTGATGATAGACACTGGATTGTGGATTGTTGGTCAAAAGATCAAAAATGAAAATCAATGAATTTGATAGAACTGCGAAGATTCTATCCTTAATTCATTCCTCTTGTTGCAATCAACACCATACATATGCGAACGTACTTGTCCCACCTTGTAGAAAAGCTCGCAATGCTGGCAGCCTTGATCAACAACTACGTACAGGATCATTGCGGCTGAGTTTCAACCCCTCATGACAACTACCTTGTGAGGCTTGGGCTCGGCTATGCTGAGAACCAGGAGGCTTTGGCCCAAAAAGGGCCACAGCCACGTCCTTTATGCCAATAGACTCCTCTTATCTCGACGAGGGTAAAGATCAAGAATAGCCTACAACATGCTGATACTTCTGAAATCCAGCATTCAGGAGTGCAGAAAGACTTCGATTTCCGACCCGCGAACGAAGGTGGAGGAATAGATGGGCCAGGTGCTTGTGGACTAAGAGTTGGTTCTGCATGAGAATCCTATTGCCTAGTCGCAATCATACGTTATGCTTATCCGTCAGGCTGCGTTGAGTGCCAATGAGAGTAAGCATGGTACACTCGCCCAGCCGCCAGTAAGCCGCCACTCAATACTTACAACTTTTCATGCATATTATTGCTCAGCTGAGCACACCTTTGAGGACATGGTGGGATGGGTCAAAATTCTTGAGACTTACAAAAGAATTCACAGGTTCACTGCAATCTTCGCCGATGTTACATTTGTTTCAAGGGAATAATAATAATAAGCGCAAAAAGAAAGTAAATAGATTGAAAAGAACTAATGCTTCATTTAATCTCCTGTACAGAATTAAATTCCCAGACTGAGCTTGACTGCAACGTATGTCACGTTCAATACTAAGCCAAGAACCATTGCAGCAGTCTGACCAGATTCCCTTATAGCCTGCTTCATGCGAAGTCGCATTGGGGCACCGGGCTTAATTCGTAGCCGATTGACCGAGTCACTCATGGTTCGTAGAAGCTTCTCAGTTTGATCAATCTCACTCTTCAGCCGACGTAGCTCTGCCTTGTCTGGTGGTTGCAACCCTTGTATTCGCTCCAACTCATCACGAAGGTTGCACAACTTGAGTTGATACGGCTCATGGTCCTTTTGGAGCTGTCGGACCAGGCTGATTCCAGTGGCAGTTTCGATGATCGATCGATCCTGATCAACAATTTCCTTCTGAATGTCAAGAACGACACTCTCCTGGTCTGCGAGCTGATAGACCAGGTTGTAGGCTGACTCGGCTGTGCCGTTAAACTGTGCAACGAATGCGCTTTTGTTTATCATTGGGCTCCAGAAGTTATTGAGAAGTTCCTGCTCACGATGTACAGCACGTTTGCGGTCTTCGGGACGAAGAGTATTCCACATGGTTGTGACTAGAATGACATTCTTGAGCGCATCATCTCCAACAATATCCTGAAGAAGTTGAAGGTAATCTTGCGACGTTCTGGTCATTCGATTCTCCGTAATCTTGTGCAGATACAGAATTCCTCGGAGCGGTAAGCCCGAGAGATGTTGAGCCGCCAGATAATTAGTGATCTCTGCGAGAATATCCGCTTGAGATCGTTCTGTGTCATCAAAGCCTGGCGTATCGACAACCGTGATACTTCGCTTCTGGTCTTCATCATCGAGAATTATCTCAACTGCCTGACACTCACGAGTTTCTATGGTAGATTAGCCGAGACCGTACAAACCGGGAGACAGACAATAGTTTTTACCAGAAAATAGGGAATGGCCCTCTACGACCGAATGACGCTTTAGCTGGTTCAGAAAGTAGCTTTTTCCAGCACCAGTTACACCCATGACCAGGATAACGCCGTCGCTCTGGTCATCCATATTGAGAACCTCTCTTTTTTGTGTGATATTGTAACAGGTTTTGATTAGAAAGGTATCTTTCTAGCCCTGTAACATGAACTATTTAAATATTGTGGGTTAGTAACTCTTAACATGGCTTGAAAACAGGATGAAAATAATGTCACCGCAGCCCTCCATGGTTTGCAACAGCCCCCAGACTATGGCATGGGCTAGAGCAGGCTGGATGCACAATTCCACACCCATTTCAAGCCTCATTTTGGTGCCTAAATGGCGATGATACAGAAGGCTGTGCGGCAAGGCATATCAGCTTGTTCATGTCTGCGCTTCTCTCAGCCTGATTACGAAGAGGGGGCACTTTTCTTATGGTAGTGAGGCCTCGTCAAGGTCCTCAACTGATCCGCATTCTCTTCCACGGCAAAATTTAACCAACTTAATTCCCTGTAGCCCATTGTACCTGGAATTAGATATAGCTTGATACCTGTTAATAAGCCAGCACAATGTCTCGTTATAGTGCGCGCATGCCCTTCGTTTTGGATCCCGACAAGTACTTCGACAAATTTGTCGCAGTGGGCATCGACTTTGGAACAACGTCAGTAAACTTGCACTTTTCAAGTTTCTACCAAGAACTGACGGTCTGGACCTTACAGATACACAGGTGTTTCCTGGGCTCGATCAACCGACCCCAAAGACATAAACCCTATCACTGGCTGGCCCTCCGAGGATCACCGCAACAAGAATGAGATTCAAGTGCCTACTCTATATGATGTCAAGTCAGAGAAGTGGGGTTATCAGATCACACCTGATATGAACCCCATGAAGTGATTCAAACTTTTGCTGCTGAACAAAGAGGACATCACTAAGGAAGCGGGAGGTGACTCTGTACAGCTTCGACAGACCATCGAGATTTCGGAGTCATCTGGTGATACCATCACTCCGGTCCAAGCGGTTGGCCTCTACCTCAAGAAGGTCTGGAATCACACTTATCACTCCCTCGGCTCGATGATCGACATTGACAACTTGCCTCTCCGTGTCGCTATCACGGTTCCCGCCATCTGGCCCGATTATGCTAAGAACCTAATGAGAGAGGCTGCCAAGATCGCTGGTATCACAAAGCACAGAGCAATTGGCGAAACTACTCTGATAACAGTCGAGGAGCCAGAAGCAGCGGCTCTGGCCAGTTTGTTCCAACGCAACTCCTTCCTTGACATAAAGGTCAGTCTGATGTCGATTCATATGAGGGATATACAATAATAATTTAATAATAGAAAGACGAATCTTTTGTTGTATGCGACGCCGGTGGCGGCACAATAGTAAGGCGTTGACCAGACAGCATCTATTTACTCATCATAAGCTAATTCTGGAATTAGGACGTCATCAGCTATACTGTAGTATCAGAACACCCTTTCAAGCTTGAAGAATGTATCCATGGCAGAGGTAACCCAAAGTCTCCCGCCACAATAAGACTCTTCGTCTGACTATATATAGGCAAGCTGGATGGAGCCTTTCTGATCGACCAAGCCTTTTTCTCATACTTACGTGGCAAGGCCAAGCTGAAGATCAAATCGCTCAAGGATTATGACTACAACCAATTTATCTCAAGAGAATGGGAGCTAGGCGCCAAGAGAAGTTTCAGCAGTGCCGATGAGCCAGAGTTCTACCATTTGCATCCGCCGAGTGATGCCTATGGAACCCTGGCTCGGCTGCGGAAAAAAGAGACCCTTGCAATTAGCAAGTAAGTAACATTACGCCTCATGGTAAAGCCAAGCTAAACAAAACCTGACAGGCTAGACATGACAGGGTTCTTTGCTAGATCGCTTACAGGTATCAAGTATTTGGTGGGTGACCAATGCAAGGAAGTCCAATTGGTAACAGGAAAAGACCCCAAGGTGAGTTTCTTCATTGAGAAACACAAAAAAGAACACCAAGAGTAATAAGTATCGAACATCTAGAGAATCCTTCTTGTAGGAGGCCTAGGGAGTTCTGAATACATTTATAATGTGCTGAACGAGAGTTTTAACAACAAGATCCTGCGACCTAGTGAAGGGTAAGAAAGTTTTCTCTCTCGATGAACTATAAATATACTGACTAACATCTCAAAGATGGTCAGCCGTCGCCCGAGGAGCAGTTTTGAGGCTGCTCCAAGAAAACATTGCCTCGCAGAGGGTCAGGTCACCACTGCACACAAAACTCCTCAATGTACTGCCCGACGTTGTATCTCGTCGCGCAAGGTATAACTATGGCATATTGGGCGATAGACCTATTGTAGGACTTGATCTGGACCCCCAAGACGTGGTGCTTATAAACCCAGAAGGGGTCAGAGTGACTTCCCGAATGCGTTGGTATTTGCGCAAGGTAAAGCCTCTTTACGGCCCTATATAAACTCGGTGCTAACAGAGACTAGGGCGAAAAGGTCGACAAAGAGTCCCGAATCCCGGTGGCATATCATGAGTACCGCCGAGCGTGGGAATACCTGCCACCAAAATGCACCTTTGAAATCATGTATTGTGGAGACAACGTTGCCCCCAAGAGAAAGACTTCTAGTGTACTCCCCTTATGTCGTATAGAGTGCGCATGGGATAAGCCTCTGGAAGAGTGGAAGACAGTAGGTGATCCATCCGAAGGGTGGAAAAAGCACGATGATCTTGAAGTGGCAATGGGGTTGCGAGGTGAACCCAAGTGGATGATTCGAGTTGGATCGAAGAGGCAGGAGCATCGTTTTGATATAGAGTATATCAGTAGTGAGCTGGCATTAAAAAGATAGTGCTATAATATTATCGTTTTCCAATCCACAACTTGCTGCCATACCCTTTGTGTTGTTGATCACTCGCCTTCTAGATAATACCTGCGATTGAATTTGGTACTAAGACCTCTTCTCATAAGCTTTCTTCTCCACAAGTTCTAAATGCCATTTGTACACCTATCCTTCACGCATGGTTGACAATACCACCGCTTTGAACCTCAGTAGCTCCCCTTGTAAGTTTGACGTTTTCGTCTTCAGCCACTTAGCTTCAGTACTGTTGTGGTGATCTGCAATTAATGGCTTCACTTCAGATGAGTTGTAATCTTACCCCACAGTAAGCGGGCTTCATTTCATGGCACTAGTATTGGGGACACTTATGCTTGTTCCAGGCCGCTATACCACGTGTGGAATTACGGCATTTGTTTATAAGAAGCTACTGGAATAGTTTTCTGTTTCTCGAGATACCAAAGTACTTGATTTGCTCCGATTGTGCACAATGTCGTCAACAAAAGATTATATTCACGACCACCTTTGCGATCTCTATCGCGAATATCGCCAAACAAAAGACGTTGCTGATAAAGCTGTTTTCTTCTCCCCGCAGTGCCACCAGATATGCCGTACGAACCCATCCTATGCGGCAAAGGACAGTGAAACTATCATCAAGTATCTGCTCGAGGCTGGCCCCGTCATTGAAGATATCTATCGGAATGCGGGGTGGCTCCAAGACCAAACTCGCACTGAGACCGATCCGCCGAGAAGCTTCTACTCGATGCGGCCCCTCAATAGCAACGAGATGACGGATTTTGGGGCCATCAAGGAACTGGCACCTTCTGGCTTTGAATCGGTAGAAGAAGTGAGGAATAAAGCTAAGAACGAGAAATGGGAGGGACTGCAGGTTAATATGTGGACCGAGGATGGAACTGATAGGGGAATTCTAGTCAAGGTTCACTACTGGTGGCGCATGGAACCTTTGGGGTCAGAGGTCGGTACATGGAAGCAGATATTCCATGACATCTTGTACCTGGGGCCGAGAGATGGCACGGAGACGGATGCAGGCGGCGAGGTAGTTGAGGAAAAGTGACCACTCCAAGAAGATGGTATTTCATTTAAATGGTATCATATTGTGACTTTGACTTCTATCATCTTTTTCTAAAGTCCGAAACACTCAAGCCGCCCTTTTTCATCTATTTAAATGATAACTTGGTGGGTAGCAGGCTTTTCAGCCTCATCGCCAAAGATGTTGACGTTCCATCGAGGCTTGTCTGTAGCACATACATAGTCAGCACTGTATCTTTACGAGGAACTTATATCAACTTACTGGCGACGTAGGGAACGTTGTAACGGCGCTGCTGCTTGCCAACCTGCTCAACCTCCTTGATGTCCTCCTCGGAGAGGTCGATCTCCTGGAAGTTCTGAGCGATACGCTTAGGGGTGACAGACTTGGGGATAACACTGTGGCCGCCGACTTGGGCCCAGGCAAGGCTGTTAAAGCGAATGTTAGTATGAATGACCTTCTCGAGTTTGAGGGGCTGATTGCTATGACGTACAGGACTTGCGTGGGTGTGACCTCGGTGCCCTTCTCCTTGGTAAGACGCTCGGAAACGGCCTTGACCTCGGAGTAAGTGAAGAGGAGAGGAGCGTTGACCATGTTGTTTCCAAAGGCCTGTAAGCACAGTTAGTATTAAAATAATTCAGGGTGTGTGGTGTAAACATACAGAGTAAGCGGTAACGTGAATGTTCTTCTCCTTGCAGAAAGCGATGAGCTCAGGCTGGATGAGGAGAGGGTGACGCTCGATCTGGTTGGCAGCGGGGGTGACACCAGTGCCCTTGATGAGAGCCTCGAGCTTTGTAACATATTAGCACAAATGAATTCCACATGCTGAAGTACTACTTACGTGCTCCTTGGTGTGGTTGGAAACGCCGACAGCGCGAGCCTTGGACTTGGGCAACTCGGTCATGGCTACACATTAAATCGTTAGCTAGTTACACATTCTATGTCAAGTTAAACTCACCCTTCCATGTGTCGACGATGGAGATGCTGTCGTCAATCTCGACGTCGCCATCAGGCTCGTTTCCTCCGGTCAGAGGGAAGAGGTCCTGGCCAACGTGCTTCTGGCTGCCCTTGAAAGAGACGGGGAAGTGGACAAGGTAGAGCTATGCATGTTAGTTTTTGCGGTGGTGAATCGATGACGAGTACTTACGTCAAGGTACTCGAGGCCGAGCTCCTGGAGGCAGTCATCGAGAGCGGCCTCGACGACCTTGGGGTCGTGCTGGGAGTTCCAAAGCTTGGAGGTGATGAAGACATCCTCACGCTTCAGGCCGGGGATCTCGGCGAAAGACTTCTTGAGAGCCTCGCCGATCTCGGGCTGGTTTCCGTAACTGAGAGATTTAGCGTGGACAATCATGGCAGAGCAAGGAAAACGTACACCTTGGCGAGATCCTGGATAGATATGTTAGTGAGGAGAATTTGAAGAAAGACGATGTAAATAACTCACCAAGTGGCGGTATCCAACCTTGAGGGCCTCGTAGACACCTTGGCCAACCTCACCAGGAGAGGCTTGCCATGTGCCGTAACCCAGAAGACTGGGGGGTATCACAGTTAGTTTGATATAGTTCGTTCTGTTGTTGATGGACTTACGGGATCTTGGCACCGGTGTTGAGAGTAAAGGTCTTTCCTTGAGACATGATGATTATGGTTGATTCTGCTTTCTGATAGTGAAGAAGATGAGGAAAAAGATCAAAGTCTTGAGCTCATGATGGCTCATGGAAGAGACATTTATAGCCCCCCCAGAATTTCCAACTGTACCCCGCTATTGCAAGACGCTAATTAAGAGGATACCAAGGAAGCCAAATAGAGGGGAATTTACCCCAAGCGCTCCAATCTTTTTGCTTGATGAGCTGGAGAATCAATGACGTTGCAGCCATGAGATTGGTGCGCAAGATTTGAGAGAAATAATAAAAAAAATTGGAGTTTCACGTGTAGTTGTTGAGACGTCGCAGTATGTCATCTGTCATTTCATCTCATGTCTGCTGACATGATGCATCTCTATCAGATTGCCGATTACTACCAGATCTCTCTTTTAGGGGTACCAAGGTACCTGGACCTATTGTAGGTACCCCAAAAATATCCCCACAGACTGCCCCGTCATCACTAGAGGTATTATTTATGAGCGGGTTCGGATATTTGCTTTCCCAGCCCAGACCGCGACTTCCCCCTCATCCATAGTCTCAATTTAGACACCACCTAGGATAACTTGAAGTGTCACCGAACTGTCCGTCATGAGATAAACGCAGCTATGTTAACAAGGTAGGATCCCCAAGGTGTGCGGATTTTTCACCAGATTTAGCCAAGGTGACATTCACGACGAATATAGCGTCGACTACCTTTGACAAGACTCCAATAGCCGCTGCAACGCAATAGTAGATACCACACCTGTACCACAGTGACAGTGGTATCGACTTCATACATTCGACCATGCTGGCACAGAACCCGTGCGTGATTTGGTCATGTTCCCCTCTGTGTATAACAGGAGCTGCCTGTACAGCCGCAACAGTAGCTGGAACCCATAGAAGAAGCTTTGCAGCTTTGGATACAGCATAGTGAATCATGATGATACGACTAACCAACCTAGCTTCATTTGTCTCCAGGTCACCACTGAAGTTATGGTTGCCTATAGACAATTGAAGGCTTTCATCGATAGCAACCTCTATGGTCTCTTCAACAAGACAAAATGACAAGACGTTAATAACAAACTGCAGCCACTGCATCGCTGTGATGGAGCGAAGATATCTCGTTGAAGCACCCAGTGACAAAGGGGTGTCGGACAGAATTGCATGAAGCCACAGCAGTTGGACCGGAGCAGAGACCATCATCAAGACGCACTTGCTGAGACACACTGGTAAATATTTGGCAAGAAAAGGCAGAGCCAGTTTTCTTGAGAAAGACCATATAAACCATAACACGATGCCTTTGGTCGGATAGATAACGCCCAAGAGAGAGTTATTGGTCTGTTGGCCCATTATACCACTCGTCTGCACATCCGAAGCTGGAAAATTAACAGACCGAACATGGCGCGAAGCAGTAAATTTTGGATAGAACGCGATATATGGGTAAGGAGCCTGGGAATGAGAGTTAGTTCAAGACATTCTCGGATGTGGTGACGACTCACAATGAACAAAAGTGGCTCCAGCAGATAGCCTAGGAACTGATGCAACATAGCCATTCAAGCGGTTCGTGATATAGCTTTCAGTATTAACGTGTTGGTTATGGTGACAGTAAGATTAAAATGGATTAGTTTAGGAACATAAAGACGACGTCAAATAAGAAGAGAGATGGATAGGTATTTGAGTCTGATAGCTGTCGGGCCGATGGTTGATTGTGTCCATCAGAGATAACAAAGTGGCCTCAGCCCAGTTCCTATGCACAATAATATCCAACATAATTCGGAGGAATTCTCGAACCTTTTTCGATCAACAGGCATGATTGAGGCTGAACAACTTCGTTGTCATTGGTTCTTCTATACGCGCACGTCGATCCATCGGCACGGAACTTAAAGATGGAAGTCATAGCGGAACAACCCTGTAGGCCGAGAGCAGACTAGCCTTTTTGACAATGCTGGTGCCTGTTTGACAGCCTGGTTTCCAGTCTTCTTAACTCGGCTTTCTCGGCCTAGGTCTTGTTGCATCCACTACACTCACAAATGGACCTTTCTGTACGCGCCCAAAGACAAAGGGCGTTCGCCCCCAAAGCACGCACGGGATGTCTTACATGGTAAGTTATCCATGTTACCTGTACTATGTGCTAACTGAAAGAATCAGTAAAAAAAGACATAAGAAATGCGACGAGGAAAAGCCAACATGCCTGCGTTGCAAGGCAGGTGGCTACGTCTGTGATGGCTACGAGATTAAGAAAGCAGCGTCGTCTACGAAGTCGCGTACTGGCTCTCTCCCACTGCTAGCAACAAAGCGCCCTCTAGCGATCAGCACTCCCAGAAGACCCCTCATCCAAGGCAATGCGATGGAGTCCAATTACTACACTTATTTCTTCTCCAACATTATTGGCCACCTCGAAATTTCCCCTTCACTAAACAGGGATTTTTGGAACAAGACACTTCTAGCGCCTAGTCAAAGTAGTGTCTGTATTAGGCACGCGGTCTTAGCACTTGGAGCGACATATTATCAATACGCTGCTGGAACCGCACAATCCTCAACAGTATCCCTTGATCGCTTCATCTTGTGGCACTACAATGAGTCCATATCCAAGCTCGCATATAGTCATGATACATCACCAGATCTTTCTACGATACTGACATGCTGCATCCTCTTTATCATTCTTGAAAGTCTCCGTGGCGATTTTGCAGAGGCAATCCGACATCTCGAGTCCGGCATAAAGATTCTGTCAAACCATACACCCAAGACCTACTTACCAAACGGCCAAGTTCAAGAGCTTGCGAGCATCTTTCACGCAATAAGCTCTCAGGTTGCTATATTCTCCGAGGATCGCCTCTTCCCAGACGTGACGCATCTCCTGATGCCGCCAAAGAAGAAGAGAAAAGGGATCCCGGGTGAATTTCGCGATCTCGACGAAGCCGAAGATATCATGAACAAGTTTGATGATGTGATAAATGAGATTAGCTGGGACATGGACCAAGACTGGGATAATGAAGAATCAGTGTGTGTTATACGGTGGGTAAAATTGCGCCAGGAGGTGCGAGATTGGAACGATCAGTTTGAAGTTCTCATAAACAAGATTACAAATAACGGCAAGAAGAAAGTTCAAGTTGAGAGAATACTCAATTTGAGAATCCAACACAAACTATGGGACGTGCTCCTCGACGGCGAATGCAACGAAGACGAAGCAGACATCGATCCAACAGAGTGCAACCTCCTCCTTGATCAAGTCGAGCGACTCTGGTGCAATCCCGCGAATCCTCGATTCGGCCTGAAGATTGATCTAACTGCTGCGTTGTACCAACTCTACGTTTATTGCCCCGATGACCCAGTACGGCAGCGTATCATTATGCTGCTGCGCTCACAGAAAAGGAGAGAGATTATATGGGATAGTGGTGATCTTGCGGACTTTCTGGAAAAGGATATGTGGCAGAGAGCTATCGGGCTTCAAACGGAGAGATGGCCTGATATTGGACCGTCGAAATATGAAGGTGCTTTGTTGGTTCTTAGACCGAGGGCGCGGTGATTCGTATGTCAGGTGGGATCATGGACTAGGACGGCAACGGGATGAATTTGGGTCGACTACATTGGGAATGTATCTAAAAGTTAGTTAGCACAAGGGGAGTTGCTCATACATTTTGGACAAAATAGGCTATACGCCCCATCTAATCGGACTACGGCATGGCAATCATGGAAGATCTCGCCACTGTTCCACGGGCCGCGCTGGCATATGGTGGTTAGCGCTAGACCCTGAATCAGCCGTACTTTACGCTGCAAGCTACACGATTCGTCAATTTGTACGCACGGCCATGCCAATGCCGGGCAGAAGCTACATATAAGAATAACCACATTCCATCTACATTGTTTCTGTTATTAATCTGATATCAACGCTATCTTTCCAATACTAAACTCCTAAATATTTTTACCATGCGGTTTGATTATCTTCTCTCCACCACTATGGCTGCACTCTCCTCAGCTTTGTGTACCGTACGACCTAAAGCCGTTGTTTATCGCGGTCCAGCGTCATCCCCAGGCTGTCCTGAGGCCATCGGTCACCTTTTAGAATCCTCGCCCTACCATTTCAAGGTCATTTACGCTGGTCCGAAAGAGCAAGTCGACGTCACCGACGAAACACTGCAGGGCGCCACGATTTACGCTCATGGTGGCGGTCCAAATTGGGAAAAGGCGTACCGGCAGACGAAGAACTACCAAAAGACGATCCAGAAGTTTGTTGGTAATGGGGGCCATTACATGGGCTTCTGTCTAGGCGCGTATCTTGCTGGGCCCAATGACGGATACGACTTACTGCCTAGAGGCGTGGAAACCGATCAAGAGATCGAGAGACGACGCGCACAGGTCAAAGATGAGGGTGATACGGTCATTCAAGTCGATTGGACCTTTGGTTGCGGAAGAACTGATAAGAAACGTTGGCTGTACTTTCAAGACGGTGTTGTCATCAAAGGTCTAAATGAAAAGACACTTGGACATGTCATCGGAAGATATTCTTCTAATGGCGACGTGGCTGCTTCAGTCACACCATACGGTAAAGGTTGGGTTGGGCTTGTTGGGCCTCATCCAGAAGCTGACAAGACCTGGTGTAAGTGCTTATCCAATCTTTCGGCTGCAATGTGCCTTACTAATTTTGCCACAGATGAAGATGCTGAGATTGAGAATCCGGAAGGTATTAGATATGATATCGGGCATGACTTCATCCAGGAAACTCTGAAAGGTGGTTCTGGAAGAGCGATGGGGGCCATTGATGGATGCAGTCCTAGTTAACTTGCCGGAAAACAGAGGCGGTGCTTCCAAAACTTGTGTATATTTATCCAACACTTCATATAGAAACATTCTGATAGTCTCTTCCTTGTCTACGAAACCGAACCCCTGTGATGTCTGTGAATTCACTAGAACTAAGGATAAAGTGATTTCTAGTAATAGTCAGACAACCTACGTTTCTTCATGCGCAAGTGTAGCTTTCCCAGCCATCGACGTCCCCTCCCTTATTCAACTTCGCAATCTGCGGCCATGTACAAAAGCCTTCTGGTTCTATTTTCTCCATTTTCGGGCCCCCAACTCTCGATACCCGCCATAGGTTCCGTTCCCTTCTCGACCCAATCAATCAGTGCAGAAGTAAAGTCGTATTGTGCTGGTACGTATGGATATTTTGCGTTCATAGACCCGCAGTGTCCACCTCCAGGTATCATAACGAGCTTGACAAAGACGTTCTCTGCTATGGTCACTTCTTTGCCAAGAGTGTCGCGTGTTATAGCCTCGACGTGCTTCATCGGCCACTGTGGGGAGATGTTGGGGTCTGCCCAGCCAGCGTGAACGATCATTTTCCCACCTCTATTCCGGAACAAAGTCAGGTTTGTTTCGATGGCGTTGGTAAGTGGGCCGGTTCTCGCATCCATGAATTCCACGTCTGATCCCCAGTTGAACTCATCAGCGTTGTAGGACATGTTCTTGTACACGAGGTTCTGCAGCATAGGCACGGTGAAGGCATTTGATAGGGCACCTTGAACTTTGGTAGACTCCAGCCTGCTTCGGACCCCAAAGCCAGGCCAGGAAAAAGGGACGTGCGGGCATCAGAGTGCACAGGGCCATTATATAGTGCCTGGACGGCTTCTACTTGGTCTTGCCTCAGACAAGTGGTGTTTTCCATCCCATCTGCTTAGCAAGATAGAGATGGAATGTTGAAATGGCAGTCGAGTGGGTTTTGTATCACAGTGTATTTTACGCCGTCTAGAAGATCGCATTCCTCCATCACACTGGACTGTATAAGCATCAGGTGTTCTGGTGACAGAGTCGTCGCATTTTTCTGCAATATGTTCATAAAAAAACAATGAATATAGACTTTCCCTTGGGTAACTTACGTTTGTGTGTTGCGCATTCCATAGAAAGCTCAACAGCATGTGCGTGAATCAGTTCGCAGGACATGCGGCTATGATACCATCGAACAGCCCGGGTCTCAGTTCAGCGAGCGAGAACCCTTGTGTTCCACCGGCCGAACAACCTCGGAAGTAGGAAAAGTCTGCTTCTTTTCCATGGAATGCCTCAATCAGCTGCTTTGACGCCGGCGTGAACAAACTGATCGCATCGTGCATCCAGGCTTTGACTTGTGACTCGTCATACAGGAATGGCTGGTAAATACCCGGAGCGCCCATCCCCGGCATATCTCCAGCCATATTATCAGAGGCTAAATGACCGGCATCACCACCAGCTACAGCGAATCCGAGATCATTGTAAAGTTCCACCATCATGTCTGCCTGGCTGATTTCGCCGCCTTGGCCGCCGTTGCCGATGACCATGAAGCGTGATGCATAGTGATTTGCCTCGGGAAGCCAAAGTTCAAAGACCAGAGAGTTGTTATTGCCATATTGCACTGAGGCGCAAACTTCACAGAATGGGATTTTGTTGTATTTCCCAGGGATATTGAGTGCACCGACGGCATGGTAGGTGGTGCTGAGAATGGTTGCGTTATGCTCGACGAGGCAGGTCGACTGTGCCAGAGATGCACATTTGGGTTTGCTGCAGTATACTGCTGCAACCACTTGGGCTACAATTACTGTGGCGAGCTTGAAGCGTGACCAGAAACCCATGGTGACGAATGTGAAGGAGCCAGATTATCGATATGCGTATGGTCGCATGCGATAGGACTTTTATGCAGTGTTTTGTTCTTTGGGACAGTGAATCACTCCACAGATATTTCACCACAGCTGAAAAGTGTGAGAGGAAGTATTTGTATTGGGATAAAACAATAATTTGACAGCTGATGCATTTAATAGACGTGACAGACGATTGTCATCATCTGTATTTATCAATTCCCTATAGCCTCTTGGTCGTATTTTGCTCCCGTTTCATGAGACAACACAGTTTCAGTAACTTGCTCAATTCTAGCCATCACTGCTAATCTATCGGATGCGCGATCAATGTTTGCTATGTTCAGGCGGCAGATTGGCAATCAATTCTAATCTTGCTCAGGGACAGATCGCCGACATGACAAATGATTGGTTCCTATTCTTTGTTTCACAATGTCATGTAAACAATCCGAGATCTGTGTAACCTGATATATCGGATTCTAGGCGTCTTTGAGCGTTTACCCATAAGCTGGTTTCTCCTTTACCTTGGTGTATCAAAAATGAAAGGGGCTCTGAGTGCTTCCCACATTTTAACTAGCTCTCTAATAAATTGCAATGCAATGCTTGAATACAGAACGAGTGTTTCTTACGAGCCATCAAAGAGATGCCTATTCCTTAGTCAAATCTTACTCACCCAGCTCAACGTGGAAAAGCGCTATAGAAGAGCCTCTATGGCTGCAAGCATTCGAGAATGGATGCTTGGACGTGTTCACGTATGTACCAGACGGCCTCCCACGTTCCCTCAGGCCCTCTTTTGACTTTCATCCCACTTGTAACCGAAATGAGAGAACAAAAGGTCCCATTAGGCCATGTGACGATGGTGTTGCGATTGACCTTACGACATTGTAGAAGTTCAACGCAAGCCACTATGAAAAGGGCATCAAGTCATCTCGTCGGGCCCATCCCGCGTTCGGAGGCTTTCAGAGCACATCGGAGAACGAATAAGCCATAGTCAAAAACCCTGTCTCTTCCAAGGAACAGAGATTACGCGCATTATCCCACCGAAGAAAGGGCTTCCTTTTTAAGCGGGAGAACAGCCCACGTGACAACCCAGACCGCTAATCATACGCAAGAAACTTAATTCATGCGAGCCATAATTCATATACTTGATCAATGGGTTGTAGTAAGAGACATTCGGAATGTCGCCTTCCGTTCTTCGCCAATGACGTCCCTCGAACAAATTGATAGACAGTCGGAATATCCTCTTCCGAACCATTAAGCGAGGCCCCTGACATTGAAGAACCTGGGCTGTCACGGAATGTCCGCCTCCGATATTTCTAGATTAGCGAAAACAATACGACATCCTGGGTCCGAAACAACAATCACAACATTTCCGGTTCTAAGACGACAATATTGCATAGAGAAACAATGTAATGGGTTCTGATGATAAGGTCGAAACGAGATCTTGGTCAACTGATGCCTTGAAAATTACAATCGCCGGCTTGTTCTTCCGTCCTTCCAGACCGTTCAGGATCTCGGAGCAATCATAACAGCCAAGGACCGCCACGGCGGCTCTTCTCTAGTCTCGCTCCGGCCCGCATCTCACCTTCTGATCGGTTTGATATATCTTGTTTATGAGCTCGATGGGCTTCATCGTGCGATGTAAGCAAGTCTAGAATGGCCAATGCTACAGCATGTCTTACAACAATATCGATATTGGATGCCATCCTATATTCTAGAGCACCCTCATGAATATGATACAACCGTGACTGATTAGTGACGTTACCTTGTTTCCTCTCCCATGGGTCTCTCTTGTTGGTCGGCAACTGCAGTGCAACCCTCTTCGGCCACGTTCTTGTAGATAGATTCCTGGGCATGTGCCAAGAGAAACCTTAAACCAGGCGGGCCCGACGGACCAAACTGGCCGAATATGCGGTTCTGGAAGTTTTGCTAATACTCTGAAACAGCTTTCGGGGTGGGCCGAGATAAGCGTCCAGAATCGACACGATCAGAAGGGAAAAGAATCGTGACGGCTTCCCAGTTTGGACGCCTCGGATGCCCAATGCGGCTGGTTGGGCCATAGTCTGGGCAGGCTCTCTGGCAATCAAGCGGTAGCGTTAGCCTGTTAAACCGGGGTAATAGAGTTTATCAAGATCACGATCACCGGATGAAGTGTTGAACTTTGACGGGTAGCCTTATGAGGTCCGGGGAGGAGGAGATACCATATTGATGTATAAAATAGTTGATATCCCTCGATCCTTCCGACGTCAGGTCCATGCATATCACTTTCATTTTATTGCTCAGGGATAGCAATTGGCACTTGAGTCGATATCATTTAAACGACTCCAAGAGATCCCCCAGTATGTCACACCGCCGAGGGGCAAGTACCAGCATGGCTTTACTACACAGCTTCACCCTTTGGGCACTCCTGGCTCTGTTTACCAGCTCAGCCTCAGCCACAAGTCTCCCAGGTTACGGACTGAACTTATATGATCCTCTCTGCGCCGAGTCATGTGTTCGATCCTTTGCTCTTCTGAAGCTTCCATGCTCCATTGTCAGCCCTGGCGTGCACAAACGGGCCACACATTCACCAGTCTTCACTCCACCGAGTTGCAAAGCCAACAATGAAGCATTCCTGACATCCGTGGCATTATGCTTCAGCGCCAAGTGTTCTGAGGAGAAGATGTCCAAGCTTGAAGGCTTTTGGGAGGAGTCAGTCACTGGCACTAAGCATGTCCCTGCAAAGTGGACTTATAGCGAGGCCCTTGCTGAGGTTCAAGAGAACCCGGCCAAATATCAGCTCAAGCCTACAGACTTTTCTCTCAATGAGACATCAATAGTTGAGCCTACGGCTTATCTAAAGCAGTGGAATCAGCTTGGAGGATACAGGAATGAAATGATTATCGAGTCAAGATATAGGTACGCTTTGTTCTTACTAGCCTTCAAATCTGGCAGGACTGACTCAAACCCTCAAATAGCATCACCCTTGTCGTCCTTGCACTCGGTCTACCAATCGTCATTACATGGCTAGGCTACATGCCTTACATCCCAACAATATACGACAAACTCAAGCCATACATGCTCTACCCCAGCACGATTGGCACCTACTCTGTCCGGCCTCTACCTTTCAAGCTCGGCAACGTTCCCAACATCGGCCAAGCACTCTTTATCATCATCTTTGTCTCTCTCACTGTCGTCTTCACCGCCATCGACTACGACGTCCGTCAGCCTAATGCCCGTTTCGACAGCACTAGACGCGAGCAGTTGGCTTACCTCGTGTACCGTACTGGATCGTTCGCATATGCCCTCCTCCCAGTGATTGTTCTCTTCCCCTCGAGAAACAACATCCTCCTCTCACTATCCAACTGGTCACGTTCAACTTTTATCCTACTTCACCGCTGGGTCGGAAGAATTTTTACGCTTCTTGCTGTTCTTCATGCCATATTTGCTTTGGCTGGTTCCAAGACTCTGGGTTCTGCTGATTGGAGACGATGGGGTTCTACTACCGTTATCCTCTCGGTTATCACTACTTTTGGAAGCGGTCTATACTTCCGAAAAGCCAACTATGAGCTCTTCTTATTGATGCACGTCATCTTGGCCGTTTTTATCGTCGTCGGATGCTGGTACCATCTCATCAAGCGTTATGAAGCTATCGGCCTTGACTTTCCAAACCACTCATATGGTCAGGAAATTTGGCTATACATGGCATGCGCCATCTGGTTCTTTGAGCGTTTTGTCCGAATCATTCGTGTTGTCAGACTGGGTATTCTAAGATCCAAGGTCAAAGATATCGGATCTGGTTACGTCCGTATCGATATCCCTAATGTCCGCTGGGGATTGGATCCCGGCAAGCACGTCTTTGTCTATTTCCCAACTCTCGCTCCATTTCGACCCTGGGAGAACCATCCTTTCTCAGTCATTCCTACAGTTGCCCTTCGAAGTCACGGATCGGCTTCCTCCCCTACCTCTCCGATCTCACCAGGCGGATCTTCTGGTCTCGAAGACATGGAGAAGTCGGTGGCACAAATTGGATCCAGAAGCATTTTACCTTCCGCAGAGAACTCGGCTGGAGTGACTCTCTTCGTCAAAAAGTCAGCCGGTATCACAAGGCACCTACGAAGTCACGACAGGCTTTTTACCTTCCTTGAAGGTCCTTACCCGGGTAACGACACTACTCAGATCCTTCGTTGCGATAGACTTCTCCTGATCGCGGGCGGAGTTGGCATCACAAGTGTTTTCGCTCTAGCTCACAGCCACTGGAACGTCAAGCTAGCATGGTCAGTCAAGGATGAAGCGCGCTGTCTCGTCAACGAACTGGAACCAGCTATGGATGCCATCAGCACGGCACAGGTGGATGTGAGAATAGGCTCACGGTTTAACGTGACCGCATTGATTGATGAGGAGGCTTCTCGAGGATGGGAAAGAGTCGGAATCGTGGTGTCAGGACCAGGATCGCTTTGTGATGAGGTGCGAGCGGTCGTGGCAGGTATAGCACGGAACTCTCAGACTGTTTTTGAACTTGAGGTGGATGCATACTCTTGGTAGTGAAGGAGGAAGAGTTTCTCCTGAGCATGGTTTATTGAGTAGCAAGGAGAGGTGATGGTGTTTTGTTTGTGATAGACACGTAGCGTTTCCACCAAAATCCTATCTATTTTTTGTCGATATGTTCATGATCGATATTCTAACCATGACTCCCTAGCTTCAAGACTCTATACAATGCAATGTGAATGCCACCAGGATCGATCGAAGCCCCCTGCCTGTAGATCGTTTCTCATTTCCCCTGTCAAAGATATGTATGTCACTGTCCGCTATTCAGGTACTTGGTCTAGGCCCTGTTGAGCCTCTTGAGTGAGTCTCGATCTGAACTCATCCACTTTTGGGACCAAACCTCAGCCCTCATTGGCCAAACCGACAAGATCGATCTGCCACCAACATCAATAGTTTGGAATAGCAACGATAGTTTATTAGGATAGCGTTTGATTATTTGACACAACAACAATAACAATAAGAGGAATCTGTATTGTTTGTTCTGTTTGATCTTTACATCTCCTCATCTCCATTTTCTTCCGACCTTTGTCACTCGTTTCACAATGGTTTCTCGTACCGTGTTGGCCGGAGTTTTGGCTGTGCTTTCTTCTCGAACTGTCATCGCCGGACCATGCCGTGTGGTCTCTTCCATCGAAGCTTCATACTCGACAACCCTCGTTGTGTCTGCTTCCACTGAGGGCCAGTCCACTGAGACACTGGAGACTTCTTTTACTGTTCCTACGACCGATGTCGTAACTTCTACCGTCATTGAGGAGGCTACTACGACCGCTGCCGATGACTTGACAACCACTACCACTGTGGCCTACGCAGTCCCCACTACCTTCAAACTGCGTGCTTATGGCAGCGTTGCTGATGGCTTGGCACTCAAGTCAGAGGGCAACCCAAGTGGTTGGTTAGCGTTTGGTGAACTCCCGAATACTTTCGAAGAAGTCATATTCAGCTTCTACGAGGATACAGGCCGTATCCAGTATGACTCCAAAGATGTCTGTGTTTACTACGACGACGATGGTTTGGCCGCCCAAGTCAAAACGTGCACTTCTGTACTGTCTGGCAGACAAGACCCCCTTACCTGCGAGAATCCCACTAGCAACCAGCTCAAGTGCGTGATCCCAGGGAAGACGTGTTCCAACCCTCCATCTTTGCCCATAGCCTTATGCACTCCCACCGGTGACGAATGGGCTCAATTTTTTGTGAGACCGTACATCAGCGGCTCATTCTTGTTTTATCTGGGCAATGGGAACGCGATGGCTGACGAACTCGAGGATATGGATTTGCGGCCTGTTGATATTCAACTGAGTGGGAAGATGTAGATGGCTAACGCCACTGACTGGGTTGAGAGGGCATGAAGGAGTCGTTTGTATGTATGTCACCATGCCCATCTTCTTATACCTACACCGTTATCTATATGGGATGTCCACAGTTTAATTAGAATTGATTTGTTTTTGACTTGGTTAACAGTCTGACATGAGGATGGTTCAAGTTTTTCACGATTCACGAATTTGAATTGGTTCAAAATCAAGTCCGTTACTTGTGGTTTATCTTTGATAACACTTCATAAGCACCAAATCTGTTAGTGCTCAAGTAGCTTTGAGGACAGCCACCGTGTGGGGATTCGGTTCCGTGCACCATTCAGTAATTGCAACTTTTAAACCTGTGTAAAATCGAACATTGACATCATTTAATCTTGTTTAACGTGAATATAATGACGTGAATCACGACCTCGTTTCCAACGAAGAAGCCTTCTTTCAAATCAAGTTCATGTTTCCTTCGTTTGCGCAAAGTTAAGCCCATCTACCTACCTCGCGTGACTCACTGACTTGTGAGTCCAGGGTAACCACCTGAGGTCCAAGTTAAGGGTCATTGAGTTTTGGCTGTCAGTAGGATGCACCGATTAATGCGACTCTGGTTGATTGAGCAATCCAATTGAGGTCATTGGCCACCTTGAAGTTCTCCGTCTGGTGACGGTAAAGAGGTTCGGATTAATGGAGAAGAGCACGATGGATAACGACGCGACGTAGGTGGCTTCTGCAAAACATGTTTAAAGTCTGTGCATTATGATCTAGCCTAATTGATGTGTCCAGGCCTTCGTTTATCGCATCACGAGTGATGATCTTGACTCGAGCCTTTGACCATTAGCTGGTCCTTGCATGCATTCAGATCTGTTCTCTGTCGTTGTCGACCAGGAGAATTGAAGAAAAGCAAGATAAAGTAGATTAGTAATTGGAGAATCCTCCCAGTTTCAAATAACGGAGAAACTAATTAAACTGTAAATTTCCCAAAGTCATACATACCCTGTCAGTTAGCCTCGCTCTACTCCATCCGAGACAAGACACCTGCATCTACCGGTAATTTTGGTGGGAGAGCAGGGATCTGCAAGGCATTTGCCGCCAGAACCGAATCATCAAGGCGAGTCGTCGGCCAACTTTTTTGGTTCCGAAAAGACTTTAAGACTCTAGTAAATTTCAGCCCAAAACCGTTGAACCGACCGCTTCAACGATGGCGACAAGCGATGGGATCCGGCTAAAGTAAATCGAGCCCGCTTACGCTAGATCCAAACCTCTTCTCTGACCATTCAGAAGGGAATCTGCACTAACTACCCCGGATCCGTTCCCTTCAATTCTTTTCGGGTCTGGGTCTTGTCTTGTCTCCATGCCCCCGCGTCTGCATTTGCCCCATCTCATCCCATCTTGTCTCCATTTTGTCGGGTCTCTCCACAACCGTAACTTTCCTTTCCTTTTCTCTCTTTTCCAACATACAATGGTTCCTATTCAAGCAACAACAGCAGAGACAACAACGTCATGAGCAGGAATGGAATCGCCCCCGGACGCAGCCCTGACAATTTCGTCGACTAGCGTATGTGCAGCCCTCATCGTCGCCCGCTGCATCTACCGACTGGTGTTTCGATGTCACATCCACGCAACATGCCATCGTCGCTGGCGCATCGACGACTTTTATATGACCATAGCCATTCTACCTCTGATCGGTCGCGCCTTGTGTATTCTGTTTTCGTTCTACCTTAACCCGGACCACACGTATGATCCAGCGACGCAAGCTGAGGCAGATGGCTGGGATGTTGGTGTGCAAGATTTGAATAGCGAGAGGGAGCTTTCTCACAAGTTACTCATCCCTGCACGAATCTTTTATGCATTATTGTGCGTTCAACTTCATCAATTGAGTGATTTGGGTTGTAGATGAATGCTGACTTTGGGTCTACAGTTTATGGTGCTTGAAACTTGGACTGCTGGCCTTTTATTCCCGCTTCATCGATGTCTTTCGTTGGGGCAAGTTTGTTACAGATGCGCTTTGGTGGTTCATCATGGCCACATTTGTCGCAGTCTTTATAACAATCCTGGCAGAATGCCGCCCACTATCTCTGTACGTTTTCTTGTCTATCAACAACAATTGACTCTCGCTGATAGACTTTATTCTAGAATGTGGGCGCTCAATTATGATGCTAGCAGTAAGATTGCAAATTCGCCACTAACAAACAATTGCTAACATTAACGTCACAGAAGTTGCATGCAACCGCGCCGTAGGCAACTTGATACTAATGGCAGTTTGCAATATCATTCTCAATGTCGCCCTCATCATCCTCCCTTTTCCGATGCTGCGACATCTTCGACTCGATCTCAAAGAGAAACTACAACTCGGCTTCTTGTTCAGCGTGGGCGCTGTGCTAGTCGCCATCACCATCCTTCGCCTTCCTCTAATACTCAACCAATCCGTTTCGCAAAGGTCCCGATCAATGGTATGTTGATTCTGTATACGTGGCTGGTGATTTTGTTCTGACACATTGTTCCAGTGGGCATCGATCGAGATCCTTTGCGCATGCATAGTCGCCAATACACCCTTCTTTTACGCCCTTGTCAAAGACTTGCAACGACAACACGACGACCGACCTGAGAGATCACCGTCCAATGCTACGAACCCGAGCGACTTTTATGACCTACAAAGCCTACCGTCTTCATCAGGCGCACCGATGCCAACACCACCAACGATATCACCTGGCACATCGAAATGTTCTATTAAATACTGCGAAAACGTATGAACGCAGGAATAATACGTTGTATATATTTAAATACCCGAATAATGATACCCAATTTATCAAGTTCTTATGAGTGCATTTACTCGTGAAGCAAGCAGCCTAATTAAGGCTTTCGCGATATATTGACTCGGTGCAAAATGACACCGTGATCTTTGTCTATCATTTCTTTCGCGGGGTCAAAAATAACGAGTTGAATAGGATCACAAGTTGGACGCAATGTTTTGTAGTTGGTATAGTTGCGATGTTTATTTCCAGCTCAGCGGGTTCGGCTCTCCAGGACTGCCACTGAATGGATGTTTTCGGCGGGCCATCTAGGCGGGCTTTCAGGCGGGCTTACAGGCCTCTCGTCGCATTAACTTCTCTTGTCTTTGCAACATCAGATTTCCCAAAACTAACCTACGCAACTTGATCATTTACTGGCGACAGCTAACTATTGTCAACACACAGTTCATAGCCTATATTTTCCAACCGCGACTCCAACGATGACGCGCCTCCTTCCTTTCTCCGCTTCCCAATTCCCGAAGCGAACGTCATCCGATCCGACAGAGTTCAGCACATCCCTTCCATACAAGACCGCGACAAACAATCACACGCTCCAACGTTGTCACCGTCGAACCGCTCAGTATCCCCTACCGCTCATACGCGATTTGCCTCCCTCTAGAGTCGGGAACGAGTTTGTCGCAAGCCTTCATCGAGTCAACATGGTCACTGTCTGATGGAACTCCCGTGGGTCATTTCTGATGCCCTAGAATACCTGCGACATGGGTTAACAGAATGGCACTGTCTAGACTTGTACTGCGAATCCTGCTGTCGCACTCGCTATCGTCGGCTGTTGCGAGTAACAATTCAACCACCAAAAGAAGAAGTGTCTGTATTGCTTACTTGAGGCTACAAAAGACATTCTGTCGCGCCAAATCGAGCACGCCAGAGCCCAGAAGCATGCAACTGTCAGCATCCGACCATGGCCACAGTCAACCAACTACACGTACAACCAAAGCACAAAGACATTGACAACATACTCGCATAACTTCGTCATTCATTATCATCATAACTCTTCTATCATGAAACCAACGGCCAGCGACGCAAATCCCTACAAACTTCCATCCATGTGCAGACATCCCCACTTGGCATCCCTCCGCCAGCCTCGTCTCGCCTCTTCCAAACCTCAGCGAGCACCTCCTTCGACGACTTGTAACTCTCAAACCCGCTCCTCGAAAATCCCTTGTCCAACCACTCCGCGATATCGATCCTTTGCCGACCTCTCGCTTCCGCCCCCGCAATAAATGCAGGCCATGCCGTTCCTGGGCCGAGAAGGTTGTTCCTCTCGAGCGCTTCGTCGAATGCGTGCAGTGAATCAACAACATCATGGACGCTATCTTGAAGAACCAGCGGGTTCACCTTGCGAATTCGGCGGTAGAAGAAGATGACCAACGCTGAGGCCAAGGCGCGCACCATATGCATGTGCGGTGTGCCGCCCGGAGCAGAGTTGGGGCTTGCGCTCACAGAAGGAGACCCTTCGCTATGTCGCGAGCGGAACAGACAAACTGCATTCTCAAGGTATGATGCCCGCGGCTGGAGAGCCATGAGCGCTTCTGCGTCTGGCTTTTGCTTTGCGGAGAGTCGGTCCATGACATTAGCTAGTCTTGTTATCTGCGACACAAGACTAAGCCACGTCTCGGGCACCCCGTAGATCTGCATGTACATGTTCTCATGATCCTGCGATGCATCCGCGAGGTGAATGTCTTTGATGTCACGTTTTGTCTTTTGGCCGTGTAACTTTCGTGGTTCAAGGTGGAGGAAGTTGTCCAGTGTCATGTCCGGATTGATTGACTGGACGGGAACAGCAGCTGGCTTGCTGGCGTTGGCGTTTGAACGAGTAAAGGGGGTTTCGATAGCGTGATTCTCGTCATGAAAGACGTTCAGACTCTCAGAGACGATGCGCATCCAAGCGTAGATGTTATGTAGCAGGCGGGCGCGACGAGAGATCCTGGGTTTTGAGAGACCGCGCCAGCTGATGAGGCGTTCCATTTCTGTGAGACACCACCGGGTGTCTGTTTCATTACCCGAGAGAAGCTGAACATGTCAGTTGTGACAATCGCGTACTGGACCAATGTTTTACTTACTGCTGTTGCCAACACAGCGCTTATGCCCATCAATTGCTCCTTGTACTTTGCCTTGTTTGGCCCTGGCTGTGATTCCTTCTCGAGGCTGACTCTGAGGTGTTGCTTGGCTGCTTCGTATGTCCTACTCGACAAAGACTCCCAATGGTCGCCAGGTCTCGTGAGAGTAGGAAAGGTGATGGGGTTGAGTGACAGATGAAATGAGGACACTGCTATCAGAGCATAAAACGTCGCCAGATTGGCACGCTTGATCTGGTCTTTGTTTACCTCCAACATGGTCAACTCGCTCAGTGTCATAATAGCAGATGGATAATGGAGGGTTCTCCATGCAGATTTCTCATTAATTGGTAGAGATCCCATCTGGCTGATGACATCGTCGTTGAAGTGCTTCAGTAGTAGTGGTGCATCAGTCATGAGATCCAGTTGTGGGCAGGCAACATCTTCAGCGACAGGCTCAAACGGTATCATAGTATCCAAAGATTCAGAAAATGATTCCTCGGGCCAGTTGAGATTCATAGGTAGTGTGTCGAAGTTTTCGTAAGATAGTTGGGGTGGATTATCAAGAACACTGACATCCCAGGTGAACAAGTCACCCCAGTGTAGAAAGTCCAGCGACGTCGTTGAGAAGTCATTTGGGACGACGGTCTCATCGACCATCCGATCGGTATCGTTGTCAACTGGCTCTGAAAAGTCTTGTGTTTGAGGTTCACTCAACGTATCAAGCTCCATGTCATTAAAGGATACATGATCTGAGATGGCAGTCGTGGTAGACTGACAAGACTCAAACTTGAGGACCTGAAAGGGCCCGACTTCGCAGATACTCGCTGCATCATCATGTACATCAAGACCTTTTGACTCTTCATCGATTTGGTTCAGAGCAGCCGTGACTGTATAAGGAACATTTTTAAGGAGAGCATTGCTCATCAGCTCCCTGTCAGCCTCTGCCAAGTATAGTCAGCTCCACTGTCCAGACCCATGCATATGATATAAGAGTCGAACTTACCAGTGAACAAATGCCGTCTCGAGTACTGCTCTGCGCCAGCCTCGGCCGCCTGCGTCGGCTGTCTATCATAAACCTCTTTTCCTGTAGAAATTAACCATCGCAAAGCAGGCGTGAAACCCTCGCATGTCAATCCAGCCTGAGTACATCGATTGCACTTTGGCAAGGACTGGTCGCACTTGAGATGTCGTTTCCGGCACGTCTTACACCCGCCGAAAGAGTGTGTGCGTCTCGATCGAGAAGAAGTACCCATGACGATTTGATCCGAATCCGGTATGCAAACTCCAACAAGAACTCCTGAAGAGAGAAGTCTGTGTAAGTAATAAAACGAATGAGGAAGGCCTCGCAAGAGGGCCTGGGAGTAGTTTGCTTTAACGGGTGGTGAAAACAGGAAAGAAATCGGGATTTCCTTCCTCTTTCGAAGCACTTATCTGTCGGGGCTGCCGAGTCATTGGCCAATCAGAGGTAGATTAAAGCACATAGAGGCTTGTTCTAGGCTAGTGGACTGGGACTAGGAGGTTCTAGGGCGGGTTCTCTCCATGTTTCGTTCCTTAGCGATGGAGTCGAGATGCATGATAGCCAGCAGATAGATATGCTAGTCACTTCGTTCTGTGGGGAAATTTTGACATGACATGGAAAAGGGCGTCAATCCGGGGTCTTTAGTGTGGGTATCTTGATGTTGAACTTGTCACTAGTAGAGTTAACAATCTGGTCATAACTCCAAATCTCAAAGCGTAGCTTGGTAAAGATGGCTTCCGATACATAAGTTTTGGCAAGTTTGTTCAAAGTGGAATATGCTACGGAAACAATGACAACTCATGTCTAGGTTCGGGGCAAACAGTAAAATACAAGTCGTGATGGTTTATATTATAAGACACAAGAATGCTAGATTTGTTGAGCCATCAAACAAGAATTGTGACATCACCAAACACAAAGGAATATTGTTAAAAGTAATTGAAATCATTGAAAACTGCGCTATGCTTAACTATTTACATCCTTTTCACAATTTGATCTAGTATACCTTAAGCCTTTGCCTCAGGGGAAAACAACTTCTCGATTCGTCGGTTGTTCCACTCCCAAGCAGTAACATCCTCATACTTGCAAGGCATACCCTCCTCAATGAACTCCTTGAGGGGGAACAGAGAAGCACTGCGGTTTGGCTTGGCAAAGTAAGCGATGGAGTATCGCTCGGGAATAACCTGCTCGCCATCGCCAGCTTTGATGGAAGGAGGGTATGTCACACGGTGACATGCAGCCTTGAATGTGTCGTTGGTCAGGCGCTGCAGAGAGTCGCCAATGTTGAGGATGATGTCTGTAGGGGCAGCTGACTCGACGTTGTTGAAGTGGCCCAAGTTCTCTTGGTCCTCAACTTGTAGGCCACCAACTGAGTCCTGGAAGAGCATGGTAATGGTGCCAAAGTCGGTGTGCTCGGCGATACGTGTGGCGCTTCCATCGGCCAATTCTGAGGCGGGGACAGCTGGGTAATGGAGGATGCGAAACTCGTTCTCGGCGCGGTTGTGGAGAGACTTGAGATGGTCTGGGGAAACACCAAGAGCGATAGCAAGAGCCTCGATAAGCTGCATCTCAGTCTTGAAAGCCTTCTCATAGAAATCTTCCATAAACTTGCGGAATCCTGGGAGTTTCTCCTCGGGAACCCAGAGGTTGTCGACCAGCTCATCTGTCGCGGAGCCAAAGTCGACGGTCTCCTTGATATCGCGGGTGGTCTGGGGTCCCAGACCCTTCTCGTAGCCGCTGATGTTGGCGACGTTCTCCTGGCCGACAAAAGAGTAGCCGCGGTTGGGGTTGGCCTGGGGAGGGTGCTTGGCGATCATCTTCGTCTCAAGGGGGAGCTCGAAGAAGCGCTTTGTTTGGGCGAAGAGCTCGTGGATGTCCTCAGAAGGAATGCTGTGGTTGACGAGCTTGACACCGCCACGCTTCTTGAGGAGGCGGAGAAGAGAATCGCAGAAGTCCTTCTTCTGATCCGGTGTTCCGAAGAACAGGGACATGTCGAGGGTGTCTGCATTGAGGGCGGCCATGATTGCTATGTGATGGGTAGGAGTAAGTTTGAATAGACCAGAAAAAACTGTAGTCAAGTAAGATTGAATAGTAGTTGTTATTGTTTGTGATGATGGAGTGATTGATACTTGAGATGATGCCGTCCTCAAGACAACTTATATATCCAATCTGTTCGGAAACTATTACTTATTTCCCCATCCTCAAGTGTTTCCATTTTGGTTACTATTATGATTCAACCGATCATTCCATTGGAAACGAACCAAGTACGGGCCAGAATCCTAAAGAGTATAGTAACACCCTATCAGTGGGAGCCGTGTTAAGCCGCCAACATGAAATCAGCTGACCAGTATACATGACGATTCAACCCCGGATACGCTGATCAAACATGGTAATCAATGAACAAAGATAGTGATCCCGAAGCATCGGCACTAGATGAAGCTACGGCCCTTCCCCAGACGGAGAGTCGCGTCGCCTATCGTCGCTGGTGGTGAGATAAGGATGAGTCGAGAAGCTCCACAGAATTGTTGATCATTAGCGCGTGAGTAGAGTTACGCCGATAAGAGGAAGGGGAAAGAGACCCCGAGCTTATCGGAATGGGCTCAGTCACTAGGCCACCTACCCTATACTATCTTGTCAAGAGAATATGGGGGTGTCGTAATGATCACAAGTGAATACACTTGGAAGCGAATAATGTAATGTGTTGTCGCCTGGACAATTAATAAGCAATCGTGATGTTGAAGTCTTGGTTAATTAATGGATCACTCATGTTCAGTGGCACGATGAGTCTGTCTCAGAATGTAATACAACTTCATTTCGCTGTGTTTGGGGAAATGATCAAAGCGCCGGCGTATTCCGAGCACAACATTGTGGCCAAAGCACCGGATCGATTCAATGCTACTTTCTGGTGCAGGTTATTTTATCCAGGCTCGGCACACTTTCCGGAGTAACAGCAGATTGAGACGCGAAAGTATATTTGTATAACGTTGCAGTAATAGCATGAGCTTGCTCACGTTTATGGATAGTGTTGCATTAAAAGTGGGATAAGAGTGATGAAGGGAGGAAATGGCTCGTCAATCAAGACGCGAGGTAACCCAATAGGTAGACAATGGATCTCTCCAAATTTCACGAAAGCTTGTTATATCGCCCTACTTTGACTGTGAAGACCACCAAGAGTCAAGTAATGGAATATGAGTTATGAACTACCCGAAACAACCATGGAGAACCCTTAATTTACACATCAACAAGAACAAGAAATATCTCACTTCCACCGCGCTGACGTCGCAGTCAAGACTCAGCGGCTCAAACCGCGGGGAAAAAAAAATAAACTAAGAAAAGCCCAAGCCCGAAATTGGTTCAGGCGGAAATGACGGAGCTTCTGGAAGAGGGGAATTGTACAGTTAAGCTTTAACCTAATCCCTAGTCGGGACCAGAAGAGATGATCTCCTGAACTGCCGCAGAGGCTGAAACGCGTCCTCAGGCGAGAGAACGGGCGCGCTGACGACTTTAATATACGGCACTTCATGCCGCCTCACATAATCTCGCCGAGGAAAAAGTTTATTATTGTTGTACAGAGTAGGGAAAGGGGAGAAAGAGGGGATATATAGTCGTACAGATCTCGTCACACCAAAACATATTGACATTCTGCAACACGCTCATTTTCAACTTGACCTTATACGTTCTTTTAATTTTTTTATTCTCGTTTTAGTCAACCATGTTGTCTCTTAAATCGCTGTCAGCCTCGCTGATAGGCGCCCTGAGCCTGAGCGCTGGCGCGTCTGCAGCCAGTAGCTCGGGTCTTGTAGCCTCGACCTATTTCGCTGGCTTCCATGCCAACCGAGGCTTCCCTGTCTCGGCTATGCCATGGGATAAATACACCGACGCCAAGTACTCTTTTGCTGAGACCACTGAAGACGGTGGACTTGATCTATCCCAGTCTCAGCCTGAAGAGCTTAGCTGCTTTGTCACTGCCGCCAAGAAGAACGGAGTCAAGGCGCTTGTCTCCATCGGCGGCTGGACAGGCGCCAGGTACTTCTCTACCAACTTTGGCAATGAGAAGAACCGCACAGCTTTTGTCAAGACATGTGTAGACTTTGTCAAGGAGCATGACTTGGATGGTCTGGATTTTGATTGGGAGTATCCCAACAGACAGGGCCTTGGTTGCAACACCATCAACGACAATGACACAGCCAACTTTTTGGAGTTTTTGAAGGAGCTTCGTCAGGACCCTGTTGGAAAGGGTCTCTATCTGACCGCTGCTAGCTCTCTGTTTCCCTGGAACGACAAGGCTGGTTCTCCATCCAAGGATCTTCGGGGCTTTGCTGATGTGCTGAATTACATCATGATCATGGTAAGTTTACTGGCTGTGTAGGAATGAACACTGCTAACGATCTTTCTACAGAACTACGATCTTTACGGTGCCTGGTCTACCGTAGCTGGCCCCAATGCCGCGCTCTCTCGATCCTGCGACGAACGCAACACCATGGGCGCTGGTGATGAAGCCGTCGCTAAGTGGAACGACGCCGGCATCCCCGCTTCCCAGATCGTCCTTGGCATGCCCAACTATGGCCACGGTTTCAAGGTTAACGCGACATCTGCCTTCAGCCGAAACCACAAGCTCAACCTATACCCTGCTCAGAACTCCACCGACCGCTTCCAGGGAAGCAGCTGGGACAACGATCCCCTCATCGACGTTTGTGGAAACCCTAACCCCCCTGGTGGAACCTATCCTTTCTGGAGTCTTATCAAGGAGGCCAAGTTCCTCGATGCGAAGGGTAACCCTGCACCTGGTATTGCCTATACTTGGGATAAGTGCAGCAAGACGGTGAGTCAATGTCCAAATGATTAATGAAAACATATTTGCTAATTCCCTTAACAGCCATTCCTTTATGACGAGAAGACAGAGATCTACGTCAGCTATGATAATGCACGATCCTTCGGCGAGAAGGGTAAGTTTGTCAAGGCCAAGGGGCTCGGAGGATTCGCTACCTACGAGGCGGGTGGCGATTACAACAACATTTTGATCGATGCTGTTCGATCAGCTGTTGGACTATCTTAAAAAGCTATGTCCACGAAGGAACTACACTTATTGGTAGAGATTCAGGTCTTGTGATTTCTATAGATGAATACGACCTCATCCAGCCCTTTCAAAGCATGAATATGAAAATGATGTGACCAAGTTCTGTATTTGAGGGTGTACGGACAAACAAGTACAGTCAACTCGTGAATGGGATATCCAAGATTCTCGATGAACAATGCCATTTTTAACTGTCACTCGAACACGTCGGCTGATCTGTCATGAGCTTGGTAACTCTTGCGGAAATTCCGGAACCTGGAACCAGCAAGGCGTATTCAATGTAATCGTCTACCGAGATGGAGGACTGCACCCACAATGGATGACCTAGGCATAACCATATTGGGATATATCCTGCGCTATTGTCCGTAATGAGCCAAGACATTGATAACCACTGGGAAATCAGAAGCTCGTCAACATAGGATGATACGAGATCCAACATAAGAATTAGAGGTTACGTTGTATAAGAATTATTAAATCTCTTCATCCAACCATAGCCTGTTGTCTCCTCCTAAAGAGGAATTATCTCATGATTGACAGCTTACTCATTCAGAATGTTTCACTATCTGGCTTCTTACTGGCTTTAGATGTCTTAGAATACCGTGATCAGCGCTGCAGGACTATTATAGGGTGATATGGGCTAAGGATTCAGTGCATGCCTCGTAAAATTTACAAGTGCTTATGGGTGCGTCACACGGCATTAAGCCAAGGCGTGCTGTGTATATGAGGCCTCGATATACTATTATTAGATAGTTGACATGTTGAAAATGCGGCATTGGTGAATATCGGCAAGACAAATGGCGAAGTTATAAGAGTCCATAGATTTCCCCGCTATCCTATTCTTAAAAGTACATCTTCATCCTTTGTTGACAGTGCAAAGCAAGCAACCTGCAGCAGAACTCATACCACGTATTCATCATGCACTTCACCGCCATCATCACCAGCGCTGTCGCGCTTCTCGCCTCAGCGACCTCGGCCCAACCGACAGCCCGTCAGGCACCTGTTGCCTACGCAAACCTAATGGTTGTCAATGCCAACGACCATAGCCAGCAGCCTGTTAGAATCCCCCTCGCACAGCTTACGACCCTCAACTACTCCGTCACTGAGCTGCGTCTCATCAGCCTCAGCGTTCACGTCCCCGATATCCCTTCGCCTGATGTCAAGGATGTCGTTTGCCAGCGATACCAGGACAAGTACGGTATCCAGTTTGGCAGCGCCGAGTTTACAGAAGGGAAGCCTGCGCTTATTAGCACCAACCCGGTTGATTTCGGTTGGGTTTTGTGCTACCACAAGAGAAGCGATTAATCTTGTTAATTGGCCATTATCAGATGCGCTTGGAACTTTGTGAAGTTGGGGAAGGCGAGATAGGTGTCGAGGAGCGGTGGCCCATAAAGACTGTACATTCTGTAATTTGGACCACCGCTTATTTAAGACGTCTGAAAACATTTGAGGCACAGTGAGCAACTGAGTAGGGCTATCTAGGAGGACCCCAAATGATGTGTGTGTAATCTTAGACGATATAATTAGAATTACCTTTCGAATCAATTGTCATCTTGATCCAAGTGTCCATAAGCTGAGAATGTTTGTGTCGTGAAAGTGTCATACCGTAAGATTAACCTAGACTGGTAGCTTAATTTCTAAGCACACTAAGCCCCTAAAGACGCTATCTTATCGCCCATTCTGACAGCCTCCACGGCGCTGTGCCGTGGCTTTTACACCAAAAATCCATATTCCCCGGAACGCCGTGGAGTCTTGTTAAGGCATTTTGAAGATCTGAATAGCGCTTCAAATCCGCCACGGAATGGAATTATTTCTGAAGGAACATCATCAGACAATGAAACATAATGATTTAGAGAAAAGCTTAACAATCAACACATCACATCAAAGCTTGATACTTAGCTCAGAGGATACTTAACATGGCGAGATTCGGCATATTCGTTCTACACCAACAGATAATAGCATCGCCTCTTTTCCAAAACTCATAACTCAAAACAATTCAAATAGCAGCCACCCAAGAAGTTGTCATAATGTCTACTGAGTCCAAACTCTGGCATCCCCTCAAACTGGGAAATGTTAACCTCTTCCATCGCATCGCTCTCGCCCCCATGACCCGTCTTCGCAACGATGACGATCACCTTCCTCTGGACTCAGTAATCCAATATTACAGCGACCGTGCCAGCATTCCCGGAACTCTAGTAATTAGCGAAGCAACTGGTATATCGAAGGCCGCCGAAGCAGCCCCCAGTACCCCTGGGATCTCCAGTAGCGATCAGATGCAGCGCTGGAAGAAGGTCTTTGACGCCGTGCATGACAAGGGAAGTTACATGTTCATGCAGATCTGGGACCTGGGAAGAGCAGGAGACCCAAGCTACCTCAAGAGTCGTGGCTACAAGTACTCGTCCAGCAGCGACATTCCCATGGAGGGATATCCTGTTGCTCCCGAGGCACTTACGGAGGCGGAGATTTGGCAGAAGATTGACGAATTTCGAAAGGCTGCCAGGAATGTTATTGATGCGGGTGGTGACGGTGTTGAGATTCACGCCTGTCATGGGTGAGAATACCTGCCTTAAGAGTATCGTGTTTGGCTAATCTTTACACTCCAGTTATCTCATCGATCAGTTCATCAGCGAGAGCGTCAATAACAGAACTGACAAGTGGGGCGGTTCAGTAGAGAACCGGGCTCGTTTCCTCCTAGAAGTCGTCAAAGCTGTCACCGAAGAAGTCGGGGCCCAACGGATAGCTCTTCGCGTCAGCCCATTCGCAACTTTCCAGTCAGCTTACACCGCAAACCCTTGGGACCAATTTGGATATATAATCACCGAATTAAAGAAAGCCCAATAAAAATTGGCTTACATCTCCTTTGTCGAACCCCGCGGCAATCCTGCTCAGACCGACATGACGATCCACACGCTTGCCGGCGATAATGTCAACCCTTGGGGAGACAAGAAACGAAGTCTCGATTATTTCCTGCAGTTGTGGAATAACCAGTCTCCTGTCATCGTTGGAGGAGGATAACTGCCTGATAACGTTTCGGAAGCTGTTGACGGTAGTTACAAGAAGTGGGATGTTGTGGTTGCGTTTGGTCGATGGTTCATCTCGAACCCGGACCTAGTGTACCGTGTTAAGAATGGCATTCCGCTGACACCTTACAAGAGAGAGTTCTTCTACGCTGCCAAGAGCGAGTCAGGATATAACGATTATTCGTTTAGTCGAGGATTTGTTGAAGCCACCAAGGCTTAAGGGTTGATGTGGAGGGACTGCTTTCATTGCCGAGGCATGTGGATTTTGACGTTTGGATAGATATTGAGTTTAATTTTAGTGTTCTTTGTTATTAGATATTGCTCAAGTTACAACATTGGTAGTGCCAAGCCCGCTATCTATAGGGTCTGTCTTACTTATTGAGCCTGGGAGCTCTCTCCGGGTCTCGCCACCAGTGACAAGCTTCCTTCCTGATATCGTCCTTCTCAACCTTCGTATCCCCTGGTTGCACCACAATCTGCAGCGGTGACTCGCTATCTCCATCGTAAGCTGGCCACTTAGGACTACCAGGGTACCTGTGGCTATTTGGGTCACCAGTCGCAACAAAGCTTGACAGATATCCGTGATAGATATGGCTAATCTCGGGGTACTGGGTGGTCTCCTCATTCCATGTGTATGCAGTGTCTGCTGTATGAGGAATGCCCTGCCAGTCAGGGAAACTATTGTTGGTATTGAAGCGAACTTTCCATGTAGGCACACTGGCAGTGGAGGCTCGGTATGCTGTCTCCTGACCAGGGCAGATGTAAGCATAGTCGCTCCAAGCGGCCGAGATACGGTTATACTGTGTGCTGTTTGGCGAGTTTGCAAAAGGCGAGTCGTCATACTTTGCTGGATCAGGATACAAAGCGCTTAGCCCAGACAAATCCTTTTGCGTCAGAGCGGGCGAGATGTTGTGGAGGTAGTCTAAGAACTCGCTGTCCGTCTCAAGATCGCCAGGTGTATAGAACTTGCCCTCATCGTTGACGTTTGAAGTGATAGTAGGAACGTGGAAGAAAGTCCCATCGTACCCGGACTGAGAGCCGGGCTTCTCAAACAATGGTCCTCCTTGCACAGGCTGGAAAGGCCAGGTCAAGACGTCATTGTAATCGTAGAAGATTTGTGTGCTAATGTTTCTAATGCTGTTGATATCTGCTTCTCGCAAACATTTGAGAGCAGCTTGGTTGGTCTTCTTGCTGTCACATCCGAGGTATGCTGTGTAGTCGTCGTACTGAGTCTTGTACAAAGGATATGTATCATTGGGGAAAGCCCTTGACGTGACAGATCCAGATTGATGAATGGCTCGGGCGAACAAGGCTTTGTTGTCCTTGCCGTAGTTGTGGAAGTAATGGATACCCACCGAGTGGCCACCAGCAGAGCGACCGCCAATAGTAACAGCGTCCTTATCACCTCCGAAAGCCCCAATATGTTTCTGGACAAACTCCAAAAAGAGTCGCTGGTCACGAATGCCGAGGTTCGAAAGACCCTCGTCTTGGAAGAGCTTGGACGGAAGAAAGCCGAGAGAATTGACACGGTAGTGGAAGTTGACCACAACTATAGGTTCTTTCGATGAAGCAGCGAACGCAGCGCCGTCAAAGCTGGCCCAGCTTCCAGAGAAGAATGCACCGCCATGAATCCACACGAGGACGGGAAGCTTCTTACTCAACGGCACGCCTTGGGGTCGAAACACGTTGAAGTTGAGACAAGCCTCGCTTTGTGAATCGAGAGGTGTCTTGGCAGTAATTTCCTGGATGCAGGTCTTTCCGTAGCTTTCGGCGCGCTTGATACCTTTGAAAGGTTTGGGCCAGTCTGCTGCTTTGAAACGTCGATGACCTGTAGGCTGGAGCGCGTAGTCGATACCCATCCAAGCATCCACAGGAGCCGGTAGGTCCCTCTTGGTAAGGGTACTGTTTACTGTAGTTCCAGAGACACTGCCATATCCTTCGAGTTTGACGAGGTTGTAGTGGTCTCCAGGCGCGTGTGGTGTCGCTGAAACCTGCTGGACCGGCCCAAGGGCCAGCAATGTGCCAATGTTTGTAAGGAGCTTCATACTAGCAACGACAGTACGGCACCGATGGAGATGAGAAAGGGCAATAAGAAAACGAATTTATTCTGTGTTTTATATCGCTCAGACCCATGACGATCGCCATTACCAAGTATGTTTATCTGCCTCCCCGCATACAACAGTAACCCGAATCTGCCCCACGATATGTGGGTTTACGATGTTTATCACCTGTTTAGGTAGGAGACTAAGTATAAAGCCTGCCCGATCGGCAGATGAATTCAAAGTGAACCACCTGGTCATGCCTGTGGAGTAGTCTATGGTAGCATTATAGACAGGAATTCGGGGGCAGAAGTAGAACCCGAGGGCCATTCGCCGAATTGCGCAATTCCCGTCTCCAGTGTCGGGACAAGTTTAAACCTAAATCTTATCTGCTTCTTTATTGGTTCTTGGAATAGACTAGTTTCTATCATGTCAAACTCGGCTTCATGATATATCGTGGCATAGCATCATATGTTTCACTTGCCACTTGGAATATCGAACTTTAAATCAACTGCCATGATTTCATAATTGCCACTTAATAGTACTCGGATTAAAGTGACATTTATACGCCCGACCTTCATATCTTTAGACTCCAACCTCTTCTTGGACCAGGTTGTTCGGCTGTACGAGTGGGAATTATGCTCCACTGGCGTGACTGTTGTGTCTACTAGCCCTCCACATCTCCTCAGCCTCTTCCATAGCATCTTCTTCAGTAACTGCAATATCCCGTGTCCTCATCTTCTCGAGAACGTTGACCGCTTCAGCCGCATATTCGCATTTCATCCGTATTTGTTGCCCATACTTGAAGAATAAGAACGGAAAAGGTACACAGGCCAATGCGAGGAATGCCGGTATGGAACTAGCCCAGTGAATGCCAAGATTCTGGTACATCTGTTTTGTGAACAATGGAAAGGCAGCGCCGAACAGGGATCGAAGAGCCGAGTTGGCTGCCATGACGGACGCAGCAAAAACAACATCTGATGTATGTTAGCATGGAATAGTTGAGACGTTTGAAGTGCTTACATGAATCAATAAGGTAATTCAGTAATGCCATGAAGACCAACACGAGACCCCAAGCGAAGAAGACAGTACCAATTATTGGAACAATCCAGTGAACGCTTTCAAAGCTAGTCCACGCAAACCAAAATAGGCCCATAGGAATGAGAATAGAACCCACCATTGCGGGTGGTAACCTATCTTCGGGCTCCAAGGGCGCACCTCTGTTTCGAGTTGCTCGGGCATAGCGCTCGTCTTCGAAGACAAAGGTCAAGATGGCCAGTATAACCCCGACAACGATTCCACTAAACGCAAGTCCACCAACACCTTGATTCCAACCTCTTCCGTTCTGGAAGACGATGGGGAATGCTGCAAAGCACATATACATGGTGCCATAAATAATCGAAATGTAGATAGAGGTGATCAAAACAATAGGCTCTTTGAACAGAAGTACCCAAGGTCTCGTTAAAGTCGCTTTGAGGTGGTGAGTTGCGGACCTTGCTGGTTTATCTGCATCATAACCTGAGATGTATACTTTGCCTGTAGCTCTGGATAGTCTTTTACTTCGCTGCCTGAGGATATATGGTGCATATGTCTCTGGAATAAGAAATGCTGCAACGATCCATATGGTGCCAGTGAATATAGCCATTGCTCCATGGAGCCAGCGCCAGCCCTCGGTCTGGGCCAAAAAGCCGCCTGCGATGGGCCCTGACCGGTCAGTCATAACTACTCCAGATACAGATATTAATGATCTTACCAATAGCAGGTCCGAGAAATGGTGCCCCTGAGAACATACACATTGCCATACCACGCTCTGACTTGTCAAACATATCAGCGATAATAGCTGGTGCGTTAGAAAGTGGTGCCGACCCGACCGATCCGGTTAGGAACCGAAGGACCAGCAATGCCGAGATTGACTCCACCCCGGCAGCCCCGGCGCTGAACGCCGTTGCTGCCATAAAGCTGAAGAAGAATATTCGTCGTCGACCATATTCTTCGGAAAGAGGGGCCCAGACAAGGGGTCCCAGTGCAAAGCCAAGAACGTATAAAGATATACCGAGCGTGGCAACCTCTTGTGACACGCTGAAGTATTGGATGACTTGCTTCATTCCTCCCGAGTATGCAGAACTGGCAAACGTCGTAGCGAGAGTAGCGAGAGCTTGAAGGCCGGTAAAAGACCATTTTTTCCACCGAGGGAATGTCATGGCGTTTTGAGGGTCGTTGGGGAGGAATGTGATATGATATGGGGATTCTTCCGTACCGTTTCCTACATATTTATAGCTAAGAAGATCTTTAGCATCAATCTGGGGGCGACCGAAAATATTTGACACTCGTTGGTAGAAGGCACTGTTTGATTGTGGTGATTCCATGGCTGTATCATCCGCAACAGTTCCGGATGACAGCGAAGGGGTATTAAGAGTCATGATCAAAACAATATGTAGGCTGATTGTAACAATGAAGAAATCAGAGAACAGATGCTTCTTCTTCTGGCTATATATTCAAATACACGGTCTGCGGTTTGATGACACAAGGAGATTATAATCATCAACAGTGGTTGCATGTTCAGTTTCCCGCGGGCTTTCAGCCGGGACTACATCGCATAGTTTATCGTGATGCGAAACTAATGTATGGTATCAGTTCGTACCGTTGGTGCCCCTGTCGTTTAGCATTGGGGGGCGTTGATTTTAGCTCAGTCGGTAACTAGTCTAACCACATCAGCTTTGGACATCTCATTGGGTTGTGTCCTTATGTCCGATCCAAAACACCGAGCCAAAACCCCGCGGCATTTCACACAAACATTCTCACATATTAGCTTCAAATAATCCCGAAACAACAACTTGACAAGCGAACGTTAAGGGTGTGTTGTACTCGTTAACCCCATGCCTCGTGTCTCAGCGCCAAAAATAAGCAAGGCTTGTATGCCTTGCCGAGCACGCAAAATCAAATGTGACGCTCCAAGCATTGGATTGCCTTGCAGTAGCTGCGTTAGCAGGGAGACTACCGGTGATTGTGTTTTGTCAATTCGCAAACGCCGAACTTTGTCAGTTTGTTATTCTTAACTATAGCCAGACTGTAGTCGACTAACCACCTGTCGATCTAGAAGAGGTCGAAACACCGAGTCACGGAGAGCTCTTTCTAATGACAATGATCTCATACCGACAGTGAGCAGCTTTCCTACGTCTCTGATGTCAGAATGGCTTAGCTGACCCATTTCTCAACAGCCTGTATCCCAGAATCGTCTCTCGCATGCTGATAGTAGTGCAACTAACGACTTGAACCCTACTTCTATTGACGGATCTATTCACGCAAGCCAAGGATGTAGCTCTCACGCGCACGACAGCCCTGACTCGCCTGAAAGTCATGTACCACGTCGGCCTCAACCCGATCTTCTTTATTTAAACATCTTGCAAGATACTGTTGACAGAACTGCCGCTAGCCAAAACGACGCTGGTAATGTTACAACAAATGATGAAGACAATTGCTTCAATACTCAAATACGTAATTGGAACCCTCTGCTGCAACTTGACGAAGTCGACAATGAGTATCTTTCTAAGAAAGGCGTGTTTAAACTTCCAGCGCCGAAACATATGTACGTTAACCCATCTATGTGTAATTGGCGTATCTGATACTACATAGGGACGCCTTTGTCAAAGCGTACTTCGACCATGTGTATCCGTTCGCTCCAGTCCTAAATAGGGCTGAGTTCATGGAGAGTTACCGATCGGGGGACTGCTCGCTATTCCTTCTGCACGCTATATCAACCGCTGGAAGCCCCTATGTACCCTTAGAAGTGATTAAAGCCTGCGGGTACACTGACCGCTCAGCAGCCCATATGGCATTCTTCTTGAAAGCTAAGCTTTTCCATGACTTTCATTGTCAAGGTGGTTCTCTCCCTATGCTACAGGGATCTATGATCCTTGGCGCCATCATACCTGACCATCCATCGGATAGAGACTTCCATTACTGGTTTCATAACTCGGTCCGATGGGCATCTAGGTTGGGCCTACATAGTCCCAAACCGTCAGTTCAGTGTACTCTCATTCTGCCAAGTACCTAACAATAAGACAGGCGCCCCCAAAACGAAGTGTGTCAAAAGCTTTACCGACGGATATGGTGGGTTTTGCATGTTAGTATCTTGCATAATGGACTGTGACACGATGCTAACCAATTAAAAGAATAGGGACATCTTCTATTTTTTTGTCAACACTCAGAACTTGCGGCTACTAGTAACTGCACCTCCGATCGAGCCCCTTACGGAGGATGACTGGGAGGACGAAAATATCCTACCGTTCTCGGATTTGTTGTCGCCGATAAATCATCAGCAAAGGGTCTCTCTGGTAGCTCATACCGAGTTGGCTCAAATCTGTAAGCCAAATCTCCAAATACATCGACATAGCTGATATCTTTCAGTCGGCGACCTGACAACAACTATCACGGGTGAGCCATCACAAGATATGCAGCGAGTAATGCAGCCATTGGACAGGTGGCGGATATCCTTGCCTATCAAGATGAACCTCAACGACTCCTCACTTAATGATGACCCATACTTACTTGAAGCTTTGACGACCAGCTACAGGTTTGAGTGCGTCATGTGTCGATCGCTGCGTCGCGGACGATGGGGGCTCTGCACTGACGATGCACGTAAGTGGGCGCAAGGGAGATTTCGCGCTGCTACTCTTGAGCTTGACTCGATACTAAAGAAAGTACTTTTGGGCGATATTATTCGGATGATGCCGACGACCTTGTATGTAAACGTTTCTTGAGCACCTAACATGGCTAACGTTCCTAACCCTCCACTCACAGTATTACCACCATCGCAGCTCTCCTAGCATTGCACATAGAGTCCGCTTTGGACTCATCGCAATCAGATATCGCACGATCTATGGCCCGCGTATCGATCCAGTTCACCATGCTTGCTCTTAACCAGATACAGGATGCTCCTGCTATTAAAAGAGCACTACCTGCGTTTGAGATGGTCCTTTCAAAGAATAAGCTATACCCGTCATCGCTTCATGACGTTGCGCAAGTGGAAACACATGGCCTTCAAGAGGGAAACATAGAGGACGAATCGGTGCACGTGGCGATCCAATCGGACACAATTTTCTCTCAAGATGTCAATGATCAGATTCCGTTCCTTGGTGGAGATTTAGCAGGTTTCGAATTCTTCGACCGATGGCAGATGGAACAGTTGGACTTTACTGGTATTCTGAGATAAAACTAAAACGATATGTGATCTACTAAAGACTGCCACTTTTATATATGGAGTTATCCCGCTATCTTAACTCCACATCTCAGTCTTCATAGTTGACACCCAAAGGGCCTCGTTAGGATATTCATCCAAAATTATGCGAAAATATTCATCCTAGTCGTCCTTCCAACCACCATTAGCAAATATTGCGGACGTGTATTCCTAGTAGTTGGGGTACCAAGGCTAATACTCCCAATCAATAATGACAACAGTCCCGTCATCTTGCACAATGATGTTTTTCCTCTGCAAGTCATTGTGCGTGAAGACAGGAGCCTTGTTGCTGCAGAGAACGTTTGGTAGAACATGATGGTAGTATCGTACCTTGTGAGCCGTACGGTCTCCAGTTTCGAGTGCGTAGATCCGAATGACCGAGTTTATCAAATCTTCTTCGGTCGCGAAAGGTGATGTAATATTGTCGAGGCCTCCTTGCGTTCCTTCAAACACATCGTCCAGTGGTGGCCGCCCACCGTTGATGTTACCGAAATATCCTGGGTGCTTTAGCTGCCGAAGTTGATCAAATGAGGTGCGAAGAGTCTTGGCGATAGAGGCCTTTCGTGTCTTATTAATTCCAGACCACAGATCCTTCAGGGTTTTGCCCTTTATGCGTTGCATGAGAATATACGTGATGACTCTGTGTTCTTCTTTCCGTTGATAAATAGCATAGACCTTTAGTAACGCTACTGAAGTATGTTTCAAGACGTAAAGCATACCGTGAGCCTCCGTAGATTGTACCTCTGAGCCATACTTCATAATGAAGTTTTCTCGAATCCTGACGAGACTGGTTCTGCTCGCGTGCTTTGGCAATGGCTCCCTGCTGTCAACATCATTTGGAGTTGGTAGTGGGTCGGAAAATTCCTAGGGGTGATCCATGAACAGGAGGTCGAATTGCGATGATTTAGCTTTGACGAACTCCATATCAAGTGGTCATGGAGTAGATGTTACTAAATGTTGGTTTGTGTTGGTAATCTGTAACAAAGAGAGGAGACAGTAAAACAAGACGTGAATTGACCATGCTAGCCTATCATACGACTGGATGTGACTGACGTAAGCTCATCGTTGGACCAACCCCTGGTTGGTGGATTGTGGATATACCTTATCTCGGGACGTATTCTGCTATTAAGTCGTTATGATCTACTATCGAGTGTTATGAAAAGGAAGAACTTGATTCCAGCTATTATATCTACTACACAATACGATAGGATGCGGCTTATCTAAGTCATGCTAGCTATAATCCTACCCACTCTACAGATTTCTCCCACAATGTCTTTGCTTTGCCTTCATCATATGCATGGTCACCGTAGCCAGGCTCATAGAGTGAGGTCGAAGGATCCCACTTGCCAATAATTTGACAATCTTCAAGATACTTCCCACCCTGGCCTTCCAATGCCTCAGCCGTTGCAGCCCAAACAGATGTCGCAGCACCCTGAGGCGAGACCTTCCATACTCTGTTCAAATATGGGTCACCTGCCAGTCCGCTCTTTTGCTCCTCGGACAAGTGCCTTCCCAAGTCAGTCAGCACAGCACCCGGCTGAACGCTCCACGCGTGAATGCTCTCTGCGCCGTATCGCCGCTCGATTTCATTAGCAATCCAGAGATTGGCGGTCTTGCTTTGTGCGTAGGCTTTGTTGGGATCGTAACAGCCTTCCAAGTTGATGTTATTGAAATCTGGTTCTCCGAAGCGATGGGCAAGTGAGGAAAGCATGACAACTCGTGCTGCACGATCAGATGTCCCGCCCTTCAGTAATGCGGGTCGAAGAAGGTTGAATAATAAGAAATGTGCAAGATGATTGGTTCCAAACTGGGTCTCGAAGCCTTCCTTGGTACGTCCTTCAGGAGTACACATGACACCAGCGTTGCAGATTAGTACGTTGAGTTTTGGGCTTTCCGATAAGAATTTGGCAGCGCATGAGCGAACGCTGTCTAGCGATTCGAGATCTAGCTCGAGGAGATGAACGAGGTCATCTTGAACAATATCTCCCAATGTTGCCTTGGCCTTATCCAGATTGCGAGCAGTCAGGTACAGTGTCGCTCCAGTGAGATATAGCGCTTTGGCAGTGTCGACGCCAATACCTGCGGAACATCCAGTGATGAAGACAACATGATCCTTGAGTTTTCCTTCAAGGTTTTCGTCTTTTATGATTTGATCGGCCGTGGGTCGAGCGTCACCGGGACCGTTGGCAGCTTTATGTACAGCGGCGTATCGGTCAGCCATTGCGTGGATAGTGGACGTTTTATACAGCAGCTTTTTGGTCTCTCACCACGCATTGTTGCCAAGGATGTAGCAGACAAAAGAACACCGGGAAACTTCAACTGCGGGGGAAATGTATGCTAGACTCTTCAGGTGACGTATCTGCATAATGAAGTGTTCATGTGGGCCTGGTTGACGATGTTATTTTTAGTGCTCGTAGCGCTATCTTTTCTCATGACCCAGTGATCTTCATAATTGCTGCGATCAACTACTATGTACACGATTATCTGTGCAGCCGTCACAAGCTCTCCTAGCTCAAGGATATTCTTTTGACAAGGGACGAAGGACTGTACTAGGGAGACCGTTGCAAGTATCTCAAGACATCCTGACTTCATCGCTCTGGATGGTTTAGTTGAATCACGGACTGGCTCAGACACCAGCCAAGTTTGGTAGAAGACCCACCACCATGGATAAATTCTGATGGAACACATACCAAGAATTGGCGATCTGATGTCTTTGTGGTAGGCAATCAGACATGTTATCCTTACATCTATCGGACCAAGATGTAGAAATGTCGGGCAGAAAGTAATCTCCGATGACTTCCAGGAGCAAGCCAATTGGGCTACAAACGAGCATGACATAATCATATCCGCCACAGTAATCCGACTCTAAGCCCGACTCCGACTCCGATTTCTCATCCGACCAGAACCTAAACCTCCCATCATCCATTAAGTCAGCAATAACATTTTGTTCACATGGAGCAATTAAGCCCAAGTAGCACAAGCTCTTCCAATCGAGCACAGCCTCCAAAGCGTCGCCCCAGAAAGCCTCTCAACTGTGATCCCTGCAGACACTCAAAGCTCAAATGCGACCGGCAACTGCCCTGCAACACGTGTCTGAAGCGAGGATGGCAAGACTCATGCGCATACGGATCTAATTTTACTGGACCACGAGGTCGAAGGAAGACTAGAACTTCCAACATTGAACCTATGATTCAAGCGGCTGAGCCTAGGTTCGACGCCATAGTACCTGAGCCTCAGCCACAAATTCAAGTTCAACCTCGAGAAGCTGCTTCATCCCCGAGTCGAACTCCTGAGCCGATACAAGAACGATGGAATACTATCCTCCAGAGGCCTCTCCTGGAAAGGAGCCCTGTCGGCACCGACTCGCAGAGACCGACTGTTACATTATCGCTTAGTCCAACTGTCCCGATTGAAGAACTGTTAGCCTTGCTTCCGCCCGCTTCAATAACCGAATACTTGGTGGTTCGCTACTTCGGCACGCTATCGTCAATATTTCACATCATACACGGTCCGACTTTCCAAAAACAATTCCTATCATTCGTTGAAGCTCCAGAGAAGACAAGTTTGTCATGGTTAGCACTACTCTTCGCCATTCTTGCGCTCACTCTTGAGACCATCAAGCCCGACGATGCTGGCTTGAATCTGTTGTGGCAGGATTCAAACTTCCCCCGAGACCTACGAGCACTATCGCAAAAATTCCGCAACGCAGCTATGATGTCGCTCTCACAAGACCAGTTCCTCGTTCGTCACGATCTCGATACCCTCGAAGCGATGTTAATACTGGTATACATGATTTCCCACAATGAAGGGCCTGAATACGCATGGGCGCTTCTTGGAACTGCATTAAACATCGCCACCGCTCTACGATGCCATGCAGGTGCCCCGATAGCGAATTTCATCGAACGAGAACGACACCGACGGTGTTGGGCGGGAATTCTGATCATCCACACTGACCAGGCACTTTGCTTTCGCGACATCGACTTGACATACCTCATGAAGATGACAGCTGCCATGCCAGCCTGGGTCAACGACTCTGATATCCATGAGCATGGTATCAAGGACTCGCCTGTGATTGCGGGATCACACTTTACGGACATGACACTCATAAAGTTCCAAGTCCGACTTTTCCAACTTTCTACTCAGATCTGTTCGCACATTTCGGGCAGTGAGAAGTTCGACGAGACACTCTTGCTCCAATACGATACTGCAGTTGGTAAAGAACAGAAGGAGTGGGATACTGTATACCTAGTCGACGGAAACAGAAGCATCCTTAACACGGAGGGTTATGTCCACTGGTGCACTCTGCAAACCTACGCGCACCAACTATATCTTCTTCTGCACCGGCCGTTCCACAGTTCCCGCTCGAACCACTTCCGCGCTGAATCACGAGAGAAGTGCATAAGATCTGGCTTAGCACTTCTAGACATCCACCATCAGTTCTTCGAACTGCCCCGTATGAAGTGTTATCGGTGGCTCGTCAAGGGCGCCATTAGTTGTAACTCACTACACGGCGCCGTTGCACTGACATCATGTATGCTCGACATGCCCGATAGTTTAGATCTAGCGGAACATATCAATGCCATCGATGCTGCTGTCACAAGAATGGAAGCGTTGAAGATGAAGAGTCCCGCTTGTTCGAATGTCTACCGCGTTCTTCGTTGTCTTCGGTGAGTACTCTGAAACATGCTGATCTATGTGGTAGCTGACATGGGCAGATCATACCTCAAGAAGCGAGAGCCTGAGCCGACAGTCCTGCCGGAGGATCTCGAGCTTAGATTTGAAGACTGGGCGATTAACGTTGACTGGTTCAGACCAGATGCGATCGATTGGGTACGCAAAATATCGTCGTGAAAACCGAAAGCCGCTGACATGATTAGGCACTTTGGGATCAGTACATAACGCCGCAGAGCGATTATCCCGAAAACATAATGAGTTGATGTAGTGACTAATACAAGTACGCCTTTTCTGTAAACATATTTCGACATACCACTCTATGTTCTATTCCAGTCATGCTCTACTCCATCTCTATTGGCATTCGCTATATGCCGGCGGTGGCGTACCAACCGGCATTCCATATCCTTCCAGACCAAAGTCTCCCCTACAATATCGTGGCGGAACCCTTAGGCCTTCAGCTAATAGATCCTTAACCTCCTTCGATGTGATGTCGTTTTGTTGCACAAAAATTCCCCAGCCATTGACAGGTAACTCAGGCGAAATAAACAAATATATTGGTATGGAAACATCATCCTGGCCAACATTAGTCTTCTTATCGACCGAGAGTAGGGTTAAGATATACCTCTGTTGTGACACCATCTGTGACAATTGTTACTTCGAAATGTAAAGTGTGACTAACTGTTATACCGGGCAAAGAAATATCCGGGGAGCAATTTCTCATGGCAAGTGGAAGATGTAAACATTGCTGCCAAGATTGTAATTGCCCCTGCTGTTCCAAGGTCAGAGGCCATTCAGTGACAACGCGCTGCCCTTCATAGGCCATACTCCCCGAGGTACAATTGGCCTCAACAGTATGTGTTTCTCGCATGTAGAACCGGGCTTTTGAAACGTTGTTCGTCGAGCACAGTTGTGCAACTTGAGCCTCGATGGGGATCAGGCCGCCCAATGCTATTGCTCGATGTCGCACCGAGACGTTGTACTCTGCTCTTGTTGACCACTTTCCGTGCGCCGAAGCGGAATCCATAAGCTCATATGAAGAAAAGGCCGGTGTTCGAATAATTCGAATCGGTGCAAAGGAGCGCGCATCTTTGGAAGGGTCTAAATGGATGGTTGACGCTTCAAGTAGGTAGGTGATGCTGCAACGAGTGCAACCTTTGAACGTCTCTTCTTGATCGCCTCGAATAAAGAGCTCAAATGACCAATCGTATTGTTTGCCATTTGTAACTGGCTTTCCTATTTGGTCGCCCACAAGGAAAGGATTCCAATTATGGACTGTTTCTTCTTTGTGTTGCCACTTGACAGCATTTTCTGTAGGTGCTGTGTGATCCCTAGATAAAGTTCAGAATAAACATTCGGAGCGTCAGATGAGTATAAGACTTACCCGAGCCACATTCTACTCGTAAATTTGAGTTGTACGCCCTGTGTATGCTGACCTTCTGGGACGAATAAGGTAACATTGCCTCGAAGATACTGTCCTTGAGCTTCAGCGCCGTGGCCGCTGAGAAAAACATAGTCTTGATCTGGTCTTGGGATTATGAGTCAACGACAAATGCTACTACATAACTCTGTTCCGGGACATACTTGATTGTAACACTGAGTCGCCTAGGCCCTGTGGCCTTAGCTAGTAGAGACCGCATAGATGATTTGAGGGTCATGATTGACAGGTTGATGGTTTGCGTGAAGACTCGAAAAGTCAACCAGAGTTGATATAGTAAGAGTGCTTATGGTTGAATATGCATCATTTGTACAGTAACTTAATCCTTGGGCACCCAGGTCTTTAATACTGCCTACGTTGTTGATGGTGTTGCTATCTCCGATTACACAGCAAGTCCGATTAAACTGAAGGTCAAAGCAGCCACTTATGCCAAAATCGGAATCGGAGATGTGAAGACCCACTCGGAAATATGAGTTTCAGTACTTCATTGCCTTTTTAATTCCTGATTTCCAATCAAATAAGACATTGATTGGTCGACTCATAATTTTGTCGGCGATGGGGAGGCTGAGGACTAACCATTATGACCAAACACTCTGTCTCCCCGAACCAACACATTGCGCCGATATGTCTTGGCTTTCGGAAGTAAGAAATCACAAACCTTTGTCAGATGTCATCATAAGATTCAAAAAATATATATAACTCTACTGCGCACTCATACCGTAATGTTCAATATCATTCATCCAATCCGATCCAAACTTAAACTCACACAAACAATCCATCGCACTAAACATTGAGGACAATCCCAATGATGCAAAACATTATCCCTCAAGTTCCATCTCACTTCACAAAAGTGTTTTACATACCAAAACATAACGAAAATGTCTCCAATTTTGCAGTATACGACATTTCCGAACAATACTCCGATAAGATTGGAAAGTTACCCATGGGGTCTGAAGACTACAAGGTCGAGCTGTGTATCCTTCCGAAGCCAAATGGAGAGCATGTCGGAGATAATGCGCGATTCTTGGTAGATGTTGGCAGCGACAACACCTCGATGTCTGTTCGCGAAAGAACCCTGGGTCAAGATCCTGTAGAGGCACAAGTGTAGGTTCAGTCAACACACGAGATATCATTCATGACTAACAGATTTAGGTCACTTCCAAAACCACAAAACGACGAGTATTTTGTTCACACACACACCGGTAGCACGTCAGCTCGAAGCTCTGGGCGCCTAGCATTTCCATTGCCTGAGAAGCACATGAAGAAGGAAATCATTCGTTATCCATACCTCGCCTTTACCGACGACATCTTCTCCAATAACCATGCCGAACACAGTCAATACGAATGGCAGGTCCATCCAGATGAGAAAGGAGCTCTACGATACGAATTGGTCAACTTCGAGGAGAAGAGTTCCGAAGATCGTGATCATTCAATATTGGCTATCTACCACCATCACGGTTTTGAGAACGACCTGCCTACATCTCACAGTCATGGCGTCTTACTGCTCCCGTCCACTTCGACATCAGAATTTGACATTTCTGTTCTTTCAAGTCTTTTGGCTATTCTCTCGGCCGTTCGACAACAAGCAAGGTTGAAGAAGAGATCACGAATCAGATGTTTGATGGGTTGCATATAATATAGATGGATCGTATGATATTAATAGCCGGATCATGTACATGCTATTTTCTTTTATGTTCGCTGCTAAATACAAACTGATGACTGTTACATCTTCTAACTCCACGCTTTTATTTAACTCCCTGCCTTCGATCAAACTCAACGGCACTGCCTCTAGGGCTCAACGATCATTGGGCCTGATGTAGACGACTTCTCCTTGCCGCCCTCCATAGATGACCCGTCACTCTCACTATCCGCCTTCTTAGACTTCTTGAAAAGTCTAGCAAACTTGCCCCAAATGTTGGCCAACCAGCCATACGAAGCAACGAAAGGTGGCGCAACAAAGTAAACCACCTTGGCGAACCACTCATCGGGAAAGATCCTGACCAGTACACCCCAAGGCAGACTGAAGGCAGCGATAACGATTGAGATAGCCCACTGAACGCCGTCAAGACCATTGGGGTCGATATCGAAAACGCGGTTACCGACAAAGACGATGGCGATCTGGAGTCCGATCATGATGCAGTTGATAAAGATGAAGAACAGGTTGCGGTGGATGCCGACAAAAACGTTGAACTTGTTGTCAAGACGTCGGCAGTTGAGTTCGTTGAAGATTTGCATCCAGACGAAGACGTTGAAGATTATGGTGTCGAGTTGGAGCTTTTCGCTCTCAATGCTCGTGTCGTAGTTGAGGATGGCGCCCCCGGCGAAATAGAGAACAAGAACAACGACCAGCTGGAATATGGATTGACCAATGATCATCTTCCACATCTGTGATTGTTAGTATCGCCATGGAGTTGATACAGATGATGGTGTACTTACGTTCATGGTGATGAGTGGCGCGGACTTGGGCTGGGGAGGACGGTCGAGGATGGCATCGGTAGGAGGATCGGTGGCCAGAGCGAGGGCAGCCATGGTGTCCATGATTAGGTTGATCTATCCGAGTTAGTATTGTTCGCTGATAAAAGCTCCTCGATGGCGGCTTACCCATAGAAGCTGCACAGCCTTAAGCACAGGCTCCATGTCGTCGTTATACATGGAAGTAACAAAGGAAAGGATAACAGCGGTAATGTTGACAGTAATCTGAAACTGAAGGAACTTCTGCACAGCATCGTTGACAGCTCGTCCCCACTTCAAAGCAGTAATGATTGAAGCAAAGTTGTCGTCCATAAGAATAATCTCAGAAGCCTCCTTAGCAACTTCAGTGCCGGAAATACCCATAGAGAATCCGATATCAGCCGCCTTGAGCGCAGGCGCATCGTTTGTGCCATCGCCTGTCACAGCGACAGTCTCACCAAGAACCTTGAGACGAGTGACCAAGACGCGCTTGTCGTCGGGTGACGAACGGGCGAGGACTTGGAGACGAGGAATGACACGGTCGAGTTCTTCTTCGGAGAGCTTGCGGAACTCGGGACCTTCCATGACGATGCCATCGGTGAAGATACCACATTCAGTAGCGATGGCACGTGCGGTGACGATGTTGTCGCCTGTAACCATTCGGGTGACGACTCCAGCGCGGCGGGCGTTCTGGACAGCTTCGGGGACACCAGGACGGACGGGGTCTTGAATACCAACGATACCGAGAAGAGTCAAGTCGCTCAGGTTCTCAAGGTCGGGAGTTTCGTCAAAGTCCTTGTACGCCATGCCGATCGTGCGAAGGGACTTCTCAGCGAAAGCAATGATGGCACCCTCAGCAGCCTTGCGATCCAAAGCATCGATGTTACCGTTTGAAGGGTCGACTTGGGTTTGACAATATCCAAGGACAATCTCGGAGGCACCCTTGATGAGAAGTCGGCAACCGGTGGGAGTCTTGATAACAGCAGTCATGTACTTCCTGGCCGAGTCGAAGGGTTCGATGACGACGATGGTTTCATTGGCGCGTGCTTCAGCAAGAGACTGCATACCGAGATGGTCCTTGGCGAGTTGAAGCAGAGCGGTCTCGGTCTTAGAGCCGATGAAGGTGGCGACACCATCTTCTTCACCTTCGAAGGCAGTGGAGTTGATGGCGACAGATTGGGTGATGAGCTTCTTGGTGTCGGCGGGAAGGCCAGATGCCCAGGAGGGAATATCGGATGTAAAGGTGGAGGAACCAAAGCGACCAGCAGTGACCGTCATTTTATTCGTCGTTAGAGTTCCTGTTTTATCCGAACAAATACAAGTGGCATTGCCCATCGTCTCACAAGCTCGAAGGACTCGAACCAAGTTATTCTCCTTGAGAAGACGAGTGGTAGCGAAAGCAAGCGCAAGAGTGACAGCAAGAGGAAGACCCTCAGGAACAGCGACTGCAATGATAGCAATAGCGACGACAAGAAGGTCGACGAATGTGGAGGCCTTCTCCTCAGCAGGTCGATCGTCACCAGGAAGGTTGGCGCAGAAGCGGAAAAGAAGGATGAAGAACATAAGAACTGAGGCACCACCACCGAGCTGGGCAATAGCAACAGCCAGCTTCTCAAGCTTCTTCTGGAGAGGTGTAGACTCGATATCTGTGCGGACAGACATCATGATCTTACCAAAGCTGCTGTTCACACCGACTGAAGTGCACATGAATGTGCCCATGCCTTCAAGAACCCTTGAACCGGAGATGATGAACGGGTCAGCTTCCTTGGTGCGCTTGGGGTCGGGTGTAAGTGCCTTTGCGCCAGGCGTCTTCTTCAAAGCGTCCGACTCGCCGGTAGCAGTTGACTCATCGCACTTGACATTGTGTCCATCGATGAAGATACCGTCAACAGGGATCAGGTCACCAGGCTCGAGGTACAGGACATCGCCAACAACGATATCAGCGACGTTGACCAGCATTGACTTGCCAGATCGAAGAACCTTGACCTCACGATCATCCTTCTTAGTGTTGAGCTTGACAAAGGCCTTTTCTTTCTGCCAATCGTTATGCGAAGCAACAACCACAACGATGGCAACGGCAGCGAGAATGGCAACACCCTCCACCCAATCAACAGGTGTGGGGTCATCGGGAGCATGAGTCGTTCCGAATGTCTCGTAGAGACCAAGGGCGAGAGAGATGGTACCAGCCACCGTCAATAGAACCAAAACCGCTTCCTGGAAGGTGATCCAAGCTAATCGCCAGATAGACTTGGGTTTCTTGGCAGGGAGCTGGTTGCGACCATATATGCGGATTCTTTCATTGGATGAAGCGTTTTGTGTTTGAAGTTCATCCACACTGAGACCGGCGTTTACGTCCACATTGAGACTTTGCGCCAGACCCTGCAGACCACCGAAACTTCTGAGTGTGTCTAAAGACTTGGGATCGAGGAGCTTGTTGAGATCATCTGGAGTATGGGAGAAGGGAGCATTGTTGGAGGGAGGAACAGGAGGAAACTTGATACCCTTCTCATCTGGAGTTTGCTGGTTGATGCTGGGCACAATGGTTGTGTTGTCGCCGACTGAAGAGACGGTGCCTGCTTCGCTGAGGGACCGCTGACGGGGGTCCAGCATAGCCTTGGGGTCCAGGAAATTACCAGACATGATGGAAGAACGAATCAGAAAAACAAGCCAAGTCCCAAACTAGGATCCTAGTTACCAAGGAAGAAAGCTTGACTAGTGGGGGGAGAAGTATACAAGCGAAAGCTCAGAACCAGTGAGCTGTGATGAGTGAGTCTCTCTATTTTCGGATTTCAATATTTCTTTGCGTGGGGCAATTAAACAATTTATATCTCGCCCTTCATCCTGTCCCAAGGAATCGGGTTTCCCATGTTCAATATGGAAACTAAGCTTAAGTCTCAGAGCAGGGATAATGCATTTCTCTCGTGTTGTTGGTAGACCAAGAAACAAGAGAGGGGGCTTCATGTGAGAAACGTTGTCACTGTTGATAACCAATGGCCACTACACGGGAGATCTGATAATCACCGCTATGGGGCTAGATCGTGACAAGACCGGTGTAGATCTGATTACTTCATCGGAGTACGGAATGCCGGGTGACTATTTGGGTTAGGATCTGCCATAGTTACATGGATCAGAGCCAGCATCACATCTCTACTAACCAATAATGTAGATCATTAAAGATGACTCAGCGGAGACGGAGTCAGCCCTCCAAACGAGCTGCTGGTCACATCCCGTCTCGTTTTATCTAGCACAGCCCTCTCTCCCTCCTTATTCTTAGTGAGGATGTGACTATGACGCTCAATTAAGGTCACCTTGAGTAGCATTTACCGATGATAGCTCGTTTTCGATCTCGCCTAACCTTATTACATGAATTGGAAAACCCAGAATTGAGGAACAGTCTGGAACTCGGACTTGACAATGAAACGAATTCCACGGGGCTAAAGGACCGACTAAACGGTACTCCTAACCCCCTAGAAGCCCCCCTAGTTCCAATCTACTGTACCTTAATCACTAATGGATCGCCCATGTTCTTAGTCCGGTGCTCCCCCATCTTTTTTTTCTTCCTCATTTCCGCCTTTCCGATTACCTACACTGGAATCACTTTCCAATTTATCGAAAAATCAGGATGCCTCCACGACGTGCATGCGATGTATGCTACAAGCGAAAGGTAAGCAACATGTTTTTACCCACAATTGGAGGCCTTCAATGTCATATGATACCTACATTTCCTGGAAATTCATCGTTAATCCTTGATTTTTAGATTCAATGCTTGATCAAGACTCAAGGCGAACCTTGTGACTGGTGCGAAAGCCAGGGCCTAACATGCACTTTTGAGAGAGTTATTCAGAAAGATCCCAACAAGAGGTACCTTTTTTTTTTTTTTTTTTTTTTTTTACCGACATAGCGTGGATACTGTCTAATCAAAAGCTAGAACCACTTCCGATGTTGTGCAGGAATTGTCTCACCGCGTCGAGTCCCTAGAAGAAGCTCTCCAAACTGCACTAAATGCACCCGCCAGAAGCGCCTCTATTTCACTGTCAGACAGACCATTGGCTTTCCCCAGTCCACCGAGTCTCCGACTTGGAGGAGGATCACCTGGTACAACAACCGTCGCCCGTCACCCATCAGTGATAAGTCCATCTGACCTTCCAGTAAACAACATTGCTCTGAGCAAGCCATGCTACAAATTATCACCATGCCAACTCGGCACGAATTGGTATTTCAAAGGTATCGGTATTCTATCCGAGCGAGGAAGACAATGGATCACATATGGATCAGGCGAGAGAGTCTTCCTCGAGAATTTTAACATTTTTGCAAACCCAATTGGCGTTATTCCGCCTCTAGACTGTTGGCCACTTTCTGATCAGACGAGAATACTGCCGCCGAAAGAAGCCGTGAGACACATCATCGATGCCTTCTTCAAGTCCAAGACATCAGTCTTTTTCCCCATCTTGGAAAGAAGTCTTTTCCAGGACACTATCGACAGAGCGTACGAGGAGGCTGACCCTGGACGTCGTGCGCCAGCCGAAGCCTGTCTTTGGGCGATTACTGCTCTTGTGATGCGCACGACGGATCTTCAGCAATTTGGACTTGGGTTGGAGATCAGGGATTGTCTTTTTGAGGCTACTCGCTTACTAACTCTCAATAATGGCAATACCAACTTGGACAGTTTGCAAGGCACTCTACTTCTGGTAAATAGTCGATATGAACCACATTTTACTTGGCACTGACTAAAACGTTTAGTGGGCTTGTCAAAAGATGAGAGGAAAATGTCGTGAAGCTTCTGTCACATTCGCAAACGCATGCCGTATGGTGTGTGATCTAGGCGGCCATTTCCCACTCTCTCGACTGGCTATTCTACCTCAACACAGTCCCACATTCGACCATCAGACAAAACTACATATCCGAAGACTGTTCTGGATATGCTATTGCTTCGACAAAGATGTGTCGCTTCGTACCGACAAACCACCTCTTCTTTCATCCGACTACTGCGATGTGAACGACTCTGAAGAACCACCATGGTTCAACCAATCAAGGGACATGAATCTCGCAAAGATCAAAGAGAATGCTGTTCGCACGCTTTGTTCGCCAAGGGCGTTCAAGTATACCGAGGGCGAACTACTCGCTCGTGTCAGAGAACTTGATGACGAACTTGAGGAGTGGCGAGTATCTGTTGATCTCCGCTATCGACCCCGTCTATCTATCGTTTCAGACTTATCTTCCTCCTTGTCTTCAAACATGAGTCTCGAAGATCACACATACCTGATTAACCTGCAACTCGACTACCTCTTTACTATAATCAACATCCACACACTCGTACGCAAATGTGGCGACTTGGAAGAAAACCTTCCCGATGACCTTCACAGTGTCGTGCATTCGAGTGCAGACCTCTCTATCGAAGCAAGCCGCTCGATATTCCGCATTCTCGACACAGTCGTTGACTTTTGGAAAGAGGATTCCGTCTACATCGTGTCGCACTTTGCCCCTATGGCTGCGATGCCGCTGTTCATGAATATTCTGATTCATCCACTCGGTAGCACTGCTGATAGCGATTTGCAGATCTTGTCATCGATAAGTAACATCACGAGGAAAATCCCTGCGGAGAGATTGCCGATGGAGGAGATCGAAGGTATTAGAGAGATTAGTGAATTTGTCATGGAGCTCGTGAGGTTAAGTCATAGTGCGGCTTGGAAGGTCAAACGGGGCGAAAGAGAGCATGATCTTGATATTATTCATAGCTGAAGAACATGAGAGAAAGTTTGTACATTAGTTCAACAAGCTGACCTTTCCAGCAGCAAGACTGAAGAATGCCTTGCCAAGTAGAGTAGAGTCCATGTCTCGTAGTTTGTTCGTTTCCATTTCTCTTCGGCGTGACTGCACCTCCCAGTCCTCTAGCTCCTTGCACACTCCATGAGGTCCAAAGCCATAAGCTGACGATGATGCATTTGGCCAAGGCTCATTCGAGTTCACAAACCTGATCCATGCTTCTCGTAAAGCCTTCCCAGTTCTTTCAGCAGCAGGTATAAGACTTATGTCCAGACCTCGGAACAACAATACCAAGTCTACTGCATGGTGCGCTCCACTTGATGGTTGCCATGGATTTGACTCATCAATGAGACATCTATACACAGGTTTTTGTGCATCTGTCCAGAGTTGCTGCAAATGATGAATAGGAAGCACGAATCTGCAGTCGTTAATAAAATCCAGCGCACCCGTCTTACACGACGAAGGTCTTTCTGGATATATGTGATACAGCTGCTTTAGTTCCTGGCTGTGTTCACCTGCAGCATCGAAAGCGCCCGCTATGTCATCGATCTTTGTTTCCAAGATTCCGGCTTGCCAAATAGCTGCCTATTCATCGTCAAAATCTGAATGTCACACTCCAGGGGAATCTCACCTCCTTCTGCACGTCACTAAGTAGCAATGCTCCCGCTTCACCAGTACTTGTTTGCCATCCATCAAACCTATCCTCCCATTCGAGGAAAAACGATTGCAAGCCAGATTGTTTCACAGCTTCGACAATTTTGTCCACCGGCGCAGTTTCCAAGTCCACGGTAGCGTCGATCCCCTGAAACTGTTTCGAAACCTTGTCGCGAAGGGCTGAAACCGCTTGCGGTGGTTGGGGAGGCGATAGAAACAAGGATCCTGAAGACAGGATGAACTGATTTACTGGAGCTTGGGTTACAATATGAGCGTGACAGTAAACTGCGCCGGCGCTTTCTCCGGTCAATGTAATCTTTTTCTGGGTATTTTTAGTGAGTGGTCTGGATTAAAGATTGGTCATTGCTTACTGGGTCACCACCGAAATCTGCGATGTGGTCTTGAACCCATTCCAGAGCTAGCGCCTGATCGCGTAAAGCAAGGTTTGGAGGTCCATTTTTATTTCCGAGGGCAAAGACATTGAGTCGATACTGGATAGAAACTGCTATAATTGGAGTACCAAGGCGGATTGAATCCGCTACAATAGTTGCCATGTCTGGGAGAACGTATCAGCGTAGCCCTTCAGTACAGCAGTAGGAATAATTGGTGAACCGGTTGTTTCATACCGCAGATGCCAGACGCGGCGCTCGCAAACGTAACAGCTTGAGATCCCCCTGCAGTTGAACTTAGTTGACTTCAACTATAGAGAAACAGGGTGAACCCTACCATGTATCCAAACAATTACAGGTAGTTTTTCAGAATAGTTTAGAGTATCGAAATTTGGCACAATAACGTCCAGGTTTATACACCTGAACTCATCTTCAGGTTCGTGTGGAAATTCATGGTGAGGCGGTACACGTAACAAGTGACCGACGTCAACCGGAACTTGAGGACATCGAGGACTATTCCATGAGTTTCTTTGATCTTGAGGGTCCGTATCACAATCTGCTTACCCAAACGTTGTGCAATTCAACTCTCCAGGGTAATCATGGATCTTCTTGGCTGCGGCGAATCGTTGCGGAATCTGGCCGTAGGGTATTCCGCGATATTGCGTCACTCCACCAGTTTTGACTCCGACGAGGGTTGTCCGAAGCGAGTGATGTTTTAAAGTTGTGATCATCTTTTCTGAACCGATAAAACAGCCGATGGTGACTATGTAATGTTTATCTTTATTCTAAAATAAGTTGTCTGAGTCGCCGATAACGTTGCTGCACAAATGAGGGGGGAAGCAGGCCTCTCCACTTTCGGATATAGACGAGCCAGCCGAGGATGCCATTTGATACTACCACACTTTTCATGGTGGAAATATAAGATCGTATGTCCTACACATATCTCGCTGATAACGAGATGGTGGTCTACTATCTACTAGAGCCAAGGTAAATTAATACTCACAGTTGCAAGTTTGTCGCATAAATTACGCAACATATGTGCGGACCATTTAGCCAATATGTCACTGAAAGAAAGAAATCAAAACATTTACATGTATCACATTATGTCTAATAACTACCTATAGTTTATGCTAGGCTGTGTTCCTTCCACGTTACTGATCCACCCGTACTACATATTCGGACGTAACCACAATCTCCCCATGTCCCGCTTCCAATCCTTGTTTCCGGCCGTGACTCTTGCTTGGCTGAAGCCCACCCACAGCTTTAGCGATATTTTGAGACCTTATACCAAGGTGTGAGTCCCGATGTACTTTGTTGGCACCTTCGAGCGAGACTTCATCACCACTACCTTGCCCATCAGCTGGTACAATATGGTCCTTCGATCCCCATACCGTGTCCCCCAGATCCGTTTCATCAGGACGTGATCGCGAGCTGACTTTGTTCTTGTAGTCCCCGAGGCGATATCCCTGACTATCGCCTAGACCCGGAGTATGGGTACCGCTTTTAGAAGCCGAGACTGTTTTCTCAACGACTCGCTTGAGAAGTGGATAGACCATGGGAAGATTTGTGACGACGAAACTAACAAATGATTCACGGACAGACCAGTAGCCTGACTGGGCTGGATCAGTATTTCCTTTCTGACAGTGATATCAGTATGTGGTTATGATAATGTTGAGTGCCAAGCACTGGGTCAGCTTACTGTGAGAATAGACACGGCTCTCAAGATTCCGAATATCATTTCTAGAAGCGCTCCACTGAACATGAACATGATAACAATCTTCTTGCGCCAGGGCATCCTAGCCTTCCAGATCATCTGAAGGTGACGAGTCAGTCTAAACATCAACAAGGGGGGTTGAGGCAGAGATATATACAGGAAGGGGAATTGACATCAGAAAGAAATCTGTGGCGGTATTCATGGCCATCACGTAAATAGTCTGTATGTATGTGATAGCTGGCAGGCAAGAATCTGGACATCGCGTTAGATTGGACGGGTGAAGGGAATCGTAAAACGCACTTTGTGGTTCTGGGTCAATTTGCCATTGCTTCTCAAATGGTATGCACTTGAGAAAGGCTATCAAGAAGCAAGATACGTATGTCACGGGGATAATAACAGTACCCCAGCGAGCATATCTCTTTGCTGAAGCCACACCTTCGCTGAAAGGAAGATTAGCTATCGAGGAAGTACGATCAGAAAAGGTTTTCCTACGTGAGGCGTAGATAGTAGACAACCCAATAGCCCTTCAGTAGCCATAACAACGTCATGTAGAGTAAAAGCCCAATGACATGCGTCTTGGACCCGTTTACTCGAAGCGCCCATTCAGGACTATCCGGGTTATCCCTCAACGCCTGACGTTGCGCAGATGTTATGCCGTTGTTCGCCAAGCCTTTCCAGTATGCGACGACGAAGTATGCTGCTACTGACTCGGCGGTATACACTATCTGGACAAACACAAGGGGTTAATATAGTCTAGTACAGCTGGCGCACATACTGACTCACTGTAGCTAACAACATGAGAATATCATCCCACTGGATGCGTCGACCGAAAGAAGAGAACTGGCTGTAATAACGAAGACCGACGATAAGGTACGCTGCTCCTTGGAGGCCCCATACTTCCTGGATGAAGGCGTTGGCTGCTGCTTGTTGCTCGGCTTGGGTTGCCATCACTGGGGAGTCATATGTCCGTTAATGGGCTGTATAGCAACAATGAGAGTTGATATCATATGATGATGGACCCGACAGGATGGATTGCATGGTATATATATCACAAATAAGGAGCCATGTGCCTACTCTGCAGCGATCGCTTACACAATCGCATCTGCAATCTGCAGTTCACCCGGAGGGATAGAGATCCGGAAGATCATTTCAGGGGCTCGGAGTGAAGCCTCAACCAGCCTCTTGGTTTGGATGTGAAATGTCAAGAAGAGAATAAGATCGTTGGAACTTAACGTTTATTGGTTCTAAAAGGTCGCTCGGGAAAAGCGACTTCGACAAGCGATATCTGATAATTGATCTCGAATCCATGGTATGAAACAGGGGAAGCTGGAAAGGGCTACCAAGAATTGCAGCCTGATAAGACCTGTCATATTATGCCAAGTGGACTGGATTCTCAGCCTCACGCCCATTGTAGGAGACAACCAACAAGATTGTGCTCTTCGTCTATCATAGTTCCAAAACGGATTCTTGCAACCCACTCTCAACGAATTAGTATTATAATGTGTAATAATTGAACTCGTAAGATATATCTTATTGTGGATGGGATTTGCATCTTCACTTCGAGTCTCATGCGTGGAGTGAGAAAGTTGACTCCTCGCGATATAGTTGAACTTGACCACGTATCAATTGACTTCTTGTATTCTTAAATGACCTCCGAAGGCAAAATCTGGATTGCCCATCCACAACAAGACTTCTCTACCGTCTGCAGTGACGTCTCATTTGTCGACCGGAATCACGGAACCGCTGTCGTCGATCTTGAAGCCTGAGAGCTGCAGCGGGTCGGCCGGTGTTGACCGCGAAATGATCCCTGCTATTAATTCCTCAACTGTTCGGACAAGTGATAAGTCGCGTGGGGGAGAAAAGGTTTATGAGTGGGGAATTGCGGTAGCATTCTATACGAGGCTGAAGTAAACGGCGAACGTTGGAACTATTGAACGGTAGCGATTGAGTTAAGACATCTTCACTGTTTATCACATCAGCATAGTGACTGCGAGAACAAATCATGGCTGAATGGATTGTGGAAAGAGCGTTAGCAAGTGAGAAAACAACGCCTAGTTTCGACGATTGTCATTATTATTTCCTAACTTGACCTACGTCCCTCGGGAGTTGTGATACATCACCTGCACAAACCCTGTCACTTTTCCTCCTTCCTACTTCAAACTTGGTAACCCAGCCTTGAAAAGTCGCCTCGACTACCGCAAGCCGAGCTCATTAAAATTGCTTCTTCCGCCCTGAGTTTTGATTGCAATTGACAATAGCGCTTCACACACCGAGTAACGTCTCAAACACCGGCACAAATGACTAACGAGAGCAAAGTCGACGTGTAAGCCTAATTCTCACAGCTCAAGACTAATGCGGGGTTAGTCTCGGTAATGGAACATGCTAACAATATCACTGTTGAAGACTCGTAGTTGGCGCCGGCCCTGCTGGGTAAGCTTACCCTCCAAAGCTCAATTTCACGAGGAATAAAAAGCAAAACTAATCATGGTTTCCTACAACTCGCAGGCTGATGGCGGCAGCATGGATGGCTCACTGTGGCGTAAATGCTCGTATCATCGACAAAAGAAATACCAAGATCTTTTGTGGTCAGGCTGATGGCCTGCAGTGTCGAAGTCTAGAGATCTTCGACAGTCTCGGCTTTGCAGACCGTGTGTGGAAAGAAGCTAACCATATGATTGAGGTGTGTTGTGCCCCATGTCAGAGACGTGTAGTACCTAATGAGTTTCGCAGATCTGCATGTGGGTATGTATACAAAATTCTACTGAGTATGTATGAGAAGTTGAGCTTATTTGTTCTACCAGAATCCTGGCCCGGACGGTATTATTCGTCGGTCTGATCGTATTCCCGACACGATCGTTGGTCTTTCGCGTTTTCAACAGGTTGTTGTACAGCAAGGTCGCATCGAGCGTTTCTTTCTCGACAACATCAAGAAGTACTCTAAAGATCAGATAAAGGTTGAGCGTGCTATTTTGCCAGAGACCATTGAGATCGACAAATCCAACATTGAGAGTACTGAAGGCTATCCAGTCACAGTCAAGATTCGCCATCTCACTGAAGAAGAAGCGACACCTCCCCAACAAGCCACCGCCAGCAAAACTCAAGCTTCGGATGGCCTTTTCAGAAGTAACTTGGTATTTGACGATGAAGTTGACAATGACAGTGCTCTTCGTCAGGCTCAAGATCGTGACGCTGTCACTGAGACAATCCATGCCAAATATGTCATCGGCTGCGATGGAGCACGAAGCTGGGTTCGGAGCCAGATTGGATTAGAGTTGCAGGGCGAGGCAAGCGATTTTATCTGGGGTGTCATGGATATCATTCCCAAGACTGACTTTCCCGACATTCGCATGCGATGCGCAATTCATTCGGCCGAGAATGGGAGTCTTATGGTCATCCCCAGAGAAAACAAGCTTGTTCGGCTGTACATCCAGTTGAAGGAAGTAACTCCGGACGCTTCAGGCCGTGCAGATCGATCAAAGATCAGTCCCGACATCATCTTCAAAGCTGCGCAGAAGATTGTCCATCCTTATAAGCTGGATTATGAGTATTGTGATTGGTGGACTGCTTATCAGGTACGTTGTTGTTCAGATGTCACCATACACATTTATTAATGTTCCATTCTAGATTGGTCAACGCGTTGGCACCGCCTTTGACTCTCATGAGCGAATCTTTCTCGCAGGTGATGCTGTACACACCCACTCGCCAAAGGCTGGACAAGGCATGAATGTCTCCATGCAGGATTCGTACAATCTGGGATGGAAGATTGCTCTTGTCGTCAAGGGTATCGCCAAGCCAGATATCCTCAAGACATATCAAAGCGAAAGACGTCGCGTGGCCCAAGACCTCATTGAGTTTGACCATCGCTTTAGTCGCTTATTCTCTGGTCGCCCAGCCAAGGATGTCATGGACGAAGAGGGTGTCAGCATGGAAGAGTTTAAAGACGCATTCGAAAAGGGAAATATGTTTGCATCGGGTCTATCTGTGAATTATGGACCTAGCAACATTGTTGCTAAAGCAGGTGATCCATTGGCTCAGGCGGATGGTGCTAAGGTGGTTTCGCCTCCTGGAGTCTCTTTGACTCAGGAGACATTTACGAAAAAGCAGGCGCTTGCTTCTGGCATCCCAGTTGGAATGCGCTTCAACAGCTTCAAAGTGCTGAACCAAGCTTGTGCCCGTCCCTATCACTTCCAGGAACGTTTGAAAGCAGATGGACGATTTCGCATCGTGCTTTTCGCAGGTGACATTCTTGACCCTGCTCAAAAAGCTCGAGTCGAAGAATTTTGCAATCGCCTCGATCAGCCCAACAGCTTCCTTTACCGAGCCACCCCCGATGGACAAAAGGTTGATAGTGTCATCGAAGTTTTGACCGTCCACTCTTCCAAGCGCTGGGATACTGACATCATTCGGGACTTTCCCTCGATTCTACGCCCTTGGGATGAGCAAACTGGCTATGACTATGAGAAGGTTCATGTCGACGATGTTAGCTACCACGAGGGATTTGGAAACGCGTATGAGAACTATGGAGTTGACAAGACGCGTGGATGTGTAGTTGCTGTGCGGCCAGATCAGTATGTTGGATGGCTGGGTGGTTTGGAGGACTTTGATGATCTATCGGACTACTTCCAGGGCTGTTTACTGATGAAGGACTAAACTATTATGTAATATGAGCAATGGTTCAGACAGTACTTGAGATTATGACGGAACAGTTCCTATGATGCTTCAATCCTCCGCATTGGCAAGGTCACCCTATGCCTTCTTGACCACTCCACAGCACGATGAAAAAAGACATCCTCCTTCACCCTCGCCACAATGACATCTATGTCAGGCTCTTCACCCCTTTCCAAAACTCCTTCAAGCTCCGTTAACAAGGCCTGACAGTCCCAGCATCCACAAGCACGATACTCCTGTCCAAAATGCACACGATACAGACTCCTCGTTTCTGCAAAGCCGTCTCCTAGCTGGGGCTTCTCGATAGTATCATCGTGATTGACAAATTTGCCTGCCAGAACCTTCGTCGCCTGGCCATAGTATTTCGCTGTGCATTGGTGCGTGTGCCAAACAAGATCTATGTCCAGCGTCGGCACAACAGTGTTTTTTGACATCTTGATGAGTTTACAAAAGTTGAGATAGCGACTGATGCCGCGACGAATGGTTCCATCGAGTGCAGGGCTTCGAATCCACATGTAGGAGTTCATCTTGTCAACAAACGAAGCCTGTCGAAGAACAGCATCGCGCAGTTGCTCTGCGAGAGTTGAGCCGAAAGTCTCAAAAAGATCTGCGTACTCCTTGCAAGGGCTTTCGTATACCTTTGGAGGATACAACAAGCGCTTTATCCTCATTCTAGGCACCCCTTGTCGTGTGGCATTAGAGAGTGTTTTCCAAGATACCATATCATTGTACAGGTCTGGCACGAACCCATGACTACTTCCGTAACGACTAGCTGCTATTGGGTTGAGTGTGAATCTCCATTCGTTGTTATCGATGGCCTCGTGGACATGCTTCCAGGGAAATTTGATAGAGAAAAGAGGCTCTTCTGAACAGGTCTTGTAGAAGAGTTTTGGGTTCAAGAGGAAGGAGTGCCAGACCATGAGGATATCTAAAGGTGGGAGGTTATGTCTTGTAATTTCTGTAACCGTGGACTTGTTGAACTCTTGTCGCCATGCAAGAAAACGAATGGTTGCAAATTCCACATACAGAGGCCACTTGATTTGTCTTCGCTCCCAAAGGTTTTCGTCCTTGAAAGTCTTCGTAACGCCTTGCGCACCTGTCTTTTCCTCCCTCCGAGGTTCCGTCTGCATAACCTCATCCAGATCTTTCGATACAAGGATGTTTTGTCGCAAGACGAAGAGTGTTTCCAAAAATTCGAGATGTGTAGCGCATTCAGCTTCGTTCGGGAGAGCCAAGTTTGGAGTTTTTGGGTTTGTTGCTGAATTGCCATTTGGCATGTTTTCGAAATTGAAGATGGTGGAATTGGGGATGATAGGAGCATCTACGGCCTTGTAGGCGAGTTCGTAGGGTTTGCCGGTTGGGTCATTAGGCCTGTCTGGGCCTGAAACCATGTCTTTTCCCCTCTGGTGAAGGGAGAGTCTCGTGAATCTGTCTTCGAGAGCCATCTTTACGAATGTCTGATATCATAAGATAGAGCTATCGTTCCCTAAAATCGCCTTTATTTTTATCATAAAAAAGGTCTCTGGAAGGCATGGTAAAGCAGGATGAGACATCCGTACCATTGGTCAGGATCTATGCCAGAAGCTGCCTCGCCATGGCCCCCAAACAGAGGCGTGCCACACTTCAACCCCCCTGCATGCCAGCCGCAAACAGCCAACGCCCGACTGAAGTGAGGACCTAAAATGCTAAGGTCTGGACTTGCCGATCAAGGCGGGGGACATTCCGCGCTGGCAACTTAACGCAAGCAACTGCAACTTTTAGTGTCCGTCATTCTCTAACTCTACATTTTCCCCCAAGCCGTGACCCTTATGCGAAAATGGATACCTTTCACAAGTCCTTCTTTTCCATCTTCATGATCGTATGTGGTTATTTGATAATTTGTAATGTTGTTGTTATCTTCAGAAAGTCAGCCGCGAGGTTTGGCATTTTGCGCTTCTGGTCGCTCATTCCATTATGGTTGTATGGCCCTCTTGTTGTGCTTAATCCCTGGTGGCGACTAGGCCATCTGGATAGAGGGCGTCAGTTTCTTGTCAGTCTTCTTGTGTTCTGTTATCGACTTCAACTAATTCTGACAGGGTATTTGGCTTACGCTATGGCCGCTCGTCAGCTCAATTATTGCTATGAGATGCGAGGTACGAGGATCGATGGGCGATTGGCACTCTTGCCAACGGAGTCGCGGGCCGTTTTACATCTTATGTGCCGATTTGGCCATCATATTATTCTTGATTGTCGAATCTTGTCGGTATCCGATTCCTACAGAGACAAAGGATTGGACGTTTGGCGGAGGACTGGGTAAAATCATGGGGATGTTTGTTATGTAAGTCATCGTATCGCGCTCAATAAAAACGAACACTGACCAAGGAATAGTATTCTTCTAGCCGCTCAAGATGTTTTAATTTTCCCCATTGCTGCATTCCCTCGCTACGTCGCTGCACCTGCCATCATAATCTGCAGGTTTTTCCAACCAGCAAAGAATAAACCGCGAGTCACAAAATGGGCATTTCATTTTGAAGAACTGTTATCTCAAACACGAAGCGACAACGCGAAAGCTTTGGCAACGATGCTGCGAGATGATGATATTGTTGGGAGAGTCGCCCGTCATCTACACTACGATGATATGGTCAACCTCTCACTGACATCAAAGCTGATACGCACGTCGATATTTTATCCGTCTCTCGAGGCTCCTCGGCGTCGAAATCGTGCAGAGTCACTATGCGTTACTTCATGTATTGATGGACAGAAGACAGAATGCTGGGGCTGCGAGCGTGTGATTTGCTTTGTAAGTAAAACGCGTGTCATTATTGATACCATTCTAATCTCGTCTCAGAAATGCACACATCAAAGGTCAGACATTCAACTTTCCCGAGTTAAAGACCATTTCGCCAACTGCTATGCTGTCTGCATATACTGCTACCTGATGTCGGCCCCTGGAGGCGCGGCGCCCTTTCAAGCCAAACGAAACATGCAGGACCTGGAGTTGCAGCATATCAATTGCTGTGCGTTCCAGAAACCACTACTAGGAAACGATAACGTTTTACTGTGTAGGTACTGTGCAAATTTGGACGGATCAGCTGTCACGGCGATGAGGGAAGCAAGGGACGAGTTCTATTTAAGCAAGACACTACCAAGGAATGTTGAGTGTGCGATTTGTATGAGGACTCTAACGACAAGGAATTCGAGATGGTGGTTTTGTAATCGGGGACGACATGAATGTCACTGGGCGGGACATCATACTTAATAATGGATACATAACCTCTCTGCGTGCCATCTACTATCCTCCACAACCTCCACAACCACCACCATCGCCGTCGCCGTCGCCATCACCTGAAGCCTCTGTAACACAACCACTTCCACAAGTATCTCCTGTCATTCCCGGACTCCCAGCCGCACATCCAGCTCCAGCAGCACCACAAATGAAGACCCCTACACCACAGCCTCCTGCTCCGGAATCGTCTGCCTTGGTCGCTCCAACATCAATCTTCGATGCTCTCCAGTCCCTCAATTTCTCATACTCAGTGATTCGTAATGGCAAAGCATACAAGGACCAATTTGCAACAAAGTAGCGATGGTATGCACCTTTTTCGAAGTGATGGCTGAAGGGTTGTGCACGATGGATGCCGCCGAGCTTTAGGCGGTCCATCGCTTTGTCCGAGTCGCCATGGAGCCAGTTTGTCGAGGCACGGAATTGAGGGTTATATGACATGGCTACTGCGGTTGCCAGGAGAGTTTCTTGACCGAGAAGGACAGTAAGACGGTTCTTGAACCAGTCTGTGTCTGACATGAAACATTCAGCATGATTCCTTCTGGTCGACTTGTCCATAAGTGTCGGGACAGGAGGATACAACTCTCTGCCCCGTGCGAGGTGAAGAGAAGCGATAGACCATGAATCAAATGGAAATGCGAGCACATGTTTGGAAATGTTACAATCACCACAATTTCCAGGATAGCGATCATATGCCTCTGTGCAATCCCATGGAAAGACATCTTGGTAGGGATAGATGGGTCCCTCAAAGCCACCCCAATCAGTCCAGTACTCAGAGAGTGAGTCGATGATATCCGAATCATCATAACGTCCATAGCGAAACTTGAAGAGATATTCTTCTGTCAGGCCGTTGGGGACATCGTATCTAGACAGTGCCCGTACCGGAACGTCGGACCCAGGTCGGCATACAAAGCTCATCAGATAGAACGCCTGGAGCTTACTATCGAACGGTTCAGAAGTGAAGAGAGAACCAAACAATCCTCGGTCGATTAAGTTGTCGCAGAACGCCTGGCAGCTGTTGGACTGACGATTCCACTCAAGTTGAACACCCGGATGAAGAAGACGAGTTGCGATGCTTGTTATGTATACTTTAACTCTTGATCCAAGATACTCCTTGATATTTGAGAGCAACCGTTTGGAGCTCTGGTTCAGCAAGGCTTCTTGCTCTGGGAGTTCAAAGTTTTCATCAGCCAGATAGTCGCTCTCACGAATAAAAGCATTAATCAGGCCTTCCTCAGTGGTGGAGTCGAAGAAATCACAAAAAGCACCACCAACTACTTGCTTCATGAATGCTTTGTAGCGCTTATGATATCGTGGTCTGTTTTGCGAGTAAAGGATGCGATCAGTCTGGCCCGTAAGAAGAAGGCTGTTGGTGATATCTTCTGGGGGGTCGCGGGCGACTTGTAACGAAGGTGGATCCCGACTTGTGATGAGAACACCATCCGTGCTATCGTTGTTAGTTTCCGCGTCTAACCCTTGTCATAATGGAACTTACTCTGCAACGCCGTTTTCTATTATAAGAGGTCCAAACCGGATGGCCATGTGCGTATTCTCATACGGATTCTCCCCAATCGTAGACTGTATGTAGGTGGGAATACCCTTTATCTTATTGGTACTGGACCCATCACAATACCCATATTCTGGTCTGGACGTCTCATCATGTTCCGACCTGTGAAGTTGCTCTCTGGAAGCGCCTGAAGGCCTTGGTACTTCGTCAATGGCAGGATCTCTCTGCCTTAGTTTGAGTAGGCTCTCATTCTTGACAGACCGAGACTGTGTAGACGCATATTTTGCTTCTGCAAAAAGATCCGTGACTTTGTAGAGCCCGCATCCAACTCGACCTAGGCCTCCTTGTATGTGATTCCCTTCGTCAGCGACCGGGTCAATAGGCCAAAGTGACCTAGAGCGCCCATGGGTATCGCGTCGCCGAATGGTACTGCAGTAACAAAGCCGCCGGCTCATTTCTGGTGTCAATGCAGTAGGCAGACAAGATTGTTTGTACTTCTTGACAAAACGTGTCTGGCCATAATGTGACGCATGATAACATTCTTCGCAGATAACCACACAGTCACTGCTAGTGTCGAGAAATGTACAGCTTCGAATGACGTTCTGACATTCCGAACAGCGTTGTGGGACAAACACAGGCTGGTTAAGAGCATCGTAGCAAGACACCTTCATCTGAGCAGAGGCAGGCATTTTCCGTATAGTGGGATGCTGGGCATCATCATCTCGGTACTCAATAATTTTGTCAATATCCAGAAACTGTGCCGATTGCAGAAGCATGCGTGCTCGTCGTCTTGTTGGATCTAGTATCTTTCGTTCACTGAGTGCAGTCCTCAAAGCGCTTTTAACGCTCTGACTTTTCATGTCGGCAAAGATATCCCAACCTCGACCACGCAGTACTTCGTCGTAAGATGGCGGTTCATTGTTGGTTTTCTTGTCACTTTTCTTTTTTTTCTTCGATTCTTGGTTTGTCTTATTCCGCTCGTGGAATTGACGTGAGATGTCGGATACCTGATCAATAAAGGTATCGTATCCATGAATATGATGATCTTCTTCATCTGGCAGTAAATATGACGTCTCTTTGGACAATTGCCAATAACGAAAGGTGAGGAGTAGGCATGGTAGTTCACGTTCCACTCCTTGCCAGTACATTTCGAGAAGTTCATGTTGGAGATGTTCAGCCGCCGGGCCTATGTTTGTCCTGGGAATTGGAGGTGATTTGGTACTGCACGCGCTGCTGCTGGCTGACGCTTCAGGCCTAGAGAGAAAAAAGAATGATTGTAGTGAAGGCATATTTGGTAACGGCACTGTTCACAACAGATGGTACGGTTCATGATAAATGAAAAGGTTCAATTCTTCCTTGTTCTTTTCCTCATGCTTTGACACAAGTCTCGACCACTCTATGCAGGCGTTGCGGGGAAGGGCGGAAAAGGAGCGCACGTAGCTGTAAGCGTGTGGCTCAATTAGCGATCGACAAAATTGCAAGGCAGACTCGATGCATCAGCTGCTAGTTCAGACATGTATTTCGTGTGAGCAGCGCAGGCTTGGTGACACACCGATAGCTGAGCCTACTCGCCCAGTTGCTGTGTTGTCCGATCGGACCAACGTCCCTACCACTATGTTCGAGATCTTCCATGATCACCAATTTCATTGCGCCTCTATTAACACACATTTGTAGCTTTCAACGCGCTTTTAATTTACCGTGCGTGCGCATGTCTTTCCGAAAATGATATACCGATGCTTACGCAACATGGTGGAGAGGTAATGTTCCTGGTGCTGCCTTTGTCGCCTCTTGTCACTAAGTATGTACTCTGCATGCATCAGTCCGTTAGGTACGGAGGGCCATTACGCCACATGATTCCACAAACGCAAAACCCATTACATAATTCATCACTTTCAAAGTCATCATGCCAAGACATTGATTCGGTTGGTCGGGCTTACGCACAAGGCATGAGGAGACTACCTCACTGGTCAATAGGGAATAGTCAGTTCACGGACACTATCTGTCTCAGAATGTACCATGCCAATTCTTTGGTGGGTATATCAGTGTTGACCAAGACCCGAGACCGGAAGGGCTCTTCACAGCCATCACAAAAGACGTATAATGAAGAATGTGACCTGATTTGAGGGCATGACAAAAAGAGGCCTGATCACCATGAGCAAGACTCGAGCCTTGTATGTGGTTGGATAGTGAAGACTCCGGAGGCAGGGAGGGTCTACCGCGGATTGTCAAGCTTGAGTTTCTATGGATTCAAAGTATTCACCGTTTTTTGGATACTGGCGCATTCTGGAACCTTTACCAGCAGCTTCAAGCCACCTACGTTCAAGTTGATGGTACTCATTTTCCTCTGACCTAATCCCATCGATGAGCCAACAGCTAATGAATAACCCAGTGGATCATCGATCGAGGCCTACAGACCAGGGGAGGCGGGTAACTCGATCTGTGCACGATATGACAAGTGATAATATGTCACTGTACACATTTTAAACTAATTTTGTTCCAACCTTTTGTGGTCCAGTTTAGCATTGCCAAAATTCTACCTTGCTTTGCGCTCAACCTGTCGGGCGTTTTTCACAAATTTAAGGTTAGGTTAGCCGTTCCGCTGTCACCTTCGTAGCTTTTGCAGGAGATGTGTGACTGGTGCCAATTTGTGAACCAACGACCCTCAATGTTCGTAGCGGCAACTTAATCATAGGGCAAGCCATTAATTCCCGATGAAGCGTCTTGCAGCTCTTAGATCTTGGAAACGTTACATTTGCAGCTAGTAAATCTCAAGGCACAATATTAGTCGACGAGCTGAGAATGCAGAATGCCAAAAAAAGGAAATATGTCTCAAACTTCCTGGAAATCTAGATATTCTGGCTTGGCCCTTGTCTACCAAATGTTAAATGATAATCATCCTTGAAAGTCTTTTTTTTTCCACGGCAATGCTGGGCCCTTTGCTTGGAAAAATGCTTTAAAGTTTCGGCTCATATTCCCGTACTTGCTAAAGCCAAGTACGACGCCAATCCCTTTATAACGTCATCTTGATTGAGAATGGCTTCCCACGCAACGGGCCGGCTGATGTAGATCCTAAAACTGTAGTCGGATTGGCTATCACTGAGGCACTAGACCACACTTTAAGACAGGGAGTCGCTCCCGGGCTGTTATCCCGACCACTCACGACAGATTTGACGAGACAATGGGCTCTAGTCGCCGATCTAAGCTTGTTTTTTCTTCAGACGGATAACGGTTTAGGGACAGTGAAAGATTCCGCATTCCTTTCTTTCAATACCCTGCAGGCTGTGATTCGGTACGTCGAGATTGACAGCGGAGTTGCGTGAAACGGAAAAACATTAGCCTGCGAAACATTGACGTTGGTGGTTGGGAATGCATCCATGTATCAATAGCCTAAGCAAGGGAGAGGGATTTCTCTTGGCAGAAACAGCTACGCTCTGAGACAAATATGATCTTCACCCCGCGCGTACTTCGCATTTCGCAAATGAAGCCACTCAGGAAGTAGCGAATGGGTCATTTGACAGCCTTTGGCAAGCAACTGACCAAGATTGAAATTGAAAAGTTTCAGATATGCGGCTGAGAATATTACGATCTTCCATATCCAATCCGGAAGTCGTATTAACAGAGACTTGGTAGGAGAATGGTTGACACTGTGTGATGATTCTCTGTGCCATCACGGAAAAGCTAAAAGAAATTCTGCGAGTGTCTCGGTTCTTACCATCCTGGAGACTAATGTGTTGTTACCTCCCAACGTCGCTTACAGATACCTTGATTCGCCAGTTAATACACTAGACAACATCAATATAAGTTAAGTGGAAGGGAAAAATCAGATATCACCAGCTGTTGCCTTTAATGGAAGTATCGAGTATTGCACAACCGCACTGTTGATCAGGATGAGGTACTGTCTTTTTAACGGGATAGCAAAAGATTCTAAAACAGAAGAAGTGCGAGTCTCAGTTTTGCAGGGAGTGTCGTGATGATGACCCTGACCAGATATCACATACCAGACAGATCATGCTGCTGGCCCAAAAGAGCAAAACAGGCTCACTTGTCAACATGTGTGTCAATAGCGTGGGCTATTGGGTGTTGAGCTTCTACAAAGCTATGCGAGAGTGTGATACTGTCAATGAGTGGTAAGCATGTAGCTCTCGCGAGGTTTCCGGACGCATGATGACGCACTATCAAAGGACCAGGGTTCTTTTTGAGTAGTCTTTGCGGATACAGGGCTGCTCGAGGTTGTCTCCTCAAGAATGAAACTCGACGAGTCCATCTGAGAGGCAATCTCTGGCAGACTCAAAAGTCTATAAGAAGGGACACTCGTCCCGCTCCAACTGTCAATCCTCAGCACTCACAATCACACTTTTCCATCACCACTTTCAAACAATCATCACTTTATCAACAAGATTCTTCAGATCCCAACAAAGCTATCAAAATGAAGTTCACTCTCATCCTTGCTCTCCCCGCCATTGCCCTTGCGGCTGCCACTCCCCCGACCGTCGAGAAGAGGCAGCTTCCCAACCTTCCCGACCTTGATCTTCCTCTCAACGTCCCATGCCTCCTAGAGGTTGCTAACATCCGCCGGTGCCTCCCCAACGTTGGATCCGGAGCCACCCCTATCGTCGGTGATCTCCTTCAATGGTAGGCCTAGTCCCAAGAGAACAAATTCTTACATCGTAGATCACTAGCTGACATAACATAGTCTCTTGAGACTCCCCCTCGTTGTCGTTGCTGCTCTGGACTGCGTTGATGTCCCCGTCAAGGCATAGATCCGTGCCATTACAATTCATTTCTTGGAGGATTGGGTTAGAAAATCGGCCACATCTCATATAATTCGCCTTGTCCTGCTAGCGGATACCTAAATTAACACTCTCTTGAGGCGAGCTCTACGAGATATTTTGGCTTTTGATTTGTTATTCATGGATGAACTCATGACTTCCTATTCTGTGATGTTTTGAGTGAATGTCTCTTTCCACGCTGTGCCTGACTCTTGTGTGATATACTGACATCCTGTCAAACGTGAGTGTTGCTCAACCCGTGAATATTGAAGATGAAAAACACTGAGTTAATCGCTAGTGAGTCAACTAATTAATTTGATCAGTAGATTTAACGCCTACCCTGTGAGTGAACTAGTTCGGTGTCGTGGTTGGTTGACATGGTGGATCGCTGTAATCAATTGAGGAGTAAGCCAGTAATAATAAATACTTCCAGAACGAAGTGTGACTCATCGCTAGAGATTTGATCACTATAAGACTTTATGTTACTGGGACCACTATCTGTCATTGGCACCCATACCCAAATATACATGAGGTAATAGATATCTTCAGTCAAAACACACAACATGGCAAGCAAAGCAGTTATCCTCCCGAAGTCTCTATCCGACCCCACCCAATGGGATAAGCTCATCGACAAGTACAGAGCCTTCAGATTATCAGCACTGGATTTGTCTCCAAAGTCCTTCAGTTCAACTTACGCCAGGGAAGTTGAACTGCCAAAGGAAAAATGGGAGGCACGTTTGAGCGACCCCCTTGCAATAAATACTGTCGTCGTCTCGAACACCGATACTGGTTCGGCAGATGACCTTTCGCTCATCCTCAACTCATCGTGGCTTGCTTCACTAGTCTTGTGTGGCCCGTTTGATGCACATTCGGCCACGAAAACATGGGAACGACAGCAGAATTTTGATCCAGGATGCCTCAACTTTGGCCCACTAAATCCTGATGTTAAACAGGCTTACGTCCTGAATGCAATCTACGTGCCTCCTTCTCAGAGGCGCAAGGGTCTGGCAAACAGACTTATTGAAAACGCTAAACAACTTGTGGTTGGAACACATAGAGAGAACAAAGTTATGCTAGTTCTGATTGTTAACTTTGAGTCTGTCGCAGCAATGAAGTGCTATGAGAAATCTGGTTTTGAACTGGTGCACGATTATTGGTTTGATGAGTCCGACTCTACCAAGGGCCATGCGGCTGTGATGAGATTGGACGTGAAGGTGGATGATTCTAGTAACTAGTTCTCATGATGAAAAGGGGACTATTTCATAATAATTCTACCTTCACTCTCTATCATTTGTCATTTCAGTATCAACATAGTAGAACTGACCCCTATTGAAAACAAGGTTGATGTAGCTTCTCATAGAAGATGGATAGCTACCTTTCCCAATAGAGAAATCCGATAATCTGATGATACGTTACTCTCAAGTTCGGATGACTTTGAATATCCTGAAACAATTAATTCGAACCTATCAAAGTCTTTGATAGCCGCCAAGAAGCGCTACTCCGGATACTCGGCCATGGCGGATATGAGACGCTCCACCCGTCCACCAGAACACGCGGCGAATTGATATCCACATCCTTCAACGCTATGGGGAAGTGGACACTCTTGTCAGCCTACATTGTAATCTGTGCAGGATCTATAGTCTCAGGCCATGCCCTTTCATTTAATTCGGTCCGTATTGACGGCTCGGCGCTTTGTCTCATTGGAGGATTAACAAGCTCCATTACAGATGCAATAGTGATGATGCTTCTCGAAGGAGAGAAGCTCGGATATAGCGGGATTTGACCATGCATTGTCTGGCTCGGCGTTCATGGAAGACAATTGTATATAAGGTTGTTGTAAGAATCCAGATGCAAGAGGTAAACCAACACACATTATCACATTCCTTTTGCCGGTCAAAAGTTAAGACTTCTTAACAAACACATTCGTTTACTTCAACGCTCATTAGCAATTTTCTAATCTTCAACATGACTAAGCTCGGTTTTGTTCTTATGGCTGCCCTGGCTGGCAGCGCCGTCGCTGCTCCTTCAGCTCCGGTCATTACCCAAGCTCCCGACGTCCACGCTTACGACAAGCGTGCAACCAGCTGCACTTTCTCCGGCTCCGGTGGCGCCTCCAAGGCCAGCAAGTCCCAGGCTTCTTGCGCCACTATTGTCCTCGACAACGTCGCTGTCCCCAGTGGCGAGACTCTCGATCTCAGCAAGCTCAAGGACAACACCAAGGTCATCTTCAAGGGCACTACAACCTGGGGCTACAAGGAGTGGAAGGGCCCTCTTATGAAGATCTCTGGAAACAAGATCACAGTTGAAGGATCTGGTGCTATTCTTAACGCTGGTGGAGAGAAGTACTGGGATGGCAAGGGTGGAAACAGTGGCATTACGAAGCCCAAGTTCTTCGCTGCTCACAAGCTTACCAACTCCAAGATCAACAACCTTTATGTCAAGAACACTCCTGTCCAGGCTGTCAGCATTAATGGTGTCAATGGTCTCGAGATCAACAAGTTCACCCTTGACAACAAGGCTGGTGACTCTCAAGGTGGTCACAACACTGATGCCTTTGACATTGGTTCCTCTACTGGTGTTACTATCGATGGCGCCAAGGTCTACAACCAGGATGATTGTGTTGCTGTTAACTCTGGAAAGGTAAATTGGACTAGCAAAGTTCTGGGAGACAATATGACTAACTGTAATAGAACATTATCTTCAAGAACGGTTACTGCCATGGTGGCCACGGTCTCTCAATTGGCAGTGTCGGAGGTCGCGATGACAACGTTGTCGACAACGTCCAATTTCTCAACTCGGAAGTGACCAACTCTGCCAACGGTATCCGCGTCAAGGCTTTCAAGAACCACACCGGCAAGATCAACAAGGTCACCTATTCCGACATCACCCTGTCCAAGATCCAGAAGTACGGCATTCTCGTTGAGCAGAACTACGATGGTGGTGACCTCCACGGCGACCCTACCAGCGGTCTCCCTATCACTGGCCTCACCCTCAAAAACATCAAGGGCAAGAACGCCGTTGTCTCCAAGGGTAAGAATGCTGCTATTGTTTGTGGCAAGGGAGCTTGCACTGGCTGGACCTGGTCCAATGTCCAGGTTTCTGGTGGTAAGAAGTACGACAGCTGCCAGAACGTTCCCGGCGTTGCTTCTTGCTAAGTAATATCCATTGTTGGTCATTTCCAACTGGGCTTGGAAAGTTTGAAAATGATATCATTCGGAAATGATATTCAATTTTGTATATAATCTTTAAGCATAGTTTGATAGCTTCATGCTGTCATTTATTGCGCTTTAGCCCTAAATACCTTTGAAAGGATTATTATATTGCTATGCTTTACCGAAACACTCTCGATTGGCATTTCTGTTTCTATTGTTCCCTCCAATACTTCTCCCACTCCCTTTGAGCTCCGTCGCATTGATAGAGGTGCTTTAAAAACCCTTCTGTCGTAAACGCAGGCGGGCTCCCCCTCTTTTTGTAGACAAGCGACACAAGACATCCCATACTCCAAATGGTCGGTTTTTGTGTTCAAATTTGGTACTCCGATCAAGATTTGATCATAGTACATCAAGTTGGGTAAGCGAAACCTGCCCGAACAAACGATGTTGCCTAAATTGCATTCGCGACGAATGTAATGGAAGAGAATTGTTCCGTTCGTAGTTCTACCAAACAAATCATCTCGGCAACCAGAACCACCTTTCTCGTGAACACAGGGCTCGCAAACCCCTTTCCAAGTCCGTTCGTTTATGTAGTTGGCGACATTATTACATACAATACAATTTTTGTTGCCCATTTCATAGTAGAGCTCCGAGAGAGGGATATGCTCGGCACCCATACGCCTGGACATAGGGCCTAATAGGTCATGTGCATATTTCATAAGCCTCCGGAACTCTAATAAACTATCGACCTTTTGTTTGATTGCTACAGCCGTTTGTCGAAACCTGACGAGCGATTTGATGTCGAGAAGCAGAAATATTTGTCGGAGGCAGTCCATTGGCAGGTTGAGCAGGTGGCTGTTTTGTATCGCTACAGATCGATTTGGTAGCGTTGGTCTGAACTTCGATGGAAAGGGCAGGCTGCGTTCTGTCCAGAATACGGAGCTTCGGTTTTGCATCCAGAGGACTAAAGCCTCGCCTTTGGCCAGGGGGCCATGAGCTGGTGTTGGGAAAGACATCTTTGCGGTATGGTGGTGAAATTGTGTAACGGCGACAGTGAGATGAAGTCATGGGGTGACAAGCTTGTTAAATTTACACGGAGAAAATAGACTTGGTTGAGAATTCACTTCTAAATGTTATTTGCCAAATCTCAGGTGCCAAACATTATATTTGGGGAGTGCTTTATGGGGGCGGGGAGTAAAGGTCTCGATAATACCATTAATCAAGGCCACAAGAAACTTATGGTCTTTTTTTACCCTTACATCAAACCATCAATAAGCTTTTTCATTATCTAAACTTAATACTTCCGTTCCGTACACAGCAACCCGGACAGACTTTCCAATACGGAGCTAATAATTTCGCCGAATGGTCACCTGGCAGTAGAGCAAATGTTGACACAGTAAGTATTCCACAAGGTTTATGCATGATAGTGGCCGTTTATGATTGTATCTGTCTTTAGACATCATGATGCATAGAGACTTGCTCCCTGTTCTTCTACAACTAGACGTGAAATTCTGAAGAGCTAACAGTAATTTCTGTCTTGCGGATAATCCCCCTGCTACTAGAATTATCGTCATCCGTCTCATTGTCTGGAGCACGTGTGGTACCTCTTTGGACCGAAGCACGGAACTTCCCTCTCTGACCATGAATCGAATCGAGCTTTATGCCAAGATTGGAGTTGCCTGGGCCGCGATCGCTCTGGAAGATTCCCATTAGCCCGTGTCGTACCAGCAGGAATGGCTGCGTTTGAGCAGTAATGTAGATGAGGAGTATTAGAGGTTATCACATTGTGAATTACTTACTTCGCCCGCGATCTGGTAGTCACCCTCGTGAGAAGAACCGTAGTAGAACTTGAATAGTTTGCGCAGAGGTGGTAACGAACATGCGATCATTCCTAGACAGCATTCGACGTTCGAGGTGATGCTGATGACTGCGAGATGGTCTAAAGAGATTGGTGTTAGCATGTTGGCCAGTCCTAAATAGACTACAGAATAAATAAACGCGTACATGCTGTCTCATTCGGATATTTCGCAACATCGTAGTACTTGAGATACGGCATGCGGACACAAGTAGCAACACTTGCGAAAACACCGAGGCCGAGAATGGCAATGGCAGAGATTTTTCTGCGCCTTGACATTTGCAGTTCCGCTACGATGAAGCATGGGATAATGGCACATGCCCAATCCGTTGCCATTTGTATGGCTGAGACGATGTAACTAACAGTCTGTAAACTGATCTGCTTCTGGCATGTTCCCCTACCGATGTGCGTTAGTCAATGCAAGTTCTGAGAGCCTTGCCGGGATTAAACGAATAGAAATACATACAAAGCCGGGTTCCAAGTCGCTGCAAATGGCGTGCAGTTGGCAAAGACATAAGCCAGGGCGAGAATGGTCACGATGATCATAATTGCCATGTTAATATAAATAGGAATGGTTATTCGTCTTCGGATGTCGATTCGGATACATGTAAGCCCGATTGCGCATTTTATAATGGTTGACGAGATGAAATATAAGATCTCCCAGTATGTCTGATATTCGGTTGCTCGTACTAGGTACAGCGGTGATGGGATGTTGACATCGTGGGATCCGACGCCGTACCGTGTCGTGAGAATGGAAAAGACTATAGCTGGTATGAAAAGAAGCTGTGGATCGGATCGTAGTCAGCAACATACTTCTAACAATATCGAGGGGACTAATACTGAGTACTTACGGTTGATAGAACTGCTAGGTAATCCTCAAGACCTAAAAGCCGCGGCGAAACATCAGATAATCCTGCGCGAACGTAAATTCGAAGGCATAGCACAATGACACTAGTGATGCCGAAAGCCAATGCGAACCCCTGAACTGCCGGCCCCAAGTCTTTCGGTTCCAAAGGTGGCAGAGCATCAACCAGAGCCTTGATCTGCTCTCCCGTCATGGATTGAGCCATGAGGTATGTTTAGCTACGGCCGACAAAGTTGAACCTAGAGGCAAATTACCGTTTCCGAAGGGAATACGAAAAACAAATATTATACAGGTTGCAGGTTCAGTGTCTACCTTATAACTCAGCGCCGGCATTTGAGATTTTTTAATCCCCACGCTGACCCT